GCTGTATGAGAAAACTAGTAGAAAATCAAACTTTTTCTACTGTTATTGAAAATAAAATCGAAACATTGCAGAATTGATTCTATTAAAACTGCAACAAAACTTTGTAATATTATAAAAATAGCAATCGAATTAAGACATCCATTACGACTTAAAAGTGGAGTTTGAAAAAAAAGAAAAACGGTAATTTCCTATAACAATTCAATTTCTTTCTGTCTGATAGGTGATCGTATTTTTAAGCACTGGTTTTCAATTTCTCTTGGCTGCCAATACATGCTTCGTTTGTTTCACAAGTGTGATTACTTATTTTATATGCAATCTATATAAAATACCAATTGAGCACTAGTTATGCTGTTATCTGAAGCTTCAGTTATCCTCTTGATCGATTGTTTTAGGTTAAATGAAATTAAGCTTAATGTTGTTAACTACTATTAAGTTTGTGGTTAATTTAGTCACCATGTTTTTAATAATAATTTCATTATTTTATTTCAATTAAAATAGAAATGGGTGGTGGGTGAATTCAGATGTATGAAATTAAGTTTCATTGTTTAGTTTTACATAAAAATATGCGTATAGTTCTTTTAATTTTATTTACTTTTTCCAGGAATGAAAAGGAATTTTTATCTGTATAATCTTTACCGAACGATAAGTGAGAGAACAGAACTCTGTCACTTGCGTTCGAGAGAGTGCGTGATCTATTTCTTTATTTTCATTTCTGTTACTTATTTTGGCTACTATAATCTGGCTTCGGAAAACTGAATCTAGTATTACCTCTCAGTTTCTTTGAAACGGTGGACCTTTTTAGATGTCTTCTTCGGAAAAAGTGAACACCTCCTGTGGTATCATAAGAAGAGAAGAAAATTAGATCGTTAAATTTTTTGTCCTGATGGATCAGTTTCAGCTTTTTGTCGCGCACTTGAACTATACCAAATACTTTAACATCTCGAAGGAGATCGATCCTATTTCCACCTATGTTGTTGTTCCTATCCTAACAAAATGCAAACTCTTGCTAATTCACTTTCCAAAAATATCTGTTCTAAGGCGTATGCAGGCAATTGAGTGAAAAACATGCAAATTGAGCAATTTGATCTTTCCTTTATAAATAAATGAAAAGTCTTCATGTAAGGTTAATTTATGATTGAATAATATCGCAACAATTTTCCTGCATCACTGGTTATTTTTATTTTGAAAAGCACGTTTAAATACGTGGTTTTATGTTCTGCGTCTTGAAAAATTCATTCCTAATTTTGTAAACAATCGTAGTTGTTTATCTTAATATTTTTATGGTATTAAATTGGAATGTGAATACGAAGATTATTCGGTTGCAGCGATTTTAATTTTTATGACTTTTTTATAGTTTAACTTTTTAACTAATCTTTTTATCTTTCATAAGTTTTAGAGAAAGACTCTTTTTTGAATGTGTTGTAATACGACGTTTTTCAGATTGCGTTGCTCTGAAATTTTTTTAATGAATACCTATTCATTTTTAATGATATAGGTATTCATTAAAAAAATAACATTTTTTAATTAATAACTATTTTACAGTAACATAAATAATGTACAGTAATTTTTTGTGTCTTTAATATAACACATTATTTTTATTTTGACGTCAATATATAACTAACAGTTATAATTTTTACACTTTCCAAATGCCTTCATTTAAGAAAAAAAGAAAAAAAAAAAGAAACAAAATTAAAATTCAGTTGATAATAAAGTCATCGTAGGCACCCCCCATCTAAAAACGGACTTCGTGCACCATACTACATTTCTAGGTATTAGCTTTTACTTTTCCATTTATTTAACGGTAGGTCAGCCGTATCTAACGAATTAGGATGGTAGCTTATAACCAAGAAATAAAAAAAAAGTCTTCGTCCTTTAATGTCTTTGAACCATAATAACTATATGAATAAACACAGGCGACTAGGAAGTCAATACATACGTAATGCACACCCTTAATAATATAATATAATAAAGGAATTCGTAGAGTTCCAAATCGTGCTTCAACAATTATGTCATGTAATGGACACCCGCATGCTGTAATTTCATTACTTTAAAACATCACCTGTAGGACATAAGTTAGAGGAATATAGAGCTCTCGGATACATAATATTATTTCAGGAGTTATAAGCTTTTTTAAATCCCATAAATTAACATTTCTTACTCGTTTACTGTAATCGCGTACAACCACCTTATACTCCATCCTGAAACCGGTCTTTTATTACAATAACAGCTCCTTGAGACTCCAGCAGTAACAGTCTTTTATCTGTGATAGCGAGGGGCGAGGTTGTTAGACGAGGTAAGATATACGTAATTTAAAACGTTGCCTCTGCGTACCGTCCGATCTGACCGCAAACTCTTCTGTCCGTCCGGCAGGTTGAAATGCGATTCTGTGCATACCATTCGCACGCCCACGATGAAAGTTCATCGGCATTGTGAATTGGGTTAGGGGTCAGCAGTGACTGACCGTTAAGGGGGCGTTTTGATGTTGTTCTCTAGTCCACGGAGAGAGTTCGCATTTGCGTGAAGTGTTGTTGCGTACATATAGATTCGGCCATTTCCTGTTCCCGGAGATATGTGTGTGGATACCGTGACCCAAGATATCCATCAGACATTGGACGTGTGCCTTTGTTGTTCTTCCGAACTGTAGAGCGGAATTCATCAAGCTTTGATTTTCAGCGGTGTGAAATGAGGTGCACTAAGATTTTGAGGCCACTGTTCACATAAGATTATGTAATCAGTAAATTATTTCTTAACTTCTGACAAACAAATCATGTTATTTTTTTAAAAAAAAACTTGCAGTTTGATCTTCCGGATTCAAGCTTAACATCCTAAACGGGATTTCGGTTCATTTCTATAGTCTGTTAATTTAAAATAAGCATTTCAAGATCGTAGCGACCCTCTCCATATTTATGACCATAACGTGAGTTATCATCACTCCACAGAGGGAATTAGAAGATTTTGACAAATACAGAATTAATTTCAACCTTCCTTTCCGCAGCAATCGTTGCTATGTTTATGAATCATGATTTCGGGCAAAAAAATGACTTTGAAGTGGCTATTCTAAAAACACAAACTATAGTCAAGAGCATCACATAAGCCGCATTTTAGAACAGTAGCTGATGATGACGCATGCTGATGAGAACATGAAAATGAGCCCATAATATGAGTATAAAAATTTTATATTAAACTAAAAGTACTTACAACAACTATCAAAAACACGAAGGATTCTGTACTAGGATACAGAAGGGTGTTCGCAGAAAAACAAAATGGGGAACCCTCCGGTATCTAAAAAAAAAACTATTTTTAATTGCTGCATGTATGATATATGTGTATTATACGTGTTTTGTAGTGATATGTGTGCGGTATATGTACAGTATATCTGTTTTGTTTAATTCCTGCATGTATGGTACATATATAGCGTAATTTTTTTTTTTTTTTATTGAAGCATGCGGGGCGTTAAAATTAATCTTAGGAGGTAATATAATCAATATTTCTTTAGTAAATAAAATATATATATATGCTTTTTTCTGGCCTTTATATCTTCATGTACATTCACTGTTCTTATTATATTTTTTATTTTTATATTATTTTTGATTTGTTTTTACAAAGTTTGCATTATTTATCTTATTTTGTAATCTTCTAGGTTTATTTCAACTTTATACTTTGAATTCTATTTCATAATGACAATTTCCAATGTTTAATTTTCACAAATAATATAGAACTCAAATGCATAAACACGGGGGTGTCGGGGGGCGGTTACTCGAGTTTTTTCAGAATTCCCTACAGAAATTGCTTTTCACTCAAAACTAAATTGGCTAAAATGCTTCATAGGAATAAGTTCTTTGAGTATCAGCATTGGTTCATAATCCCTTCTATTCGCGGAAATATTTGGCCTGACTAGAATTGCCGGTTTGGCTTAACCTTATTACTCGAGTAAAGACGAAACACCTTCGTATTTACGTATTTATTTATTAATTATTGTTCATTGAACGGGAGTTGGTTTGTTCCCCTTGAAAAGTCAACTAATTTCCTATCAATGACAATGATTACATGCATTTAATTAAATTTTTCCTTTTACAATTGAAATTTTGTTCTTCATGATGATTTAATTCCAGTCCCCGTTAAAACATTATTAACATTTCACTTTCAAGTTACTTCAAAACATCTTTCAAATATAACTTACTGGTATGGATTCACTCTTTTAAAATAATTCTACTTTAATTAAACTTAGGAGATAATATAATCAATTAATCAATATTGTTTAGGAAATAAATTATTATTAACTTACTTTGCAGCAATTGCGCAAGTAGTAGTAACTTGTTTTCGCACTAAGTGAATTTAAGATCATACAACTATATATATATACCCCGCATGCCCTGTATATATATAGTATATATGTTTTCGTACTGATGGTACGTAGTATATGTGTTTTTGTATTGATAGAAAAATGCATTTTATAATCTATTTGTGATTCCCCTCAAATTAAATAATTAAAAAAATTATTGAAATTGTAGAGACATTAGGTATTTTTTGAAAGCAAGAGAGATGATTAATGAACAATGCCCTGGCCGGGACTCGAACCACGTTTTTCTCGAATACGCGCCAGCGTCCTGACCACTACCCTACGAAGACATGCTAAGAAGACGGGAGAAATACCTTATGAAGTTATTTGTCTCCAGTCTTTTCCTGTTGAAAATTTTCTGCGATTAGGCATGGTAGTTTAGCGTTATAAATATATCTTATCTTGATTCTCGAAGACTCTTCAGATGAGGATTTTGTACTACGTATTATTTTATGATGTTCATTTAAAAGTTAAGCACATTTAACTTGCCAGGCTGACAGTTATTACCTTATTTTTTATTTAATACGAATTTCCTTCAGCATAGAAATATTTCCAGAGGAAAGAATATAATTTAAATAAAATTAAAGTACTTTTAGTACAGTTCTATTTACTCATTTTCTTGTACTGGTATCAATAAACTCATCATTTCCTTTCTTTATAGGCCAAACTGAATAGTTGCCAAAATGAATCATCTGCTACTATCTCCAGACTGCAAGAAGAAGTACAGAAATTGCAGATAGTTAGGGACGATCTTCAACAATACGTACGAAAATTAGAACAGAAAAATGACGATTTTGAACGAGCTACTAGGTGAGTTCGCAAATACGTGTATTATAAATTGATATTGTTCTAAACATTACTGTAAACACAGTTATACTAATAAGTGCTTTTTTGCTCTTTTCTATTCAAGTTCATTTCGTTCATAAGTTTGTTGTCCACCTTATACAATTAGTTCTGTTAGTGAAGTAGCGTGCACATTGGGGCCAATATATTCCGAAACTAATCGCAAATACATTAAATTAATCGCAAACAACTATGAGCACTCTATCGAATAAAATATCTACTTTGTTCACACAGATGTAACCATTTTTAATATCTGTGTCTTGTAACACCAATCAATGTGCCCTATGAGTGGATCTCGTGTGGTGCTAACATGGGTCAGCTTTAGATAAGGGTGGACGTGGCGCTAAACCAATTAACCATAATGATAAAGGGGTGGTGCCCACGTCCACCGTCACTAAACTAAACTAGGCATCATACATAACTAAAACATTTGATAAGTTTCGTCCGTTAAAAAAATTCCTAATATTACATTTTTTTAATAATGAAATTTGTGCTATAATATACAGTGGATGGACAAAAATATGGAAACACCTTGTGAAATGCATGTTTGAAAAGAAAGATTGATTGTAATGAAATATGTAGGTGGCGCTGGCATTTTTGACTACTGACGCCACCTATACAACTTCTTAAATGTGCTAAACAGTTCAGTTATTGTCGGAGTACTGTTATGTGAGGTTGTCATTGCATTATGTCAGAGTTAACAGACTTCGAACGTGGGCAAATTGTTGGAGCACGTATGGTAGGTGCTTCCATAAGCAAGGTAGCCGAGGTGTTTAGTGTTTCAAGAGGTACTGTATCGAAGATTTATTCCGCATATTTGAAAAGCGGAAAAACATCATCTGCTAAATCACAGCGCGGACGAAAGTGTGTCCTGAGTGATCGTGACAGACGATCATTAAGGGCAATTGTGACGAAAAATAAGAAGACCACAGCTGCAAAAGTTACTGCTGAAATGAATGTTGTGTTACCGAACCCTGTGAATACCAAAACAATTAGAAGGGAGCTTCATAAACAGGGAATTGCTGGCGGGGCTGCAATTGAGAAGCCACTCATCAGTGATGCTAATGCCCGTAACAGGAAAAGGTGGTGTTTAAGTCATAAACCCTGGACTATAGAGCAGTGGAAGCGAGTAATATGGTCTGACGAGACTTCTTTCCACATTGTTGTTTCCCACTTCTGGGCCGAGTTTACGTCTGGAGAACGCCATCTCAAGCCTATAATACAGACTGCTTGTTGCCAAGAGTGAAACATGGCGGGGTTTCTGTTATGGTTTGGGCAGCCGTATCGTGGTTCTCTGCTAGCCCCATGATAACTGTGTCAGGGCACATGACTGCCAAGACTTATGTGAACATTTTGGCCGATCAAGTTCATCCCATGGTACAAACTTTGTTCCCCGATGGTGATGGTGTCTTCCAAGACGACAAAGCCCCTGTTCCCACAGCTCACATTGTCCAGGACTGGTTTTCTGAGCACGAGGATGAGTTGTCCCATCTCCCCTGGCCACCACAGTCACCAGACTTGAATATTATCGAACCTTTGTGGTCTACATTGGAACGGAAAGTGCGTTCTCGTTATCCACCGCCAACATCGTTATCTGAACTTGCCACCGTTTAGCAGGAAGAATGGTATAATATCCCCTTGGCAAACATACAGGAACTGTATTTATCCATTCCGAGAAGACTGCAAGCTGTTTTGGATGCCAGCGGGTTTCCTACCCATATTAAGCAAAGAAACATGTTTTTTTAAAGGTGTTTCCATAATTTTGTCCAACCCCTGTATATTTACAATACATTTTCTAGCTCCTTAAATAAACAATTCAGACATTTTAGTTTAATCCTTAACAGAGCAAAGAAAAACTCTTAGTACTCTTAGTGTACTCTGTAACATGATGCACAATTTCAAATATTTTCAGATTAATAAAAATCATGTTTTCGCGTCAGCATTATTTAAGGATTGAAACATATCATTAACTCCAAATCAGCAAACAAAGCATTGTTTAAGCATTGAAACATTAGTATGCCACATTGGTGTTTTTTTAATTTACAAGATATTCATTTCTTTAATTTTGAAATGATATTTATATAAACGTTTTAGTTACCGACCTCACTTAAATGCACTTAAAAAAAAAACTAATTGTGGGACGTCTAAGTACAGTGATGGAAAATGAACTCCCAACCCGAAGAATAAATTAGTTTAGAGAAATGAAATATAAGCAAATTTGTCTGAGTAACATAGCTATTAGGTTAAAGTTTCAAAGAATGCGTGAGAAAAGCCGTTTCGAATGTGAAATGGTGGTACATTAATAACCGTTGTAGTCGCCACGGTGTTAAATGCAAGCGTGGTAACGCGCATGCATTGTGTCGTATAGATGCCGTATGTCATTTTGTGGGACAGAACTCCACAAAATGACATACGGCACTTGTTGCACTTAATCAGTCAAATCAGCAACGGTCCGTGTTGGTTATGAATGACGCTGGATCTACCGTCCAGTTATGTTCCATACGTGCTCTATGGGGAAAAGATCGGGTGATTTCGCAGGCCAAGGCAACATGTCGAAACTGTAGAGCATGTTGGGTAATAGTAGAGGTATGGAGACGAATATTTTCCTGTTAGAAAGTACTTCCTCTCCCTTAATACTGCAAGAATAGCAGCACAATCGCTGCTGATGTACAAATTTGCTATCAAGTGTGGGATAACGACGAGAGTGCTGCTGCTGTCATAGAAAATTGCTTCCTATATCGTAACTCCTGGTGCAGGTCCAATGTGTCTACGCCGCAGACAGCTTGGTTCTAAGCGCTCACCTGGCCTCCACACTAACCACCCTACGGCCGTCTAACCATATACGGCGATCACTGGCACCAAGGCGGAAACGGCTTTGAACTAAGAACACAGCACCCCTCCGCTGCGTTCTCTGATGAGTTCCAACTAGACGCATTCAAAGTTGCAGATGGCTCTGATTTGGAGTTAATGATATGGCCTGGATTTGGAGTTAATGATAACATACTGTGTTTTGCTCGGAGTTGTCTCAAGTAATCAGTTTGTTACACCTTCTCGTAGCCTTATTATGCGGCCTAATCAAACTCAGTAAGCTGATGATACAACCATCTTCATCGTCGAATTTTACATCCCGCATTTAAACGCAATTTGCAAGCAAAAGTGATTTACATGTTCATAGTGGCACTACTAACGCCACCCTTATTTAGCTCGAAATCTGAATAGGCATCATCTTTCAGATGTGTAACATGCCGCCCAGATTTCGCTTATTTAGCACACCTTTTCCTTGATATTAGAATTTCATTTTTTTATCAGTGTATTTTGAAAAGATATTGAGAGAATTTTAAGGAAAAGTGATAACACAGAAATGACATACATTATTATGATTACGTTTAATTCACTAGATTTTTCCTAGTGCTATTTTAAAATGAAACATTTTCAAGAGCATCACGATTTTATTTTTAGTGTTTAGCATCACGATTTTTACGCATGATCAAGTGTTTTGTGATTGTTAAAAGAATTTTTTTTTTTTTTTGTCTTCCCGTGTACCCAATGGTGTAACATTGTTTTCGGTTCATTTAAGTGTGTGCTTGATTTAAATATTCTGCTTCATTATCGCTTAAAACCAACGATAACGAATTGAATCCTTGATTTGAAAACCTGTCATTGTTAGTAGTTGCACAGTAGCTGAGAAAGGAATCGTTCGCATTTTGAAGGATCACCAAAATTTGGTGAATTTTGCAAGAGATTCCAAAAGAACTTTCATTTAAAAGATTATTTTTTTATCTATCCAAAATTTTAAATATCAGAAGCCTAAATTAGATCAAATATATGTGATAAAATAATGCACTGAATAAAACAAACCTCTATCGAATTTTGCAATTATCGATGGAGAGTATTATATTTTCATCACAAGCACGTATACTATAAACAAGAATTAAGAATAGTAACACAACCCATTTTCTACTTATTTCCACGATATCCCGCGAGGTACATTGTTATTATTGACTGTTGACAGAGGACAGTGCCGCCGTCCATTTACCATAGGTTAGTCGGTTTTGCCTCACGTCCGCTGCTATCGAGTGGAAGAGCACCCGGTAAGGCGGCTAGCGTCCACAGTAGGCGAGCAGAGGCACAATATATCTTCAATTGTATTTTCATTGCTTATCTGGCAGCAAGCAAATATAACACGGTAGGTTACTTGCTTACACTGAATGGCACAAAAATATATAATACTAATATACAAAAGAATATAATACAACAGGAAACGTAATGTAAATAGGCAATAAAATGCAATAGATTCACAATATAAAACACAGTATGTTACATGCATTGCGTATATACAGTTAACACATCGATGCATGAGGGAATTAACAAATCCGTTTCTTGATTTTGTATAAAGTACTAAAATAGTATCGGGCAAATGTAGATAATTCATAATCAAGACGTGAAACATCATTTCGTTTGTCTATGAGTCAAGTTACATCATTTCGTGCGTCTTTTTTCCTACAGAGATACTGAAATAATAAATTCCGTAGCAAAACGTTGTGCCCAGTTATTTTATTACACAGTGCAACAGAGTTATTCTCCGTGCTGTTAAAGCATTATCTTGCAGATTTTCTGCATTTAAGTGATGCTGCATAGTTAAACATCGGCTCAATGCTTGCAACGTTTTATTTGGAAACTTTTTCAAAAAATTACTCAAAAATTGAGGAATGTAAAATCAGTTTTATTATTAGGTTTTTCTCAAAATAATCGCCATTATATTCCTTGTAGTATTCTTGCTTGTAAAACCACCACTGAAAGCTTCTTTCCACTCGCCTTCTGCAAATGTTATTTTCGAGAGCTTCGTCTGCGGATTAGGATTTTTACTTTAGGAAATAAGAAGTCATCTCAATGGCCCAGGTCAATGCTATAGAGTGAATGAATTATAAATTTAACCTTGGCAGACTTTTACCTTGAAATTAGCATCATAAATCCTAGCACAGTATTTTCAAAACTTTTATAGTGACCTACCATTATTTATATGTCTCGTAGTTCTCTAGTAACGTGAATAAAATCGCGGCTCTTTAGTGGAGAGCAAAAAGACCTTTATAAGGGAACTGCAAACTTCGTTTTGCGACATATTTAAGTGTCGTAAAATTTTTTAATTTGATTATTTAGTTTCTGCGGTTCAGAAAGTCTTTAAAGAAATCCTTTTTTAATTATTACCTTGAAGCTATCAACCTGTTTTATTTTGAAGGAAACTATACTAAATTGTCAGTACCTGTAACATAGTATATTCCTTGGTTCAAAAGGAAAATATCGTATTTTTACATTGTTGAAATAGCCATCATTCTATTTTCATTCATTGTTTACTAACTACTTAGACTGATCAAGCAGTTCTGTCATGAAAGCAAGGTTTTTAAATTCTTCTATACCATCTTTATGCTCAGTATCAATTTCCCACGATCGCAAATAATACAATTACGAATTATGTACATAAATAGATGATTTTAGCGCAATTTGTAAAATTGCTGTATTTTGCTGCTTAATATAACATCAAAAATCTACAGAGACGAGCTATGTCGAAAACGTAAGAATACAGGTGTAAGTCCATTTAACATTGAGGAAATGGCTATCTCGGTAATTTGGAGAGAAATCTCCAAAAGTCTCAAACTTGGTGACCATTTGGCGACATTTAGGTCCGATCCCTGTATCACCGTCATAGGTATTGTAACTGAATAAGTGTAACTGATATTAGCTGCAACCTTAATTCGACCCTCATATTGCTTTCCAGTAATTTCGAGAAGCAGAAAGTACTAGAAATATCTCAGAGGCCGTGTGAAAACCGGTATAAGGTCGGAGACAGAGCATTTTCTCTCAATTTCAGTTATTGTTTTTGCGAGTTGTTAGTTCAGCGTGAACTGAGATATCTCCGGGTTAGCTTTCTCTTTAGATGCGCTTTACATTGCGTCGTGTTTAACGTTCTCAGAAGTTCGAAGTGAATGTACTGACTGTATTTTATGATACTGTGAACAGCTGTACGAGTATTTTTGTGGAAAATTCCAGAACTGTGAAGTGTTTCTTTTGATAAGAATAAATTTTATTAACCTATCATCGGACCTATGTACATTCAATCTATTATGAAACAGTCCATACGCAGCAATACAAACAAAAATTTGATTCCATTTTTAACTTCACTCATGTAGGAACCATTATTCTCTGCAGTACAAGTAGTTAAGTCTTAAAAAAGGGGGCGTTGAATTAACGCTTATGTTATTTCCGTCTGTTACTGTGTCAAAGTTAAACTCAGCGAAAAAAAAACCAAGCTCAAATTAGGTGAGCGTTAATGTAGTATTTACATTAACAATAACACAAAATCCAAATCACTGGGCTCATGAGTTCACTGATGTGTTAAATGTGTTGGCAGGCGCAAAAGGTTTGTAAGAGGATGGTCTATAATAGCTAACATATAACCACCTGTACAATATGTTTTACTGCCTCCAAGTAGCGTATGTAAAGAAACCAACTTTACAAAAACGTATTGCGCAAAACAAATTTACAAGTTTACTTCATCTTCAAAATTATTCATTTCATTAAGGAGAAAATCAATTATACATTTTATAGCTATAATTTAAAATAAGAAATTTTCATCAGTTAATCAATCATCATAGAATGATTATTTAATACCTAACTGATTGTTGAAGTTAATGACTATGATACGTACTATTGTGCTTAATATAAGCAGGGTTACAACAAGCTGCTCTCCTTGCCAAAAATGTTATGTCAAAAATGCTACAAAATTAACATTTTATATAATAATCATGCATGCTTAATGTTTTAAGAAACATATATTTATTTATTGCTTTATAGCTTTAAGATTTCCTTGCTTCATAATTTTATGTTAAGATTGAGAATATTGTTGAATTTATTTTCTTTCTCTGTAGAGCTTCGTTAATGTCTTTAGAAGATTTTGAAACACGGCTTAATCAAGTGAGTATTTCTTTTACTTTTCAAAACTAATTATAAAATTTCATTTTAAATGTATATAATCTAAAAATAACCTTAACTTTTTACAGTTGCCTAAAGTTAGAACTTAGAATGAGCATAGGAATCTGACAGGAATTGGGAATTAAGCTGTTTCACTTGTATTATAACATAAATACGCATGATGATGTGATTTAACCATATAAATGTGATATTATTCATTAGTATGATAAGAATATAAGAATGTAACATTAAAACGACTCTGAATTTTTTATATTGCAGTAGACTAAAGCATGTATGTTTTAATCATAATTTCTATCAAACTATGATACACATACCCAATCAAAGTATGGAATTAAGGATATAGCTCACATCTTCAAGATCAAAATTCTGTATTTTATTTTTAAGTATATAGTTTTGGTTTTCTACTTAAGGATATGATGGATGAAATATTGTAATTCATCAAATTTTTCTTTCGTTTCTTTAAAAAGTCTCCTTAATAAAATAGTAGATACTATTTTGAAGAAGTATCAAACATAAAAAATCAACCATTTCTTCGCTAAAATTCAAACCACAGTTTTTCTTTTGTTGTTGTTTTTAATTAGATATGCTAACCGATTACCGTTAACTGCGCCGTCAGAGGAATTCGAACCACGGATCTTCCAGTTGCTAAATGGACGTTGCACTTACACCTCGGTAGCACGACGAAGAAGTGTGATAATTTCTTAAAACATTATAGCAGCTACATTTTTCTACCTAAAAAATAAGAGACTAAAGACATTACATTTTGATCACTTTTGTAACTTATAAATGTTTAGTGAATTGTATATTGATTACGAGTTCAGACTTTGGTCTCGTATCAAAAATTAACTTAAATTTTGTAAAGATTCAAAGTGTTTATAAACTTTAAAAAATGAGAGCTGATTGTTTTTTTCAGTGGAACTTTGTAAAGCTTTCATGCATATTTGAATAGTGATATAAATTATTACTTCTGAATAATAAGAAAGCATACCAGGAAAAAAAAAACCACTTTGTGGGCTGCACTTGGCACGCTAGCAGCTATTTATCCACCTCTGGTGAATTATAGTCCACCCTTAGTGTGATTTGCAATAATAAACTAAACCAAACCAAACCATTTTTACATTTATAAAAAATATATATATGTAATATATTCCTCGATACAAAGATTTTTCGCCTGATGCCCTAGACAGCACATTCTCCAGATTTTTCCCCCATTTAAAATATCCAGTCATAGCCTGCCGAGAGACATACACGACACGACGACTGATAAATTCTTGCATAAAGTTGAAGCCTCATAGGATGAAATATTCGTATCTGTCATCCAACCTCAGTTCGATCTGACATCCAGCCGAATTACAGCCGTTAAGTTATCAGCCGAATTACAGCCGCACTCCAAACCACCTGAAAATTTAATCATGTCACCCTGCAATTATACTGTATATTTACAACGAATAAGATTCTGCTATTTGCGTTCCTACTTGGTACATCAGTTTTGCTGACCAATATAATTACAGTAAGAGTTGTTTCAAATATTTAACAGTACATGATATTTCTAAAAGGTTTACACTTCTAATTATGAACTGGATTATAAGTTATAAAACTGTTACAAAGACACAGTTCTTTTATTAGCAACTTGGTAATATATTTTTAAAAATTTTTGAATTTGATAATTACGTCAAATTTTAATGACAGACAATTTTTCGTCATATTATGTTTTTAAATAATTATAACAGTGCCAAAGAAAATTAAAAGTAACGTTATGTTTGTGATTTTAGGCCATAGAAAGAAACGCCTTTTTAGAAAATGAGCTTGATGAAAAAGAAAATATGGCCGTCCTCATACAAAGACTTAAAGATGAAGCAAGAGGTATGTCATTATTCTTCCTCCTTCTTTATCTTACATTAATATGACATTTGTATTATATTTATTTTATTGACACGATATTAAGTGGTACTTTACTAATTTTGTTATAACCAGTGTTTTTATTTTACAAATTCTATTCACATAATGTTTTATATTTCATTTATACATCTAAATTAATGCGACTGATAATGCCAAAACACTTCTTATGAGATTATAAATAAGGCAATGAAAGTAATCCATATCCATATCTTTAAAATGACCAATATATTAGGAAATTTGCAAAAATATTTATTACTTATAAATATTACATTAGAATGTTGAATTATTAAATAAGAATGTTCTCTTGCTGAAAATCTTCAGATATGAATCTGAGTGCTACTCTATTTCCATGTCATACTTTCTACAATCTGCACGTTTTACGTCAGCCTAACTCGCCTTAGTCTTTTTCTGCCAATTGAATGCCTCTTATGTCTAATTTTACTCTTATGTTTAATTTATGTCTAATAAGGTCTGACTCGATAATGCCTAAGTTTGAAGTAAACCGAAAAATTTTCAAAAATTTCATAACATGGTTTAATTATTTTTCTATGTATAAATTAAAGACTGCTTCATAAAGGTGCCCACACCCCTTATGCGAATCGGCAGTAATTCAAAAAGGCAAAAATTTTCACAAGAGATCTCCGGCATGAAGGTGCGCTCACCTTTACTATGGTCAATTTCTATTTCAAAAACATTAACCATCATAAGGTTGAGTGGCTTTTCAGCCAGAGCATCCTTACGCAAGTTCAGCTTTCGTTTGCAAACTTAAATCGTAATACAAACGAAAAATCGATCGGACTTTCATAAGGGTGTGGGCACTTTGATGACACAGCACTGCTGTAAAGAAGTCCCCGATAAATATCCAGAGGTACATTAAAAATCATATATGTATGCAATTTTAGTTGGTACATTTATTGTCCTGATCGGTATAGTGATTAGCGATGCGGGCTGCAGTAACGTTGGGCTTGGCTTCGAATCCCGGAGAAGGCATGGATGTCTGCGCGACATGAGGCATTTAAAATACTGGTGAGCCAAAAGTCTCTAGAGTAACTTAATGCTAAGACCTTAAGAGACCCTCAGATCTGTATCCTGTGGTTTTCTTCATCAAACCGGGGAAAAGCTATACAGTTAGTACAATGAGACTAACCTATACAACCAATAGCGAAATTCTGGTGTCCCGCCCACTTTCTCCTGTCCTGTTGGTACATCTTTAAAAATTTTGGTAGATCTAAATCTGTCGTAGACTTTAGAATTAATTGAAAGAGTAATAAATTGTAGAATTTATTGAAACTGATTTCTTGTTTCTTAGTCTAACTGGAGCAAAATTCTGCTGGGTTATTTTGTTCATATTTCAATATAACTCTCATACATTTTTACACAAGTGGTTATAGATCAGAGATCTCTTGCACATCCATGATTAATTTTTATACAATTAATTGTGGCTAATACATGATTATCTATAAGTTATCACTGATTTTCAAATTGTGTTTTTATTGATGAGGGCGTATCATCTAATTCTCCAATTTTTTTAGCATCTCTCACTAATGAAGCGCGTAAGTTAACTTTTGTGAATCATATTATTCTGTATTATTTATTATTTATTCAACCCATAAACTGAATTTTAAAAATTGATCACTTTTTATATTCGCCGTTAAATATCGGGAAAATAATTGACTGAATTTTAACTTTCATTTTTTTCATGTTTATTCCACCTAATAGGCGGCCACCGTTACCTCTTACGAGGAGACACACAATTTACATCCATGCTTTCTCCAGGATTCGAATGAACTCGGGCCCTTCGGTATCGCAATCGGCTCCCCTAACCACTATGCAGTCTGGGAGGCATCTAAATGTTACATTTGCAATTCTTTTGTTTTTTGCTTAAATTCTCAATTTTTTAGCTTCAAGTTCGTTAGACGTTGTATTCTTTGCTGGTGAAGTTATTTCTTTCAGAAATCATTCCAGTTTAATTATATTAGATTTAAATGAAAACCTTTTAATCTGCTAACATCTGCTGAATTTCTCCAAAATACTCTGTCGCTTTATTCGAATTAATGCTTAGATGAGTAGTTTAGTGTCGAATATGGAACAACATGAGGTACCGAGTTATATTTGACTCTTTGCTAAATGCAAGCCAATGGAAATAGTATATGCATAAAGTAATTAAGCAAAGCAATGAGATACAAGAAGGATATTTTCTCACTTGAAGTGATATATCTCTTCCTATCAACGCTATCAGAGTTATGAAAGGTTTTGCTTCTATTAAATCATGTGAAGATGATCACCTACCTATGTTCTGCGCGTGTTCAAATAAGCATATGAAATCATAAGCTAAAAATTTTTTACAAGCATATCTTTATTTATTTGTCAAGCATAAAATATTTTAAACAAAATTTTACATTTTTTATAATCTGTTTAAACATACTGGCTTTCCTACACAGTGGTGAATTCCTGCACCAAATATGTTGTCCTTTCTGATATCTACCTAATTATTTTTACAATCTAAAATTCCAAATGCAATTGAATTTACTGTGCATTTAAGAGATTTTTTTATATATCATTTAATTCAATTTAATCGATTATTTTATCCGATACTTCGATTATTTAGTAGGTAGTTTCATATTAACCTCGCTATGTACTGCTCCCCCCCCTCTATACAAAACGAATATTGTCAAATATGATATCCATTAGTACAACTTAACTTTTCCTTTTCAGCCAATGCCAGGTATGATAGCCATTAATACAATTTAACTTTTCTTTCTTTAATAAGATATAAATTTTATAATTTTAGCATGATAAAGAATGAATTGTTTTTTTTTTACACTTAAGTATTTGTGCTTTTTGTTCCGAGAATACTTATGTTAAGGATTTGATTGCGTTTTGCACCGTTATTTTTTTCAGTTGTTGCTTTCAGTAAAGTTATTAAAATAATATATGTTAAATCTCATTTTTGAGACTTTTGTGAGTTTTAAAATGGAAATAAGTCTTATTTCTCATGTTTGCCCATATAGCTTACAAATACTTGAAGAATAAACTTTAAAACATTTATTAGTTTGTAATAACCATCAAAACTTACTGCCTTCTTTTCTGATTTAGTTACTACAGCAACGTTTTATACTTTTTTGTTAAATTCGCCACTGCCTTAGTCCCCCAGACTGACAAATTAATCACCCAATCTGCAATATACTAGTTTTAAATGTCGGTAATGTTCAAAATTCAAGTCTTATGTAGTGGTTGGTCACTTTAATAAGGAACTATCTAGAGTTCTTTCTGACAAAAATTTAAAAAAAAAAAAAAAAAAAAAAAAAAAAAAAAAAAGGGAAGAGATTACATGTTCAAAAACGTCATCTCATGTGGTGGAGTTAAGGTATTAAGATAAAACTATCACCCACCTTTTAAAATTCTTTTCTTTTTTTAGATTTGAAGCAAGAGCTCTTAGTGCACGACGCACCCAAAAATGGTGACATACCACAATCTCCCTCCAAACATTTTGATAACATAATGGATTCCAATAAACTTATCACTGAAGCTGAGACAGCTAATCGTGTTCGTGTAAGACGTAAGTGGGTTTTTTTTTTTTTTTTTTAATTGAACATTTCTAACTTAAATACAAGGTTATATTTCACTTCAGGCTTTTCCAAATCAATCTTTTTTGATGACCCTCTAATTTAAGTCTTTTTAATATGCAAGATGGTTTGAGGATAAATTCCTTCTTCAGTCTTTCCATTCAACAGGGTTATATATATTAACCATATTTAATACAATAACATGCTTTTAACATCAGTATATAACTTTGCCCTGTACTATGTGCATATTCTTGTAATTAGCATGTATAAAACTGAATATTGATAGATACAAAACGCATTTCAGATTTCAGGTATTATAAAAGAGAAAGGTGGCACAATATTCACAAGCAAACTTTAGTTGCCATCTTCAGAATCCGTAATAACATTTTCACTGAACAACTGTGGTGGTATCGGGAGCCGGAAATGGATTAGGTTTTGAGAGTCTCATTTCGAATATTTCTAAAGAGCAGAAAAAGCTTGAAGTTGCGTGATTTTTGATGCCACTTTCAGAAAGTCTGAAGAAGGAAAGGGTAAACTTAAATATCCCAAAATAATATTGTAATAGTGTCTAATAATAACTGAAAAATGAGTGTATTAATCATTAAAATCAGGAGTTAATTTCAAATAACATTTTATTAACACCTGACATTAATATACAGAAAAGGATAAACAGAACATGGAATTACATAAAATAATTAAAATTTAGGGAGCGAGTTCAAACAATATAACAGTTCCGGTCTGCAGCTCCCTTCGAACTGATTATTTTCCCCAAATCGTCGGTAAAAGGCGTTACTGACGATATTCATTCATTACAGTCTGCCCCCCCCGGCTAAGCAGATGTCTCTGTGAGTAGTCAGAGGAATAATTGTGTGGTTGTTTCTTTTGTGAAGCATTCCTAGAAATGTCCTTTCTTCACTTTTCTTAAGGAGATAAACTGGCCAGTTTCATTGAAGGTTTCTTTAAATGTTCGGAGGGCACACGTGTGATACTTTCCAAGAGGCATGTTTGGGTCTTTAATATCAGCTCTTTCATAGCTCAGAGGAGAACGTCTCCTTTATATTATGTAGGGGCCATCTCGTCGAGGTGCGAATTTTGAGGACCACATTTTGGTCTTGTTGCTAATAGGGTGTGAGGTTGCCCATACTTTGTTTCTAGCTGAGTACTGAATTGCACAATGACGGTTCTGATTTCATTACTTTGGTCTTGCTTTCGTTGGAAGAGATCTTTAATTTCGGTTGAAATATTTGCAAATTTTAAGATAAGGAGTGATTTCTACAACAAAATTGTTATTTTCGATGATTGGTTTGATGTCATGCTTCATATCATCTAGAGTTCTGAGTTCCCTTCCAAAATGGAGAAAGGCTGCGCTGTGTGATGTCATGTCATACACTGGTTATCATAAATTAAGGGAAAATCGCAAAAATAGTGATAACTCCCTCAAAAATAAGCCAAACCGTGTAAAATTTGAATATGTTACCAAGTAAGAGTAGCGGAGTAAAACCGCAATATGCAAATTAGTGGCCCTGCACTCGGAATACGTCATCTGCGAAGAGCATAAGTCCATGTTTGAGAGCAAGCCCACATACTTACTTCACTGTGATAGTGACATCAGAAATCCGAGATAGCCAATTAGTAACAATGACCTCCAGGCATCATTTGCCTGCAGAACTACTATGGAGAGCCATTGGAAGACTACAGGCAGGACAAAGTCAAACAGAAGTGGCCAGATGGCTAAATGTGAGTCCTTCCGTGGTTCATAGATTTTGGAGGCAATTTCAAACCACAGATTCAGCATGTAGGAGGTTCAGCCAAGAACGGCCAACTGCTACAACGAGCGCCAATGACCGATATTTCACATTATATGCACGCAGGAATAGAACCGCTACTCCGACTACTTAGATCTTCCCTTGCTGCAGCCACCGGAAGGTTGGTGTCATCGTCAACAGTGCATAGAAAGCTTCACGAAGGTGGTCTGTATGCGAGGCGACCAGCCATTTGCCTGCCGCTCACGTCACACCATAGGAGGGACTGTTTGCAGTGGGCATGACAACATGGCCACTAGATACCAGATCAATGGAGGGCTGTTCTCTTTACGGATGAGTCCAGGTTTAGTCTAGAAAGCGATAGTAAGGCGTTATTTGATATGGAGAGAACACTGGAATCACGTTATCATCCGTCAAACATCCGTGAAAGAGATGCATACAGAAGAGGCAGTGTCTGTGTTTGGGGTGACATCTCTTTGGGTAGACGCACAGACCTCCATGTCTTTCCAAGGAGAACCGTGAACGCTTAGGTTTATAGAGATCACATCCTTGATGCTGTGCGCCCATATGCCGGGGCAATAGGTAGTGCTTTCCTGTTACAGTATTACAACACAAGACCACACAGGGCTCACATCGTAGATGATTATCTTCAACAGGAAGCAATTATGCACATGGAGTGGCCAGCTCGATCCTCGGATTTGAATCCTATCGAGCGTGTTTGGGATGCTTTAGGGAGACATCTAGTTTCGCCCCCTCAGACCCTTGCCGTGCTTGCAACTGCTTTTCAAGAGCAATGGCTCTCGCTTCCTACGAAACTGATAGACCGCATAATTGAAAGCATCAGAGATCGTTGTATGTGCTGTATTCCTTCTAGAGGCGATCATATTCCATATTGAAGGTACTTTTCTTATAGCAAACTGACACCTTCAATTTGTTCATTTTATACATGTGATAACTTTTATACTACCATAATTGTCTGGTAATTTCTTTTTGTGTAATTTGATACCTTACTATATGTTCTGTATCGGTAGGTAAGTTTCATAAAATTCTACAGGTAGCTTTTTTAGTAATCGTGATTTTTCCTTAATTTATGATAACCAGTGTATTTCGTGGTATTCAACACAAATCGTATTGTTGGTAGTGTTCTCAAATCACGTTAGTATGATCGTTACCAACAAGAATTGCCAGTCTTTGTTTCAAATCCTTATTCTTGCGTTCTACAGGATTTGCCTGAGGGCAATAAACAGGCCGAGTTATGTCGAGCAAATAGGAAGCTTGCTGCACAACAGCACTAATAAACTGCGTGCTATTTTCACGGATAAGTCGACGTGAAAACCCATACCGAAGAAACACCTCTTCTGTAAGAGTTACAACAACGGTGGTGTCTTACAGGGCAAAAACCTTCCACCCCGTACTTGTATCTTCAACAATGAAGATCTATTTATATCCATTCACAGTCTCAGAGGACCAAAATGATCTATGGCTAGTGTTTCGAACCTTTGGAAATATATAGGTGTCCTCAGAAGTCCAACAGGCTTTTGGTTGCCAGATTTATACCTGTTACATTCCATATGATTATGAACGTACTCTGAGATTTATTTTTTCATTCCTGGGAAGTAATATTATAATGCTATTTTGTGATAAGTACCCTCTGCTCCATACTGTCTTGCAGTTAATGCGTTCTGGTACTCTTTCAAAACATTTTCTCCTTCCTGGATTGGAACGACAAGTTGCGCTTCTTCTGATTCTTTGTCTGGAGCATAAGCTGTGCCATATATTCCATTGATGGAGATATTCATCACTGCAGTTATTTTTGTGTTGCCTAACTTTTTTATACAAATATTGACAAAACGAGCTGAGGTTGAACTCGTGCTAACAATCTGGACATTTTGATTTAATAAATCCAACTTTGCCACAACCATAGCGTGAGAGGATTGGTTTATCTGTTTTTCTGTCCATCTAGTTTTTATCAGCTACATTGGTATATGTCATCTTCACTGGCATCAAATTTTGGATACCACCTTCGGAACTGGAATTTACTTTTGAGTTTGTGAGATTGCAACTTTGCTTTGATTATTGCGTGAACAATCGTTTTAAGTGTCCAATTTTTCTACTACTTCTGAAGGTGAGTTTAAGTTCGGTCCCAAATGTCCAAAAAGTAACAAAAATTCCTAAGAAACTCAAGAAATAAGAGACTACTTTTCAACTTCTTAAAAACTTTTTCATCTGGTCAGCTACAATGAGCTGCTCCAAATCATCAAATTTTGTACTACAGTCAAAAGTCGTTAATTCGGACACCCATAATTCGGAATGATCTATAATCCGGACATCAAAACTAAAAACTTTCTGCGCATGCGCCGCGTTGACACATGCGCAGAGGCGTTCACGCGTGCGCGTAAGACCTTTTACGACTGCGCATATGAGTGTGCGCAAGTGCAGAATACGTTTTCGCGTGCGCATTTTATGTATAATGGACGTATAAGCTAAAATTATCTAATTACCTATTTCAGTTAATGTTGATGATTGCGTTGTTCCTTAATTTTTGAATTGCATCCGGCTTATTATTTTTTGCAGACTGTAAGAGCAATTTTATAAAAGTAAGCTTAAACTTTCGATTATATCAAATAGAATTTCCGATATATATTTGTTAATATGTAAAGGATCTAAAGCGAAAGTATGTTTTGAAATCCGAAATCTGTTTATCAATTTCACACTGCTCGGGGGCGGGCGCATAATGAATTGGAATTTGATTTGTCAGCACTATCCTTATCTTCAGCGCAGATGTTTTTATTTTATTTGGCTTATAATTCCTTACTAAATGTAGTATTTCATCTCGATATGCTCTGTCTTTGATATGATTTAAAACAAGTTCCTCGTCATTATAATTCGCTTCCGATAGCGAAGAAAAGTGACAGAGGTTATTGAAAACAAAAAAAATTTCGATTGACAAATTAGTCGGTGTTCTTGACACAGCAATTATAGGACTTGAACGGCGGAACTTTGTAACTGAACAAGAAATTATGTCTGTTTAATAGAATTAAAGAGAAAGTATTATCACATGAAACGAAGCAAAACTTAAACAACTTACATTGAAAGAAATGTTTAATAAAGTAAACAAATAAATATTAAGCTTTTTCTTTTTGCAAATTTTGATACCCTTTAGATCATAATTGTTCTTTATTTCATAAATTACGGTTTTATATTTTTAATTTTAGAATTTCTGCATGCCATCTTACGAGATTTAAACTGATGATCTATAATCCGGAAAAATCGATAATCCGGAATCGCCGAAGTCCCGACGAGTCCGGATTAACGACTTTTGACTGTATTTAATTCTCTAAGCCAATTGTCAAAATAATTGGTCAGCTGAAAGTAGAAATCACGCCATGTATGTTCTGCTTTCTTCCGATATAAAGCGAACATTTGTCAGAATTTATCATCGGTGAGCTTATACCTCTTTAGAAGCATTTTCTTCATCTCTTGATTCCTCTTCTGGCTCACAAGCAATCAATTTTCCAATTTCTGTTGGTAGTGATCCCACTAAATACGGAACCCAAATTGCTTCTAGAACCTTTAAAAACTTCAGTTGTCTCTCAAAAAGATTTACGAACAAGGTACGTCATTTTCCTTAGGATCATATTTAGGTAAAATTCTGTCAAGATCCCAACTGGTTTTTTTCAACTTCGACAACAGAACCTGCTGTAGTGGAGAGGGGTGTCTTCTGAACTTCGAGTTGAAGTTTCAAGCGTTCCAATTCTTAAGCTCGCCTCTTTTGCTCTTCTTTGGCTAATTTCTCTTCTTTAGCAGCTTCTTGAGCAATACGTTCTTATTCAGCTTGTTTCTCTTTCTTAAGCCTTTCTTCTATATATTAGTAAACATGTTTTTCACTAATTCTTCATCATAATTATGAGATTTTGTTATGAGTTTTAACTGCATCGCTTTTAGATTGTCTGCTACGACTAATTCCAATTCAAGCGCAAGAAGTTATAAATATTTTTTTCTTCCCCTAGCCAAAAAAAACATTTTGTCTTTTGTGAAATTTAAACACTTTCGTAAAGTCTCAGTTGAAGTTCACACTATCACTGTTAAAGCTTAATGTTCAAATTTTATACTTGTTTGAATTTTAAATGTATTTAAATTCGTCCTTCAGTCCTTAGATATCATTGATAGTTTTAGGAACCTACGTTCATACAAAAGAAATCAACTTTGCAATAATTTAAAATAAACACTACGGGTTCACAATACAATACCAGTAGTACAGTAAATATATAAAATAGCCCAATTTTATCAGTTTAATTACCTTTAGTATTACTTATAAATAAAAACTTATAATAGTAGTTATCTTCATTGAATCTTATGAGCCTCTTATTCAAAATAAACATTATTATAACAATAGAATACTAAAATTTCAATCATGTATAAAAGTTTATTAAACCTTAGTTTCATTTCAGAATTATATCAATGATTTTTCAACAACATCAACAATCAACAAATGGTAATGAAAATCAAGGTCAATTATTTTAAATATTAAATATTTTTAATATGTTAACTAAAATTGGTATCCATCAAATTTCCTTTTACCAAAACCATTGATATTTAATCATAATAGACGCATGAAAAATATATAACACTTTCATTTGTTCTACTCTATAAAACTAGCATTCAATAAAAATAAAAGTTCATAAGTACTGCATATTCCAAAAGAAAGAACAAAGAGAAAAAAATAAACATTTACACATTCAGAATCAAGAAACATTGCAAGTTAGGAATGAAGACGCGATCATGCGACGCCTTTGTTTCATTTTCATTTATCACCCAGTGTTCTTTCTTTTACAACAAATCGCAATGCATATAAAATAATAAATTACATTTCACTTTTAATTTTCACAATTAAGTCTTAAATTACCTCTCTAAAAGTATTATTTTCAAAAGAAATTATATTCAAAATTAATAGAATATGTTGTTTAACTCTATTACTCAGAATAAACATTACAATCGTAATTTACAATTCACACATTTGTCAAAACTTAGTATTGTAACAGAACTATTTAAGTGTAATTGAACTATTTTATTCAACGCCATGAACTGTAACCGAACTATTTTTATTTAAAACGCGATCCCGTGGTGATATGAAAAACGTCAGTCGACCTCCAGCCGCCATGATGATAGTTTACTATGTTATGTTATTCAACTGTTTGATGTTCCATTTGGTATATGTTTCATTTTTATGTATATTTCTTTTGGATTTATTAACAGAGCACACAGGAACGGTTACAAACAAAATTGATTTATTAATAAATCCTTGATTTAATCGTCAAATCGTCTTGATAATAAGATCCATGTTTAATCCATTTCATTACAAGAATATATGGGATGAATGCTTCAATTCCTCACTGTTTTACGAAATTTTGTTGAAATTCTGAAGACTGCTAATCATAAAGTAAAAAGAGTATTTTACCCAAAAAAATTCATTTGAAATGGCATAATCAATCTCAAAAATAAAATAAATAAATAAACAAAAAGAAAAAATATAAAAGTAGTCCTTGAAGGAACAAGAAAATCCAAACTGAAGTAAGTTGTCCGAAATAGTAGATCGTATGGCTGACATTTAATTCTGAACATCACTGAGAACAAGCTAACATAACATCAAATGGTATGATATCTATTTAAAATGCTTATATATGCAAGTACTGTTATTAAATGTATGTACCAGTTGTTAAAATTATGGTTATGTCACAAAATTAATTAGTTTAATTAAAATCATATCCTGAACAAGTTTTTTACTGCATTTCAATGCACATAGGCATTCGCATTTTATTAACCCAATGTTCTCATTATACCATTTGTTGGTACTAAAAGAGTTAAGTCATGACATATTACAGTTAAATAATAAGTGAATATATGAAATATATTTTTATAGTATCCTGGATATATTTAGAGTTATCCTAATGATATAATTTGTTATTCTTTAGGAAGCAATACTCGTTCAAATTTCTTATCAAATGCCGCTTCAAATGTGCCACATTCTGCTCTAAATATTGTGGGTGATCTACTAAAGAAAGTTGGAGTGAGTATTAAATGTAATTTTCTTAAAACATTATATTGATTTTTTAAATTACATACTTTTGAAGTGTTAAAATTATTTCCAAACTAATTTCTTGAATCAAACTAACATGGCACTATACTTAGATGGAAATTTTTTAATATAAGCTGTGTAGTTTCTCTTTATTAATTATTAGTTCAATTATTTGCTTTGAAACTATGCGATAGCACAGACTTGAAAATTATTTATAAATGATTTTTTTTTTTTTTTTTACTGTACATATTATAAACAAAAATACTCATGAGAAGAAAAAGCATGCTGTAGTTAACGGTGTTTTAACTCGCTTGCAAACTGTAAATTGTGATGATGATAGACACATGAAATAAGAATTATTAAATAAACATTTACCTGCGTGGTAAGTAAAAATATTTTTCCTTGAAATGTGCAACGTGCTCTCGTAGAGTGCGCTCTATCGATAAAAGTTTTCACTATTTTTTCTTTAACCCCCCGGAAAAAAACTTAACGAGAATAACTTTAACTTTTTCATGAACCGTTTTCAGTTCTACCAATCCCTTCAATTTTTATGAATTTTTAAAATATTTACAGACTTATGGGACATTCTGTATATTGATTAGTACTTTTTAGGATAGTCTGCATAAAAATACTTGTCACTTAGTTTATCAACTTCAGAAATCTTTTCCTTAATGATATTTTATTTTTAATTGCATAATAACAGACTCATTCGTTTCAATTTGTGTACAGCCATTAAGTATGATCTTCAACTTTAAAATGAAATATCACAGTTAATTTTTGTCATAATAGTCACCCTTTTTTATATTTTATTTTTTATAATGAGTATAAAATTTTCTAAACTGTAAGTATTAGAAACGGAAGAGCTTATAAAAAGTTTAAATTTACAAATTACATTTTTTCACTTGTTTATTTAATTTAAAAATTCCAAAATATGAATATTTGCATGATGCAAAACACCTTTGAAATTGAAAGTATATTTGCCTATGATCAACAGTTGTGAAAATAAAGGCCGGATAAGGAATTCTGTGAATATAATGTATATTATGTATTGATGTATATTACACTTGTGTATTTTAGTGGTAGGTATATCACAGAAAGATTGCAGTAGAGTCTTCTGAACAGTTGATTAATCCATGCTTCAGTTTATAAAATGAATCAAGTAATTAAGCTTTCAACCCAGCACAATATTACTCACATAGCACCTTTAAGTAAAAATACATGAAATAACTGTATGAAAATGTTTCAATTAGCAAGTTGCTAATAATAAGTATAGGTCCGGTGGTGCAGTGGCTAGTGCATCGCGCAGCAGCACTACAGGTCCAGGGTTCGATTCCCGGGCTGGACAAGGTCAACTCAGCCTTTCATCCCTTGATTTCCATCACTTGGGTGCATAAAATGAGTACCAAGTTCGCTTGGGGACTAAACACTGGGGGCCTTGCGACAAGCTGACCACTTGTTTAGGGCATATGCTTACGCACGCCGGGGCCCACAGTCAAGAAAGTAGATTTCAAGCACTGCAGGCCTTAGCCCATTAGGGCTGTTATAACACTGAGTTTTAATAATTAGCATTTCGCATTCTAGTATAAAGTTTTCTATGTACGTGTGGGAGGGGGGACAGTTCTCTAACATGCAATCATGAACCTGAAGGATATTTTCTAAATTACATGACATACAGCATTTTCACCTCCCCCCATAAATACGCACAGTTAAATTATTGATTATAAGTTTCATATAAAATCTGAATTTCAGTAGATACGTAACTCCAAATTTAATATTATTAAAATAAAGAATAAGAAATCTATGTTTCTGTGTTAAAAACTTTTACGGAGTTCATAAATTTGCCGTTGAAAGCCAAAAATTTCTAGCTATCTTTGATAATTCCATCTAATATTGCTCAAAATATTTAATTAAGGGTATTTCAAGTAATTTTAATTGTAGGAGAATAGCTTTGAGGGGGGGGATAATTTGACTCTTAAGATATCTTTTTTTCTGCAGTTTCCTTTTTGTAAATCTAAGTTTTGTGTATCTTTATTAAAAAGTGCTACATGAATGATAATTGTATTTGATTAATTTTGTTAAGTGGGACCATAAAAATAAGTAATAAAGCCTAATCAAAATATGCAAAAAATAATCAGAAAAGACAAATAAAAAAACTCTGAACTAATTAAGTCGCATACATATATTAAATTTGTTTATTCACTTTTATACAGGCAAATTTACCATCAGTTATCAAAAGAACTTCAACACCTAATAGATGAGTGTTACTTCATTGGGAAAAGAATGAAATAAAAAAAAATAACTAGCTTATAACAAAAATTCTAAATTCATAAGCATGATTTGCTGCTATACTATGTTTACTAATTTTGAAATTCTCTAACATTATAATGATTATATTTCATTAAAAAAAAAAGATTATTTTGCTTTGGGGACATAACAAAGTGATTTTTAAATAGAAAATTACTAATTTTAAATGCATAAAAGTAAGTTTAATGAAGCTGTCAGTGAATAAAGTTAGAATTAAAAATTATTTTAATATAATTAATATTGTAATTCTCACTCTATTCATAGAAAGTTATGGTAATTTTCACACAAGTTCATTATATATATATAAAGCTTTCCTATTAACAACATTCCCTGTTAGTAGCATTAAGGCACCATAATGCTGTGCCCTATGATTTGTGTGATAATCATTGTTTTAACTTCTAATTTTGCCATATAATGCTGAGATTTCTTTGTTGTTCTGATGCATGTGAAAAAATAATACAGAAAATTCTTTTAAAAATACTTTTTTCATCATACCCTTTTTAACCACATAACTTCAAAGTACACTACATTCATTACATCTAATATCTTTGTCTTAATTTTGTCTGGTTAATGACTTTAGCTTGTTTGCTGTTTATATACATGAAAAATAAATAATATGAAAAGTATTTTAGTTATATTCTGTATCTCTTTAACCAAGCAGCTTTTATATATCATCATAGTTACATTTATTAAATTTTAATTTACCAACCTTCTCATTTAAACTTAACACATGCCAAAATTCGAGCAATTGTTTGAAATGTATGATGTATGTCATCATTTGAAACAGCCCACCTGCAGCTGAACAGTAAAATTCATTGAATGTTAGTAATTCAACTTGAGTTCGATTTCATAATCAAATTAACCAACCACCATCATTCAAAATGTAATTATTAAATATTCGCAATGCATATGCATTTTATAAGTAGTTAATCTATACATTCAAGTGTTTATCTTTTCTATTTATTATTACCTACTAAAATAAAAGCTATGCAGCTGTCAGCTGTATTAGAAATCTTCAAAAGAAACTTTTCATAGATTTCTTTTTCAAGGCATAATGTCTTTTTCAGTGAGTGCTCTTATTCATGGGAGTTACTTAAAGGAAAGTACCAAAGCTGCATATCAAACATAAGATTTGCTACTCCCTCCCCCCAAAAAAATTCAGATTTCCTATCATTTGTTTAATTATAATTGTGATAGCACAAAATATCCCTTTGTATTTAAGCTCTAACTGTGTAAATTTAACAATAAACTGGAATGTTCCTTTATTTCAATGATAATAAATAATGCATGTTATTAACTTGCATGTATTGAAAACTATAGCTTGCATGCTGAATAATATTATATACATCTAAAAACGAATGTTAGGTACTGGAATCCAAATTACAATCCTGCCGAGACTGTATAAAAGATAATTCAGACCATATAGGGGATCAACATAAAGCCAATAGCCTCACATCAACAAGGTAAGTTTTGGACTCATTATTATTTTTTATTTTTGTAAAACAAAAATTTCTAAATTTTATGATTAGTTTTTTTGTTTTTCAGACACAGTTATGTGAAGTAACTTCTCTTGTGTCCTTGCACATTTTTGTTATTGCATTTTCAAAATTTTTAATTATAAGTAAATAATTTAATTACTATATTGTTGCATGCTACAAGTTTGCAGATATCTTAAATAACTAAGCCAGATGAACAAGAAGACTTGAACATTTAATGAGAAGATTAATAGTTCTGGCAAAATAAATAGTTATAAATAAATGGGAAATATTTCAGATTGCAAAATCACTAACAGAATAAAATCTAAAGCAGTAATCGTTGAGTAAGAAGCACAGCAGTCACATGACCTAATCTTTACAGCTCTGAATTACTTATCTATATACTATATGCATTAAGATTAATTACATTAAGATTAATCCTTACATTAACATCATCCTTACATTAGATGGCAACATTAATCCTTACATTCAGATTAATATATCATTATTTAGTGTGCCTTTTCTAAAATGCTTTTTTAAAAACCTAAGCATAATTTGCTAAAAATGTGTAACTAAATTCTAAACTCGGTAACCTTTTAGATGAAAACATTTGATTATGGTAACCTGAAAAGTTCCAACATCATTGCATGCACATGAACATCTATTCCTTCAATCAATAATTCAGAAGCTCAGCAATATTTTAGATTTCATATTGCATAAATTGATCTTGTTGCTTCATGCAACTTAAAATATCTGGTTGTAACAAAAAGTTTCCACCAAAAAATGTTCTTAATAAAGTTTAAAAAAATGAAAGCGGTACCTTTAGTGTGGATAGCAATCATCACACAAATCTATGATTTTCTTCCAATGTTTTAGTAGTTTTTCAAACCTTTGGCCCAGAAACTTGGTGGCTGTGAGTCCAAAAACAGATCAACCTCATTTCAGACATCCTGTGCAGAATGGAAGATAGCATCAGCAAGACATAGCTGCATGTGTGAAAAAGATAGAAGTCCGAAGGAACGATGTCAGGACTATATGGTGTGACAAAATATCTCATTCGAATCCGTACAGAGTCCAACCAGTGAATGCAGGCACATGTGGTTTTACACTATCTTGATGCATCCATTACCTTTTAGTGCCGGAACTCAGTTCGACACTTTTCCTAGATAGCAGCATCAACACATACTAGCATCTCCCTGTACACCTTACTGTTGAGAGTTTTACCTTTTTCCAGATACTCTTTGTGGATAATACCACAGCAATCCCACCAGAATACAAAGCATGATCTTTTTATTAGCCAAATTGTGCTTTGTGATGCTGTCAACAGACTCACTGGGTGCAGACCAACTCCCTTTTCGGCCTGTGTTGTTGAAATAAATCCACTTTTCATCGCAAGTGATGATCTGGTCCAGAATTTTGTTCTTGCATTGATATCCAGCAGATTAGTGCAGGCCCAAACACATCTGTCCTTATCTGCTTGAGTCAGCTCATGCAGCACCCAGCAACTGAACTTGTACATCAAGTTTATGCGATGCACAGCATGACTAATGGACATGACATTAATGTTTAACTCCTTAACAAGCTCTCAGGCTGAATACTGATTTTCTTCCAGAAGTTCTCACAGGTTGGCCAGAGGGCTATGCTTCTTAAATGTCATGGTCCTTGTTTTTGAACTTTTGGTACCAAACCTTGACAGTGTCATATGATACAACATTAGTACCTAAATCTGAACATATTGTTTGGTGACAGTCTGTAGCTGACTTTTTACAGCAGAACTGGGAGTGCATGATGGTTCTATTCTGGTAGTGTATTTATACACTACCAGAATAGTATTAATTATATTCTAGTAGTGGTACGATATTTGCAGTGGACGGAAACTTTCATTAAAACCTGATATATTCAGAATCAAAAGAAATTTTGTTAATTTATCATCCAGGTCACCACTGCGACAATCATGTGCAAGCAACTACATAACTAAGCAGCACCAAGTGAGATACCACTATGTTATCGCTATGGTGATGACTCGGAGAACTACATATACTTTCCTCCAGTGAGCACAAATGACAATTTAAGTCACACCCGCCAAGGCACTTCTTCACACACACTCCATCTGAAAACCTAATGGTGACACACATGTCAGCAGACCACATTCACCATGTACCACTATGCATCAACAGATCCAACTGAGGAAGACCACACAACATAGCCACAGTCCATCAACACAACGATCAATCACATTAATGCGATGGGCTCGTAACCAGGTCCACAAGTGGACTTAATTCACAACCACCAATCATATCTCCTCATATTGCATCAGAAATGCTTGGAAGGGGAGTATGTAGCAGTCTTGAGAACTAATCAAATGCTCACATTACAAAGCAGTTTGGATGTCAGAATCTGTAGCACAGGAGCTCTTTTACAATAGCAGTGTATAATATTCGTCTGCCATATAATAGACTTAAAATTCAGATTCTCAAGTCATTATCATCTTCAAGGGCATGTGAAACTTGTGCGCTGTTGCACTTCTCATTGATACTAACAGATGGCAACATGAGCAAGCAACTACATACCAAGCAGCACCAAACAAGCATACCACCATGTGATCGCTACACACATATTAGCTTCTTTTAACACAATGCTGTTACGGTTCTTATTACCATCAAACTATTGTCCAGAAGCAAATTATTTGCAGTATTTGCTCTTCTGATAGCCCACACATGAATTCGCCAGCAAACCAGTAAAGCATATTAGCATGAGTTTACAAAGTATCATTCTACTGTACATATTGAAGGTAAACAAAATTTTAAAGTAATAATTATACATAAAAATTGATCAAAGTATATTCTCCTATACCATGTTTACTTAAATCATGGAGTTATCTCTTTATTTTTATATTAATCATACTGCATATTTCTTAATATAACTAATTATATTAAAAACTCATCACCTTTTAATTCTGAAAAATATTCTGGGCAAATCTTATGCATAAAATGTTTTTTAGAATTTAAAGTTCTTTTATACCTTCAAAATTATTCATGAAAGCTATGCTATTTAAAATTCTCTTTTTTGACTTTTCTTTATATTCATTTGCACCCATTTCATAAACTTTTCCACAGATTCGTATGTAACTGCAAAATACACTATTATCATTCTATCAGTATTCATTTTGAACTTCTTCATGAGTAAAATATTTGGTCTGGCCCTTTTTCAAATTTAAATCTGTATAGAATATGAAGGGACTCTGATCATGCAAACAGAATCACTAACAAACAAGTACAACAGATTTATTTAGCCTAAATACAAATTTTATATTACAATTATTTATTATTTTATAAAAATCAGAAATATATTTATTTTGACTTTATTATCAAATGTACTTTTATTTTTAATGTGTTTCAATAAAAAATACATTTTATATATCTAAATGCATTCATAATAAGGTAATACAGCATTTATTAATTTTTATTTTGTTTTATTTTATTTTCCAGTCGAGTGAGGCACTTGAATGGCACTTCATTATCAAATCCTAAAGATTTCATTCCATTGACAGCTTAAAGGACTTTATTTTCACCTAAACTGAAAATGATGAGGTCTTTTCCTAAAAACTAAGCTTGTACGACATACATAATTAAGAAAAAAAGTTATATGCATTTCAATTGAGCCGTTTTAAAACAATAGGATACTAAATAAATTTGACAACAATAACAGTAATAAAAGAATATGAAAATACATACATCAGAACATTTAGTATATAAAAACTTCAAGAAACTATAATTAATTTGTTTACATGTCCAGCATATGAGTAATTGGAAAATATGAAACCTGAAAAATTTTATACATAAAGCTTTCAAAATAAAATAGATGCTGCTGATTATTTTATCTTCTCTTTTTAAACTACTATATTCAAATACTACAAAATTAAAGGAAAATAGAATAAATATATACAAATTATATTAAAATTCAGTTTGTTACCTTCTGAGAATAATTAATCATCTGAGAAAAGAATTTAAAGCACTTCTTAATAAAATATTATGGAGTAGATATAAATTTCCTTCCTGGGCATTTTGCTATTAAATACTAGAATTTTTATATTTTTAATTCAATTTTTGACAATATTTTTAGGAATGTACAAAGCTTTCATTGCATCAGAAACATTTCATCACTATGTTAAAATCATAATTAAGGAACAATCAATACAAAGAGCATCATACATGCTGTAAAATGCTGGAAATGAACTTAAAATAATAAAATCATTAACAAAAATTGGCATTTTCTTGTATATAGTGCAATCTGTCCAGCAGAATTTTTATTCTGTATACTTGCTTGTGTCAGTTGAAAATTTATTGTGTGTTTCTGTAACATTACAGTATCTCATTTTATAACTTCAAAAGTGTATGCATGTTTTATAAAACAGATCATGTGATTGCTTTATATAATAACACAACTTTCAAGGAATATTAATATATATTAGAACATAAATTTTCTGTTATGATCTTGAAACTATTATTTTAACCTGAAATATGTATACAAATAACATTCATGAATTGAAATACTATGCCAGGGGTGGCCAAAGTGTGACTCGCGAGCCTGATACAGCTCTTGTAGGCAATGTGTGCGGCTCATTATGCATATAAAATATATGTATGAAATATGGTAAAATAAAACTAATTCAGTGTCCAAAAGGAAGTAATTAATTAATTTAGACTCTTTTTATAAAATTATTGTGGATTTCTTTCTATTTGAAACCTTCTCCCCTACTTCTATAATAATGTAAATATGAACTTGTGGCTTTTAGAAAATCTAGATGCGGCTCTCGAACATTCTTGAATGCAAACGTGCAGCTCTTACTGACATGAAGTTTGGCCAACACTGTACTATGCTTTTGAAGATATAAAATGATATTATTTTCGATAAAATAATTAATGTTTTGTATATTTATTTGTATTCTGTAGCTTTCATTTTTTCATAATTTTGGTGCTTTATTTTTGGGGGAAGAATTTTGTATGAATAGCAGGTGAAATCTGTCGCTTTAGTCTGTTTATTGTATATGGTTTTACTTGATTCCGTACCATCTAGAATGCAGCACCAGAGATTTCAATAAAAAAAAATATTTATATTATCTTTTGGAACTATTACACAATGAAATATTTCACAGAATCTACAACAAATTTTATGCACTGATCAGACACATACTCAACTACAATGCATGAAATTTAACTTATTTTATGCTACAGCCTTTAAATATTCTTAAAGCTTAAATCAAATCTAGGGGGAAAAAAAAAAAAAATATCAAGCTTAGTTTTTTAGTAAATTTTTTTAAACTTTTTAGCAAGTAGTTAGAATAATTCCTGAACCCATTGTGATACAGTAATATTTAAAAATATTACAATTCTGTCAGTAGCTAAAGAAATATCTTAGCATTTTTTACCAAGCATTTTTGACTTTATTTAGAGAATATCTCTACTTTGTTTACATATCCAATATAACAAGTAATTCTGATATCAAGCAAAGAAATTGAATATTATTATCTGAGTGTGTGATGGCTTTGTTATACTACGTGAAGTACAAAAATACTCCAGATATGAAAAGGAAATGACAAAGACAATAAAAATATAGTATAAACTTTCATTGCAGAGACAGATGGAATTATGCTATGCTGATTACCATCATTACTGCAGAACTCTTCCAACAATGGCCTGTGATACTAAAGGATACCGGAAGTGACATTATGCTGCAAGTGCAAGTCCTAAATAAATTCCTTCTGTAGAGCTTGTTTCAATACATGGTGACATTCTAGTGCTAGTGGAATTCTTTTAAACATAATCCGTGAGACCACTGTCAGACTCACAGGCACAATCTCTAAAGCTATTACAGCAATACCTCATGAAACAATAAGGACAGTAATGCAGAAATTCAGAATTAGTTTGGAGAATGTATATATGCCTTGAAGAAAAGGATTTCAGTAAAATATTTTTTTTCAACAAAATGATGATTCAGTCAGAGTATGAAAGCAGTTCCCACATTATAATATATCATCTAATACAGATTTAAAATAAATAAATAAAAAAGTTCTGCACTGACAATAACAGTCACACACTGGTACTTATTAAAGTGCACAGGGTATTTCTGTTACTGCTCTTTAACATTGGAAAGCTTTTTCTACCTGTGCAAATCTTCCCCACATATAAACAATCAACCTTAACTGAAATCTGATACATGTGTTCAAGTTTGCACAAATAATATCTCTTGCAAAATTGGTTTTATACCAGTGATCCCAAATTCAGAAATAAACCAAGTAGACTTTTCGATCATGTTAGTTTTAGGTTGACACTTTTTAATGAAAATATGCTAAAAGTGAACTTTTATATGGACCCTTTATGGAAACAGTTCAAATTATTAAAATGCCCCTTAACCTATGTAAAAAAAATGTGGAGAGGGAGAAAAAAAAACAGTTCCCTTATATGCAAAACTGGTTCTGAAAATTTTACCAAATTTTACTAAATCCACATTTCTAGATTTTGTTCTGCTGCATTGGATGGTACAAGTAGGGGAATTCTTGAATTATCAATCCATCTATTAAGCAATAATATATGAGTGAAAAATACATAAAAAGAATCATTTCAATAGTAAATAAAAAAAGATCTCAATCAAATTTTGAAAGCATCACCGTGAAATACAATCTTTACTATCCAGTTAACATGTGTGCCAGTTTTTGAAGCTCAGGGATGTATCACCCCTGTGCTACACATACATATGTGTAGATAAACTCTTTTACTATAGATGTGAGTAAAAATGCCTTTCAAGTGTAACAATACCATTCATCTCAAGATTTTTAGAATAAAATAAACACAAAACATATTAAAATAAATCAGAACTATATTTAGGAATCAATTAATAAAACACAAGAGAAGATTATATTAAATTTATAAATATTTATTTAAAAATATATTTGGCAAATTTTCACAGTAAATACAAAATTCCAAACAGTTATATAGGTTGTTCACAGACTGAAGAGTTTATAAATACATATCACATTTGAGTCGTGAATATATACCTTAATAAGGAAAAATATTACTGATGGCATCAGTCTTCTTATCTTCTCCAGTACTAAGAAAGAGATAAGGCAAAATATTAGAAGAGTTTTAAAAATTCATGCAACAAATTAACTGAAGATGAGAACATCCAGATGTATATCAGATAATATCTAAACTGTCATAATGCAGCAAAGAGAAAAATAAATCACATAATTAATAGCTGTAAATTATTATTAATTTAAATTAATTATTCTATATATTAATAAATTATATTGTTAATAAATCATTATAAATTAACAAACAATTATAAATTAATATAAGTGTGAGAGCACTCATGAATTTATAACATATATATGAGAAATGCTTCAAAACTTTTCATGGTCCATCAAAAATTATATCATCTGTTTGCTAAGTCATTTTCTGCACTTAGGAACATTTGCTTTAACCCTCTGAGTGGCATGGCTTTTTGGATCTGCTCTTGAATACCTGTATCTAAACAGCATTTATTAACTAAATTTGTATAAATGCTTATTTTAGTCTCTGTTTTCATAAACTTCCATTCATTACAATGAAATTTATGTCATTAAAGAAAGTTAAAAAGAAAATATTTTAAATTATAAGTAACAAAGTAATAAAAAACTCTCATGGCGGTATAAAAGCAGTCATATCACTCAGGGAATTATAAAATGAAAGAAAGAAACTCGGAATAGGTGTTAGTTTCCCTTAAAGAGTGGTTCTTCTCTAAAACAAATAAATCTGAAGTTGAATTTTACCAGATTTTAAATTAGCGTGCTTCCCTTTTATATAATATTGCTTACAAGAGAACCTCCTTTTTATATATACATTTTTTTTTTTTTTTTTTTTTTTTTTTTTTTTTGCTTTGTACTAAAATATTATCAAACTAAAAGTCATTACAAGGTTATGTTTTGATTGGCATGGTTAAGTTTTGAATCACATGTTCATTTTTTGTATGTAAACTTAATATCAAGGTAAGTTAAATTTGCTGTTAGGAAAAATATTAATTTGATTAATTTTCCTTAGTATTTTCTTCATCTTTAAATAGTTTTCAGTATTTCTACAGAAAAAGCTCTTTTAGCAATCACAATATTTCAGCATATATTTGGTGCTTTCTTCAGTTTTAGAAATATTTTAATATACTATTATCAGTAATATAATATGTTCTTCTAGCATTAAGAAATGGCAAGCCTTTTAATTTACAGCATAGCTTTGTTTTCTCCCAAAATATATATTCTCAATGAAAGTTGTTTTAATTAGATGTACTATTACTCTCTAATGGTGTGTAATAAAAAGCTACAAGTATATACTAAAAAAGAACATTGATTTCATGTACATATGTATTGAAGATACATTCAATAAATACAGGTAAGTTTTTAAAAATGAAGTTCAAAATAAAATGTATAAAAAACTTAACATGAAGTAACTAAATGTATAAAAGTCTGATTTTCAGAATCACATTAATGACAAAAATCATAATTTGATTTGCAAGACAATCTTTACAAAAATTATTAATAAACTTCTGTACCCTTTCCCAATATAAAATATTATCCTGAAGCTAATGTGTATAGTCATTTAAAAACACTGATTATCTGTAGAATATATGGAAGAGAAAGCAAGCAAAATTGACCCTCAGATTAGTTTCAAATTAGATTAGATTAGATTAAGGGCAACTGACATTCCTCCCCTTTATTCCCCACATTAAGACATTCTCCCAAATATATCATTTTGCTCTCTTCCATGTGTTTTTGCTTCTAAAAAAAGACAGATATTTAATTTTTTAATATATATTAAAAATTAATTAATTAAAGTTTAGAATTAATTGCAATTAATAATTTTAATACAGTTAAAAATAAAGTTAAATTTTTATCTAAATTTAAACATTGACAATGATGTCAGGCAAAAATGATATGTCTCAAAAACTGGAAAAAAAAATGTTATTTTAAATGAGAATTAATGTAATGAAATCCAAGCAAAATATTTTTCGAAGATCTTAGTCTTTAACTGACATAGAGAAAAAAGTTAATGAGAAATTGCTGAAGGTAAAGAAAGAGAGGGACCATATGAAACTGAATTGAGATGGAAGTTGTAACACTTCTCATGCTTTATTTTCTTTGATTAATATCAAATTTATAAAAATAAATAATAATTAATAGAGCTATGTAAAATGTTATTTTATTCTTCATTCTTTAAGAAGTCTTATCTAATTTCTTTGGCTGAATGATTAGGAAAGTTTATCATTGTTTGGTTAGAAGTACAGCATTGTAGCCCAGGTTCCCTAGTGCATACAGCACTCCACTCATCAGAAAGAGAGAGGTTAAAATTTAAATATTGCTTGCATATTAAATATAAATGTGAAAGTGATGAAAAGTAAATAAGTTGTGTAATTCTGAGATTTGCCACAGATTTTTCAGGGCACTGGTTGAAGGTTTAGCATACTACCTTGGTTGCCAATAGGAAACCAAAATGCATTCTAATATTTACAATATTATGCCATTTCTCACTGCAAACCTCATTATTTTCCGATGTTATTTATTTCGCATACTTCTTTTAACAGCTTCCCTTATAATTTCTATTTCGCATGCTTCTTTTAACAGCTTTCCTTATAATTTCTATTTCGCATGCTTTCCCTTATAATTTCTATTCCGCATGCTTCTTTTAACAGCTTCCCTTATAATTTCCATTTCAAATGTTTCTTTTAACAGCTTCCCTTATAATTTCTATTTCACATGCTTCCTTTAACAGCTTACCTTATAATTTCTATTTCAGCAGAACACAGCCAAGACAATTTTGCTTCATGTTAAGTTTTTTAATCATCTTCATTTAAGTAAAAAATTGGGTTAAGAAGTTCATTTCATTAATGAACTAAATTTCTTTTGTTCATTTATCAAACCATTCACTAAGAAAACTTGAGGACCATAAAGCAATTTTTATTTTGTGTCATAAATTTAATTTTAGAAAATAAATTTTAGTATGAGCAGTGAGATTTTTCCTCCTATATAAATCCACAAATATAGTTTACATTATGATCCTTCAAACTACTTACCCCTAAAATAGCCAAGTAAGCAAAAAGAGGCAAATCTAGAGATGTACACAAAACAAAACTGGTGGGGGAAAAAATCAAAAGAAAAGTCATACAGATTTGAAAATACAGCACTGTGTGCAACATGAAAGACAAGACAAATAAGCTATCAAATCACTGGCTACAAATGCAAACCAAAACTACTCTGTTACTTTGTTGCAGCATCTCAAACCTTAGTTATTTATAACAATATAAAATTACTGAAAAGTACCAGAAGGAAAGCCTTGTGAATAAAACTGTAGGAATGATGAGTGTGGTGAAAGTAATAATATAAATTGTAGTTGAGTATTTAAAAAGAAAGAAAGAAAAAGGGGGGAGAAACAGAACACTGTCTTTCCCTGGGAATGAAAGAACTGTGGATGAAGAAAATAAGCATAGGGACTGGCAAGCAATAGCCACATAATAAAAATTTACCACCATTGCCCCAAAAATGGCTAAAAAAGTAACAGTGCAGATAAATAAAAGTAATGAAGATACAATTTTATACCTAATAATGCAATGATAACTGGAAATAACCAGTTTACATAATCATGTTGCAATGCATATACTGCTGATATGCCCAACAAAATTACCAAGCACATCAAACTGTAGAGAGTATATCACACTAGAACAAATGATAGAATATTATTTGGTCTGTCAAAGCATTATTTCTCCCCCCACCCATCACAGGAAGTACTTTATAGGTAAAAATATCCAAGAAAAGTGGACTATTCTCACTACAATGTCCTAACTTCAGAACATGCAAGTGATTGTGACGGTCTGAGCTGCTATTTTATGGTACCCTCTTTGTTGCATTGTACTTATGACACGTATGGATATTTTACAGAACATTTACTCTGCAACATCAATTCACTTTCACAATCTTTGTCTACCATTTGTACAAATTGCAGAGGCAGACAGTCTATCATTAGTCAATTTCATAGTGAAATCAGATGTCTCAAAAGATGCAGAGTCTTAGTTAATACGCACACAACTTTTACCTAGATAAAATCTCAGAATTTAATTAAGTATATCTTAAGTAACTAATTTTACTTAAATATACAAAACCTATTTTGAAAGGATAAGCTATCAACTTAAATTTTAGTTAGAACATTGTAAGAAATATATAATATAATTAAGTTGCACTTTTAAAAACTACCGCATTTGCTCACCCTTATGTGAATTTGACATGTCATATTTTCTTTACAGGGTCTGATCATATATTTATGAAAAATGCTTCAGAGTTTTCACACATTATATTTTCCTTAAATGGCATTTTCATATATTTATGAACAGTGCTTCATACATGATCCAATTTTAATGTTCACCATTGAATAATATTCAATATAAAGCATAAGAACATTTCTTAAACTTTCCAGTGGCTACTGCTATTAGCTGTTAACACGCTGTTTTACTAATTTTCTACAGTACTAGTCCTTTTATGCATAGATGTTTAACGAACTGGGTAATATTCAATAACTAATTTCTTTTTAGGGGTTTTCTGTAATTTTAAAATTGGAAAATATCTTTTCCCAATTTTAAAAGCTTTATTAACAGTATGGAATGAAAATGCTTGCTTTAAAAATTGCAAGATGCCATTGTAATTCCTTTTTTATTTTAAATACTGTGTTCATTGAGAAAAGTTATAGCTAAAATAAATAAGAATGATATATAGTATGCTTAAAACCTTTTCATAATTAAAGAACTGCAACCACACAAATTTGGTGACCAATATTATGAATAAAATAATACATTAATATTTGCATGGATAATGTATAAACCATGCCTAATAATATAATTCTGAGTTTGTATTTGGATTCAACACTAAAAGAATCCTTTCAACAAAACAGCATTTTTATTTACATTTATAGTAAACTATTACATTAAATTGTATTTTCACTGAAAAATGTTTTTGCATACTTGAGCTATCCTGTGAATTTGCTCAACAACTACAGGCATGACTGCAGTTACACTTTCATCGATAATATTTTGAATGAAATGAACTGCTTCTTCATCGGGTAGATCTAATCGAAATTTATCCTGTACCTGTAAAAAATATAGTACATTAGGATGCATTTTTTAATTTAAAATACTTACCTTACATCTAAAAGATAACATGATATGAATGACTTAAATGATTTTTAAAAGTACAATCTATTTTTTAATCCATAAAGCTCATTAATCTATTCTCATCTCTAACTGATAATAGAATTTATAACTGGATACAATATTAATTCAGGCTAAACAATATTTTAAGAATTACAGAGGAATAACATTTATTTAAACTAAATGAAATTATGCCATTTTGCATAACTTTTTTTTTTCCCCCCATATAATGTGTAAGTTAGTCTGTTGAGATAAAAAAGGGAAGGAAAGGAAATGGTTTTTTTCCAATCCTAATGTTCTTTTTTAATTAGGTTTGCAAAAGTACACTCAAAATTTATCTTTTAAACCTTTTTTTAGTATTTTCATTTAAGTTATACATAGAAGCAAATATGCAACTCCAATAATCCTTTTTAAACTTTTACAAAAACAGTCCTGAGAATATACAATAAATACTAAATACACGAATTTTTGAAGAAAAGGACGAGAAGCTTTAAAGAATGTGAAATTTAAAAGGACTTGAAATACATCATAAATATTTAATCTCTTCTGTAATACTAACCTTGCTTAATTCCAATAACAAATTTCTTCGTACAGTTTAAAAAATTTACTGCAGATGGTTTTATATTTCATTATATGTTGTAAATTTATTGAATTCTTTGATGCATTTAGTTTTGGTAGTTTTTTTACATTATACTACTTTTACATACAGTATAATAAGATCACTTGTTTACATTCTAAAATATGTACTTATCTCTAAATACTGAAAAAAGATTTTTTTTTTTAAATGGAAATGAACCATTTCTGATTTTTGTGATTTAATGTTACTTTGACCTATTGTTTTAGCCAAATTCCAAGTGTGTGTGAAAATGTATACTTCTATATTAAAAAAAAAGTCACAAATTTTTATTTTGAAATTTTATAAGAATATAAAATAAATTTAACTTAATAATTCTAATATTTTATTTTTAATTAAAAGCACACAAGCATGAGCTTAATTACTAAAATATCATGCTATTTTATGCTACATAAAGACATATTACCAGATAAAAACTGAAAATGAAAAAAAATTCATTTTGTTTTCCAACACCTCAGCTATAATAAACATTAATTATCAAATCATATATAATACCTTTATTAAGTTTTTTGAATAACATATATAAAATCTGAAGCAAGGAAAAAATAAATTACTTTCTTTGCATTCTTTTTTACAATATTCATAGAGGAATTTTGTGTAAACTTATGAATTGTTCATTCGGGAATTCAGGTTCATTGAACAATATTCATTGAGGAATTTTCTGTAAGCTTATGAAGTTACCTTTTTCACTGTTTTGTCGGGTTCTAGAGCAATGTCTGGAACACTTGCATCCACCATAAGAGAAAATAAATTCAGAATCAGGTTTGCATGCCTAAAAATGTAATATAATAATATATATAGGATATATATAGGACATATTTATATAGATTAATTATATAGATATATATATATATTATATATATATATATTATATCTATATATATATATATATATATATATTAATATTACATATATATATGAATAAAGAAATTCAAAAATATTAAACACATAATGACTCTCACTCAAATTAATTAAGCATTTTCATAAAATTATTAAAAATACAGTAAAATAGGAATATAGAGATATTATTCAATTTATTCAACTTGTGAATGCCTCCTACACTGTTATACAATATAAAGCACATTTTGCACTATATAATTCTTATTTGGTTTTTGTTAATTAACGCATTCTTATGAAAAGAATTACTTTTTATAATAATGCATTATAGTTATTAAATTAGCTGTCCATTTTTTGGCTAGTGGTCTTCCAGTAAAGAATGATACATTTAAAGAAATTAATAATAAAAATCTAAAAACTGTAGTCTCACTAAAACAGGACTTCAGATATTTATATTAATTAGAACCATACACTATTTGAAGATTTGAAAAATCCACAGTTCCCCCCCCCAGACCAAACCCACATTTATTGTAATGCAAGGCCCCCCTTCTTTTTTTTAAAGGGGTATGTAAATAAATACAGATTATAACCATAAAATTTATCTTTGTATGCAGCCTAAAAACTGTAAAATTTCCCCTTTTATTGTAATAAAACATAACCAAAGTTTAAGCATGAACTTAGTATATAATAATTAAAAAACAAAGCTCCTTACATGAAGAGACAGTTGAGATATCACCACATTTATTTAGTCTACTTTTTTAGAAAATGAACACTTTTTATTTTAATGTTCTATTACACTATTAAGGTATTTTCTCTCTCCTTCCATCATGCCTTTGTAATGAATGGTAGCACACTCGGTGCGTATTCAAGCACTCCAAGTTTGAGTCCCAGCAAGGGCATTGCAAATTTTTTGTGTCTCTTGCTTCAGAATAACCTAATGACTCTACAACACATTTACCATTAATTTTTATTGGTTTTAAAAGTAACTTTTTACTATAAAACTAAGAACTTATTTTTTGCTTGCACAAACTCTATATATTGAAACAGAAAAATTTCTTTGCATATAAGGTGTTGATATAATATCACCACATCCATTTACTCCTTAGAAATCAAGCACCTTTTATCACAAAACAATATTTGAAGAATGATATATAGTCAACAAAGACAAAAAAATAAGCAATACAGAAAATTGGAATTGTGCTTTTCTGGATTCTCATAACTAATGTGAAAAATATATAATCCTGCGAAAATGCTGAACATATTATCATTTAAAAAAAAAAAAAAAAAAAAAAAGAATCAACTGCCTTACAATGGCAAAAAATAAGAAAAGCCATAAAATGTTTTTGAAATCCCATTATGAAAGCATTTTAAAAACATCCCAAAACTAATAGTTCATTAACCACTTGTGCCACCAAATATTAACTTTACAGATCTAAATGTACAATATTGTAAATATACCACCATGAATACATGCAAGTCAAAAACATTATTATTACTGAAAGTTTTAATAAATGACAGTAAAGATGTATTTAATTTTATTATGTGTCATGATATTTAATTCAGAAAATTCATTTGCATTCAATTACAAGTTTACAATTTTGCATCAGGATACATTTCAAAAGCAAATATAACTAAATACAAATATATCTAAAATTTTACATATCATATATAATTAAAAATTTTGCATTTTATAATACCAATATGGTGTTGTGAATGAATATGATATGAAAATACACCCATGTGAATGTACCAAGAAAATACTTATGTCATTTTAGTTAAAATTTAGTAGTTTAAAATTAAAAGTGCACATCTGATATTAATCTATACTTTTTTTTATATTGAAAAAAAAAAAGCAGAAGCAGGTTTTATTTTCTTAACTGCTACCCAAAATAATGTAAGTAATAAATTTGTCATTGTGTAAAACAGAAGGGGGAAAAAAGAAAAAGAAGAAAAGAAAACCAAATCTGTGGCTAGCTTTATAAAAACATTAATTATTCAATATTTCTGTGAATTTTATCAATAAAAGTACAGAACATTTTGTATTTAACTTATTGGAGAATAATAAATATTTTACTTAATTCCTTTCTTTACATTCTTTTAATTTTTACCTAATGGGATCTATGATTCTTTTAATTCTTTAATTTCTTTTTAATAATAATAATTTAATGATTCTTTTAATTCTTTTAATTTTTACCTAATGGGATCTGATTTATTTATTTATTTATTTATTTTAATTTATAGAATGCTTTCTTCTAAGCGTTAAAATTATTTTCATAAAATTTCTCACCTTATTTTTATAAAACACTGTAAATTGAAATACAAGTTTAGGAATTGCACAAATAAAACTTCTAAGCTCATTAGCAGTTTTAATTAAAAATAGATGATTATCAAAGAATTATTTCATTAATTTAACTATGCAATATAAACAAGAAAAACTTAAATCTTAAAAAATAGTTAAAAAAAAAAAAAAGAAAGAAAGAAAGAAAGAAAGAAAGAAACCTACCTCCGCAGATGCAGAAATGAGGTATAACAGAGTTTACGGAATTCTTGATAGTGTTCAGAATGTATACCTCCCATGGCCTCAACCATTTCTTTACTTAATTTCATTGGAGGAGGTAAAGGTTTAGGATCTCTTCCAAGAATATACCCAAAATCAATATGAAAAAGTTTACCTATAAGAGATGAAAATATTTATCAAGTACACCTTCATCATTAAAAAACACTATTTTATAATTTTACATTAGCATACTTATCCAGAATTTGACACACTATTTCTGTTTAGCAAGTTTCATATTTTTAAGTTGTGATAAATGATTCTACATAGATCTCTACATAGATCTTAATTCTACATAGATCTCAAAATTACATTTTATCTGTATTTATATATCTTTTAAAATTTTATGTATACTTACTTGTATAACACTTTAATTAGCAAATGAATGAATAACGCTGTTTAGCTTTTGGTTGTAAAAGTGTTCTGGCCTTCTCAATATACTACAAATATGAGATACTATCCAAAAGCACTGCCTGATGGCAGGATTTTTCACTCAGATTACTCAGATATATAATGTATAAAATACTGTCTACAAGAAAATTATGAGCTGATAAAATTACCACAGATATAAAATGAAGAAAATCTATCTATTACAGTAACTTTTCATCTGTTTTCTTTTACGTACTTTTTTTTTTAATGTACCATCTAAAACATAAAAAGAGGAATGATCTATACTTTGTTTTAATTTTCCTAACATTTTAGAAAAAGTTCAAATTTCCTCCCACTATATTGAAATAAATGTTATGTTTTTCATGATGATTTTTCATTTCTCTTTCTAGACTTTTCCAAGTGACTGGGAACCCTGCATTATGAAAACTTAGAACTGTGTTCTTAAAACTAATAATTCATCATAATACTAATCGATTATGCTTCAAATTTAACATCACCTATACTTTTATTAGAACATTAAATGATTTTAATATTTTACATGTAAACCAAAAAGATACATACAAGTTATTTAAAAGAAACACAAATCTTGAAACCTTTTACTCACATCATATATTTCCTTCAGTATGTTTGTTGGTTTATTTAGCTAATTATAACAAAGCACACATGGCTATTTGTCCAATGCAAGGCATACTCTCATGGAGAACAATTTCAGGGAATCTAGCTCCTTTTCACATTATATCAGAGCTTCTTAAACTTTTTTCAGTTATGACCCCTTTTAATCACTGAGATATTTCGTGATTCCCAGGACCCCATAATATTTACAAAAATTTTGTGGAACCCCATAAGCATTGCGCAAATCCGACACACGTGTGTGTGAAACTGTCAATTTTTCACTTGTACTGTAATATACTATTGCAGTTTTAGGTTATTAACTTTAATTTCTAATTTTAAGACATAGAACAATGTGAAAATTTTAAATAAGTAATAGACAACAGTGTCACATGCAAAGCAAGTAAATTGAACATTTCAATTATAAAAAGAATGCATCGAAATGTGTTCCTTTTTTTCTTTGACTGTATTGTATGATCTTTATCTTTTTTCAGATACATTGAGTAAAAATATTTGGTAATTGTAAAATTATTATAATAAGTTAAAGAAATATCAAAACTGCTAAATTTTTAGCGACCCCCAGCGACCTCCAGTTTAAGAAACGCTGTGTAATATAATACATGAGATCAGCAATGAAAATACTCCTGCAGTCAGCCTGTTCATTAGGATTTAAACCCAAGTCAAGTTTCAGAGTTTGATGGCCTTATCCATTTGTCCTGTAAGCCTTCTACTTTTACTCTGATCTTGCAACCCTCCACCCCAGAGCAAAAAAAAATTCAACATTAACCCCCCCCCCCAAAAAAAACATAGCCTCAAATAATATTGTTAGGAATTTTAAAACTGCTTTGTAATACTTCTTTGAATTTTCATATTATTTAATAATTTTTAATTCTTTTCTTGAAGCCAATTTTTTGTTGAAACTAATTAAGTTTCTTAATAATTAATAAAAATGAATGAATTTACTCACCACTCATTGTTAAGAGCAGGTTGTCTAAATGTCTATCACCCACCCCAAGAAGATACGTAATAACACAATATCCAGCTGAAATATTATAAAACATATATTTAGGTTACAAATGTGCTTTTACTACTATAAAATCATATTGCATTTTTATTAAAAATCAAAGGAAAAATTACAAAAATATACATGTGACAAAAATATATCAAAGTCTGAAATAACATAAAACTTTTAAGATCACATACCACATGATTTAACATAATTATCCATAACTTCATGGGAAATGCCATATGGACCATTTTCTGAAGGAGCATGAACACGAAGATAACTCTGAAGATCCTTGTGTTCATCCAAAATTGAATTTACTGATACAGATTCAATATACTGAACAAATCCTGAAAACAGTTAAAAATATTTAAAAAATAATAAAGGCTGAAAATTTGTCACATGAAAATTTTAACCTCATCACAATAAAATTTATAATATATGTATTTATTTAACATTATAAATCATTTTTTAAATTTTCTTTGTAGATCAGATTAAATATATTAATAAGTTTAAACATCATACATAATTTAATGAAGTTAGTTCAGAAGCCATTCAAAATTTTAAAATTTTAAATCACATAATATATCATACAACATTACATAATAATCATACCACATAAATCATTTACATAATAATCATACCACATAAATCATTTACATAATAATCATATCACATAAATCATTTATGTAATAATCATACCACATAAATCATTTACATAATAATCATACCATATAAACCATTTAGATATTTCATTTTACCTTCTTGATACAATAATTCATGCAAACAAGAGAAATCACCTGATTAAATGAAATTGTAACTTTCCATTTTAAATCAGGACAAAATTTCTCAGTTCCTTCCTTTCCTTATCTAATATCTCATTCATCATACAAGCTTGGTCATTTTAACTAAATTTTACAAATTAACTGTCATTTAAATATGCTTATAAACTGGTTTAAGTACCATTCTATAAGATACCTGCAAGAATGTGCTATTTCTTAATAAAATCAACTTATAGATGTCCTGATCATTTCATGCAACTAATTTTCCCCATATACTGCAAGTATAAAGCTAATGCACATACCCCAAGACAGATTTAGAATTTAGAAAGTCCTTTTGTACATCATATCCTTTTGCAATACAGCTGTACTTTTTGTGATAGTTGGTTTCACAGAAAAGAACTGTCTGCATTTTTCAGCAACTAACAATGCAGAAAGTCTTTTAATCTAATTCATTATACTTCTATAATATTAATAATTTTGGTTGCAATCTAATGAATCATTATATTATACTAATACAATTACAGCTTTCATAAGATGAAAAACATGTTTGCAATCATATAAAGAAAAATCTTACAATAAATTATAAATCCTACTCAGTTAAAAGACAACATTACAGAAGATGGTATAAATAGACAAATATTGGAAAAGGTTCAGACAAACACTATGAAAATAATGCAGGCTTATAATGAATATAGTGAAAGCCACTACTAGAACTCAATAGCAGTTCATGAACATATTTATTTATATTTTTTATTTACATCCATCATGTGTCACAATTTTCCTAAGCACACACACCTCTAAAAGATGAATTGTGTTCTGCATGGAGCACCCTATATCTCTTGCATTAGGAGGGGGGAGGGGAAATCAAAAGATATAAAACATAAACTTGCATTATATCATCACAAACAGTTATAACTATTTTAAACTAGTATTTTTTTTTCCATAGAACTTTTTCATGTTTATGACAATTCCTCTGAATAAAAACAGTTTAATGAACTAAAATATTGTATTCAGCTTAAAAACTGTATTTCACAAAATGTAATTACATTCTAAAAAAATGGGTCTGAAGCTATTAAAAAAAACAGTTTGAATTAATGATTATCATCGAACAATTCTGACTTTTGTATAATGCTAGGCAATTTTAATACTTTAATTAATCATTAAGAAGTTTACCATGTTTACTGCTGCATGCAAGCACACTGTATGGTGTAAGCTTCAAGTCGAGGTTTTCTTTCCTTAACAACTTTATAAATAAAAGAAAAATTTAGAAAAATTATATAGCAAATATAAAAATATATTAAAACATAACTTTAAAATAAATTATGGTTTCTAAGTAAAAACTTACATATAATACAATCTCCTACTTTGTTGATTTTTTCAGCACATAATTTAAAAAGTTAAACATACTGCATGGTAATTTATGAAAAAAGGTAATCACTTCAGTTAAAAAAATTACATGATTACTGCTTTGCATGAAATATAGGATGACTTATATTCAGGTGACCATAATTCTAGATTTATTGACCTGTTTTAGTTTGATATACATCAAAAAGAAAACATAAATTCTCAATTTAAAGTCTCAGAAAAATGTTGATCATGTTTTTCACTTCCTCTTACAAAATAAAGAAAGTATCGTAATTATGGAAAAATTTGGGTATCATAATTCAAGGAAAGTATTCATTTTGTCTGCTCTCGAATCTATTTAGATGATTTTTGTGCCTGACATCTGTATATACAGACAGAATAAAGGACTATGTTTTCCAAAACGGATAGTTAAATGGATTTAGAAAGTTTTTTTTTTTCGGGAGGGGGGGGGCAACGTCTGTATATATATACATATATATGTATCTCCCATAACTCAGAAATGATTAGCCGTAGAATGTTGAAATTTTGCATATGGAACTGCTATAACATCTAGTTGTGCAGCTCTCTTTTTTGTTGCAAATGGTGACACCAAACATATATTAAGAGTATATATACGCTTATATATATATATATATATATACCTACTCTCTTAGCCAGATCGGTAAGCTCTTTTTTTATTTGTATGTGTTGATAAATTGTGCATTTTTTGCTTTAAAAGTGATGGTATTATATTGTTCTTATGTCCCATTAAGGTTTTTATGCCTTTAGTTAATCTGCTAGCAATAATTGTAGAATTATCAATAAATTTAAAGTTTACATTACGCTAGGCCTAACAAAGCCACCATTTGTTTACATTTGAAACTCTTAGTAGACTAGCAAATTATATCACTTGTTGCTTCAGTGTCTTTTTGCCCAGTAGAAATGAAAGTTAACTTCAATTTTGCATACCAAAAACTTTGTCTTCCTTCCATTTGGCAGGACTGCTTGTTTTTGAGAAGAAACTTTATTTTTTTAACTATTTGTCACAGTGTTTTGTGTTTTAGGTTTTTCTATATTTTCTATTTTTTTATGAAACTGTTTTGAGTACGCATTTTTGCCTTGTTACGAAGCAAGAACTGAATTGATTGAATGAGAAATATATCTTAATGAAATTCTAGGAAACAAGTTTAAATGAAGTGTGGCAAAAAATTTGTATAATTTATAATTTAATAGGCTGTACTAAGTAAATGTGGTGTCAATATCAGATATATATAAGTGCTGTACTTTGTTCCAGCTAGACCATAACATTATGCAACATATTCCTTTGGCTATAACAGCTAGGAGGTCAAATATATATTATCTCAAAATTCTCACTACTGCTGCTGCAGTAGAAAATTTTCCGGGTTCAATCTGATAGAGAGTAAAATTAAAGAATTGCTAGCATATAATCTATGGGAAAAAACTCAAATAAAATCATTCTCAAGTTTTAAAACAAATGTCTAAAATATTTAAAGAATAGGTTTTATATAGCTCTTACTTTTTTTTAAAGCTACCCTTTGGTTTCTTTAATTTTTATTCCACTTTTGTAGTCCAAATCTGATCAGTTTTAAAATCTTATGGTCTTAAATCTGCAAATTCTAAAATCCACATAATCTCAAGACAAATGAATTCCTGGTCTACTGTAGTAGAAAATACAAAAGTGCCACTTGGTAGACTTTTAACTAAACATGCACAACAAACCTCTTCTAAAAAGACCCACCTATCAATAGTATTATACACTTCCCTGAAAGCTACATTTAGATAATTAAAAATTCTTTGAAATAAGAATTTTTTCTGGATCATACAGCATTTATTTATTTTTATTTGATGTTCATACATATCTGATAACTAAAAATATTTTATGAAACTTAACTTTAAAATCAATGGAGGATATACAAGCTGATGGTGAACACCAGCTAAAATACTGGCAAACAGCGTGCTATAAATTTCTAAATGAAAATGGATTTCTCGTGCATGACAGACCTATCTTTAAAATTTGTATAGTGAATTTTAAATCACTCTATACATTATATGTAGTATAATAATAATATTAATACATTTCTATAAAAATATTAATATTAATAAAATATAAAAAATTTTCAAATAAAACTGAGTAATTTCTTACTTAAAGTAACCAAAATATAAACTATTTACTTAGCAAATGAATTGAATTATAATAAGTAAAGGATAATGACAAAAGTAATAAGGAAAAAAGATTGTCAACAGAATTTAAATGCAATAATCAACAAATAGCATAGAAATTTAGATGCAATAGGATATAATATTATTTAAAATTAATTATTATTTTTTAAGTAATTTTCTTACTACTTTTCAAATCTATATCATTACTTTTAACACTTTTACTTTCTTTTGTATATTCAATTATATTTTGTGGTCATTTAAAAAAGGAATAGATTAAAACAACATGCATGCGTAATAAATAAATAAAAAAAAACACTCTGTGACAATATACCTTATCCATCAGTGATATTGTTTGTAAAATTAGTTGATCTTGTCTCAAATCATCACCCAATTTAAAAATAGTCACATATTCTTTGTCATCAACAGTCAAAAATGTTAAGCGAGTTGGCATGAGAGCACTTTTAAAAAGAGTAGTTTTCTCAGGTATAATTCCTTTCACTTTAACTGTAGGATCTAATGGTAATGGAAGAGGATCAAAGTTTGTAAAGTTTATTTTATAAATTTCTCTGTCGTGTAGCAAAGCCTGAAGTCTCTCAGTCTGTGGAGGAAAAAAATTATTTATGTCTACAAATAATTGTAGTTTCATTACAATTACATCATTTTCATAGTTACATATCATTACAGTTATATCATTTTCATATTTACAGAACTATTCAGTATAAGATACAAGCATTTTGATAAATTAATCTAAAATTTTGCCTCATGTTAGACCAACACTTTCGTTAATGCAATATGATATACCATTATAAAAACATGAAATTAATGCATAGAAGATAACAAAAAACATACATGAAAAGAAAAAATAAATTTAGTTACATGAATTGTAGAGACTAAAATATTAGCTAATGACAAAAATTTGACACACAGAAAATAAACAGCACAGCAGATGTAACAGTGACATTCTTTCATTCCAAATAAAACGGCCCACCAGCGGCCGAGCGGTAAAATCGCTAAACACTGGTAGTTCGGTCCGAGGTTCGAATCCCGCGAACGGGCTGGCTATATGGGCATTTTCGTGGTTTTCCCCATGTGTAACATGTATACGAGCCAGTTTCCCTTAGAAAGTCTCCACGAAGGCATCCCTTCCCTTAGGCAGATAGCCTTGTGTGCTTTGCCATAATTAAATAAACCAAATAAAACGACGTAAAGTTGTAAGGATTATAATAGAAGACCTTTATTATTATTAACTAATATAGCAAATTCTAAAAAACCAAATGTTTGGACTATTATTATTCAAATTACAAGTTCTTTTTTCAAAGTAAAATTAATTAAACTTCTATTGATTTATGTAAATTGTTTTCAAATTTGTCATTGATCTAAATAGTACAAAAAGTTTAACTTGTAGAGCACATACTTTTCAAGATGCTGTTAAATTAATTCTGACTAATGTTTTCATAGAAAAGGAGTTACATACTGTATAAAGGTCAATTGCTTTGTTTACTACATTAGTTATCATATAAAAATCAAGAAAAGACTAAACAAACATAGTGATATTGTACATATTCATTGCATTCAATCAATTTCTATTAGGCTTTAGATGGAGGCAAATAAAAAATAGTTCACTTATCAACTTTATTTAAAAAGTATGCTTTGTATTTTGTTTCACAGAAATCAATTTTTAACTGTTCACTGAAATAAAAAAAATTTAAAAAAAAAACTTAGTTTCAGAGAAATACAGCCATCTGTAAATATATATTGCTACAGAAAAAAAATAAGACAAACTGATATGGATTTTTCATATAACTGGAGGATGTAGTCCTAGTCAGCAATTTAGCATTCTACAGTATTACTTGTTTTGCTGCATATAATGGTAAGATCTTCATAACTTAAAGAGCTGATAAACACTGACCGACTCCGAAATTCATAATTTTTAAATAAACAAATAAGCAGTGAAATTCTGCTGCTGTTACTGTTGCAGCTAATCCTTTGCCCAAACTATGGACAGCCTCATGAATAGCTGAGCATGGGTCAGTAAATTTACCTGTCACTGGCTATTGGCTTTAAGCATTATTGGTGACTCTGAAATGTTTTTCAGTTCCATTCCAATTTTCATCAGTAGCCTAAGGAAAAGTAGAATTACAATAGGCCGAATATCTCACTTTCTTTAACATCTGTCTGATAAATGAACTCTCTGACAGAGGGATTTTAAATGCTACCTCTCTTCAAAGATACCACAATCACAAGCATCTATGACTTCTCCATAATTTGAATTCAGCCTACTGTATGACAAATAGCTATTTTAAACCTTTACAGATAAACCACAAATACACTGTAAGCATGAACTCACGTTGAGGGGATGGAAAGAGAGAGAGAAAGACAGAAAAGAAAGAAAATGGGGGAAAAGAAGAACTGTCATTGGCTTTGAGCATCACCTGTGACTCTAAAATGTTTCTCAGTTCCATATTCCAGTTTTGTTCAATATCCTGAGAGGAATGGGAAATATAAAAGGCATCAATTTCCTTAACATCCAAAAGTACACTCTCTGATAGAGGGATTTTAAATGAACCCTCTCTTCAAATATACTACAACTGTAAACATGCATGACTTCTCCATAAACTGAGTTCAGCCTATGGGTATGACATATAGCCATTTTAACTCTTTTTAGATCTTTTTAGATGGCTAGTGAAATATATTGCAAGCATGAACTCACATTTGAAGGTGGGGAGAAAACAGTGAAAGAAGTCCTAGCTTAAAAGACAGATGCTACATATGCATGTTTCCATGCAGAATGTATATATGTCAATAACAGTTGACATTCCTTGCCCACTGCATTTATTGCAATGTATTTGTTCATTTCTTGATTTTTGATACATGAATTAATTATTTTATTTTATTTATTTTTAACCCATTTTCTTTTCTTTTTAATCAGAAGTAAGAGCATGTGTTTCAAAAATACAAACAAAATCTGGGTCCTTTTTTTTCCCCTCCTCCTCCCCCACAAGGCTATTGGGCAGACTTCTTGTCTAAGGCAGGTATTGTTTTATTATTCTTATTTGTCATTTGTCTTGTGAGAATAAATGCATCAAAATGAAAATAGGAGTTAAAAAAACCTATTTTGTTTGTTATAAGAAAATACTTTATTTTTACAGCAACAATCAGAAAATATTGAAAGGGTAAAGTGAAGTCATAGTGGAGATTGAAAGAGCTCTAAATCAGATGAAAAAGTGGACGTTGCAGTTCAGAAGCAACTTCGAAGGATATGTACTTATGAGAAGCCTAGTCACCCATTATAAAGGACTTTTTTCATCATCTCTTTTCTTAGAACTTCAGAATTAAATTCTGATATTAGGTATATATTATGCAGCAAAATATATAACTCATTAAATATTTCAGCTCTTAAAAACAGTATTATTTTTCTAAAATATTTTAACTTCATCTACAGGAATAAGGAACTATTTATATTCACATTAATAAATGGAGTAGTTAAGTTCTAAAGAAAGGAAATAATTACATAACATTTCAAAACCAACCCCAATTATTTAAGGTTCACAGTAAATTATGCTTAGCGACAAAACCCTGCCTTCCTTCTGAGTGAAATTATTTGTGCCAATCTTCATCCTCTTAGTTACATAAACAAAACTCCTTTTCTTACCTGCCAAGGGTTAACCAGCATGCCATTTGGGACAGTGAAATTACATATGTGTGAAGATAGAAGTTCTTCAGACCTGAAGGTATTGAAAAAAAAATTGCGATTGGAGAAGCGATCACTATGCTTCTCAATTTATAAGAAAAGAATAATAAAAACAAATAAATATCATACTGCTCAGGTCTGTTAAAAGGAAATAACTGCATCAATTAATGGGCATTCATTAATTATTCAAGGCTGATGAGCACACAGATAGTACATCATCACATGGTAACATACTTCATAATAATTTAATCATGTTTACAATAGCAACAGAATTCAGCACATATTAGTGCAACTACATTAATATAAGTTGCCAATTTTTCAGAATGTGCCAGACTGGCAACCATGCACATAACAGTCCTTCAGATTTAACAAACATTTCCGTATGCACTTTTTTAAAACTGTATTCTTTCCCACAGTTTTTATAGATATATCATCTTATTTTTTGACTTACATTAAATTTTAAAATATGAACTTACATAATTTAGCTGTATTAGAAGAAACTTTTGATAAAATTTCTGCAGGAATAGTGTTTTGCACAAACTCACTAACCAGAATAACATGCTTTCAATCTATTCTTACAAAGTTCTGCATCAAATTTCCACCGCAGCAAAAGATACAAAACGTCAATTCAGTTAGTATAATGCTCGATTTTTTTTTTTTGGATAAATACCTAATTAATCCATAAAATAGATATACAGCATATAATTTTTTGAAATCATAAATTATTTATTTTTACCCTAGTTTTCTAAGTAAAAAATCACTAAACTTAGTCAGGGTGGTTGTGCTAATACACAAATACTCAGAATTGTATACGACATTCCAAAAAATTCTGTGTCCTTTTCATACATAAAATTTTCAAACAACACTCAACTTCTCAGTTCAAAAATTATTATACATTAAAATTCAAATATCAAAATTTAATAACATTTTATATCACCTTAACAAATACACATAAACAGTAAATATTTTTGAATTTTTATTTTATATAAGTTACAGGTTTCAAAAACATTAATTTTTATGAAACACAAAAAATGTTACATTAACTGTAATCAGAGATGTTTGTGGGACCCCAAAAAATCCCCTGAAACTTTTTTACTACTACTACCTACTTTTAGAGTTTCGAGAAGGGGGGGGGAATGAAAATTAAATTATGAATTATGCATACTAATTAAAAGTTCAATAATTACTTTTTTGCAAATTAAAATAACTTAACTGTTCAACAATAACTACATTTTATGTAATATTTTAATTACCTGAATAATTCTTAAAAAAAATTTTCTATTTCTCTGCTTTTTTTTATTTCTGATGTTTGTGGTTGTCTTCTTTGTGTGAACTCATAATTCGGAAGGTTGACTTTTTTTCTCATTACGTGAAGAAATTTCCTCAAAACTGCGCTGCAGAGGTAGAAGCGTTGCTTTCTGCTAATGTAGAAGTTTTTCAGAGACTTTTATAGGTACTCATCTGAAATACATGTTTTTAAGTCCTCTTGATGGTTTTCCAACTTCTTTCATATCAGTAAAGATCTTTGTGATTGATCAGCATGGATTTTTTAAACATATTTTCACTGAGGTTTCTTTAAAGCCATACATCAATTTAATAGTCTGCACTGCATATAGGAATCAATCTTAAGAGAGTTCTATAGTCAGTGACAAGTGTAATCCATAATTTAATGCACTTTCCACTAATGGGCCATGGAAGCAGTTAAGGCATGCTTTGACCATTTAGCCATGTAATACTTATAATCATTTGTGCATCACTTTTAATTAAAAACTTTAGACCAATTTATCATTGTAACACTTGACTTGATTTCCACTTTCATCAATGTTAACATTTCTTTGTGATATCATATCACTCTATATACTTATTTCAGCTCTACTTTGACTTTTCATTATCATAAAATATGGGACATAAGATGATATTTTCAAAACTAATATTGTACTGGTTTTACCTCTTCGCTCTGGTCTGATCTGTAACTAATAGATATGATTTTTAGGGTAATTCTGTTTCAATCCTGTGCTGTTAGTATAAGCTTTCATCAGAAATTGATCTTTTGAATTGGTGATTTTTGATAAGTTCTTTCAGAGAGGGAACTTCTGCACCAGTAAATATTACTTTGCAGGTAATGGAATTCGGATTTGTGACAGCAAAACCATTAATAAATCGCAAGATGTGCCCTCTATATTTTCTTGCTCTAAAAAAAGAGAAAATTTTTGCCATCAATTTATAATACTGGAATATTAATGAACATTGATTTTTTTTTTTTCAAATAATGAATATATGTGTTAACTCTGGTAATACTACTGAATTAATGCCATATAATAAAGTTTGTTTTGCTAACAATAACCCTTTATCTTCTTTTTTTTTCCCGAGCTAAGCTCCTTTGTGATTGTTGGATGCAAGCAATAATACACCCCTTCACAATTTTTTTCTTGCTGCATAAATATTCTTTTATTGTATACAGTTTCACATAGAAAATATCCCCTTTATCATTTTATCCAAGTAGGAAAAAAATGCAATCGAGCATCCACGATCATTGATTCTTCTTAAAACACATAAATTACACCCGCCTATGTCTGTCTCTTCAAGGGCTTAAGTTTTTTAATGGCAAGGATCACGATTTTGAAAAATTTTCTCTTTTACTGCAGCTTTTCTATCAATAGATGTATCAACAAATCTTCTAAGTTCTATCAAAAAATGAAGCAATTTTTTTTTGCACAGTTATTAGCTGTGTGCCTTGTCACCATCAATATCTAATAGGAGATGCTTTGTTTGATCGTAGTCTGTTTCAACCCCTTTTTTTTTTCACGCTGGTTTATATGATCCAGTATACACTTTAAGTTTGCTCATGAATATTTATCTTCAAATAGTAACACTGCTTTAAAAACACTTCTGATTGCAAGATTCCATCTTTAGAGATGCAAATGATGAACTACACTTCATTTGATTGTTGTCATAAACTGCAACCACTATTTGCCAGTATCTTCTTGAGCATGCTAGTACTTTTATCCAATTTATAGAATGGAGTCTCCTTTAAAGTTAATGATATTTTCTTAATAGTTTTGCGAGCCCATATTCTCTATAACATCAGTAGTCCTGACATTTCCAACGAGTTTAGTGCTCTGTCGGCTCACTGTTTCGAGTTAATTAAATGGGAGCTACGAAAGAAAGAGACTCTCGCATAAACTAAGTTACTAAGCCCTCTTGGCGTGCGTTCTGTCACTATATCCAATGCCGGCTCAGTCTCCATAATCCCATATTTTTTAATTATCATAAACTTAAAGTCTTAATGTCTAATGCCTTTGAATATTTTTGTGCGTCACAGTTTTAGAATGATTTGGAAAGCCTTAATCCTTCCCCACCTACTTCATCAGTGATTACAAAAACACAATATGCTTGTCCAGCACTTTATTTTCTTGCACCATGTGCCATGTATCCCCTTACATCTCTCCGTTCATCCATTCCACCTAATGCATTCCGGACCCTTCTCGAATTGTAGAATTCACGTTTATACGAGAAATTTCATAGTGAATTCTCTTGCGTACATAAAAAAAAAATATTTCAATAAACGAAACGAAAATTACCTTGCTCAATAATTAAGGAAACTTTTACACGTCGAGAAAAAAAGTTGAGAAGCGATCAATACAAATACTAATACGCGACAATCCCCGTCTCTACGATTGCGCCACGCAGAGAGATAAACCTTTGAACCCAGCTTCACGTGACGCACATCTGGTTGAACGAAGTCTATCCCTTTTTTTCCTGCCGGCCTCCTTGCGAAAGAATCCGAGAGAATGTCCGAACCCGGGGAATGAGTCATACTCGCATAAGAAAGAACAAAGAAGGTTTTTCCCCCCCTTTCACGCATTATCACTGCCTTTGCGAAAGAAAGGAAAGTTTCACCACCACAACTGACCTGCGTTTTTCTGCTTCAAAGAACAAATTACCCAATCAAAAAATATTCAATTATTATTTTACTTCCTTTTGAACGACGATCCCCGAATTTCCGGTATCAAAGTTCAAAATTCCCCGGAATTCCGGGGTTTCCCCGGAGCGCAAACACCCCTGTGTAATAAAAATATGCAAATAATGCTTTTTTCATATATTTTTTTAAGATTAATTAATAGAAAATCAAATTTATCTTCTCCCTATCTAATTTTTTGCTGCACTATAGCATGGTTTTTTTCACTCAGAAATAAGATAGCTATATTTTTTAAGAAATCCATTCACATGAAAATGAAATCTAAAAGAAAATGATTATGTAATTTAATTCAAAAACTGCTGAAAAGCAAATTATCAAACTGAGAAGTCTGTTAAGTTTACAGCATAAAATATATGCTTTAATTTGAAACAAAAAATGTGCAAAAATGAATAACATACCTTTTTTCGTCTCCCTCCACTTTCTCTAGCAACGGTTTTCAAAAGTGTTAACAACTTATCTACGAAATCTTGCTGCCGAAATAAAAGGTCTTTTCGTTTTTTGTACTCTATATCACCCTGCAATTAATGCAAAATACATATTATATTAAAAATCATTAGAGTTACCATTCACTTTAAATGATATTTTCCCCCTTTTATTCTGTACAAAATTTTCAGTAAAATAAAAAAATAAATAATAAATGCTTTTTTTTGAAGAAAAATTACCTTAAATAATCACTTTTTCTTTTTCCTTAAAAAAGGGGGGGAATATTTCTTGATCAGAATATTGAGCATACAAAACCTTTCCCCCTTTTTCTTTTCTTGCTTTCTTTCTTTTTCTTTTTTTGTTCCCCTAATTGTTAAAAAGAAGGATAATCCCCATAGGATCTGTATACACTGTTGGAATTTGAGCAATATTATTTTTAAAGACAGATATCTTTTGCCTTTCATAGATGATTCATTAGATATATTGTATGAAACACATGCATTTGGTACAACCAGATTTAGAAATAGTTGTTCTCCATATTAGCACTCATAAAGATAATAGAAAATATACCTCATATGTAATGCACAACGAACAGTTTAATTTTTGAAGCTGCCATCTAGATTAAACCATTTTCCTTGTATGTTTTAACGTTTCATAAATGTTCTTTTCGATGTTCTGGCAAATGAAAGTCTAGTTACTCTACATGGATGATATTGTAATTTTAGCAGTAAATGAAACTGATGGAATCAGAAAATTAAAAAGAGTTTTTGAACTTGTTAATAGTTACAATCTTGTAAAACTTTTAAAAAGTCAGTTATTTTAAAGACATGTAAAATTTGTTTGACATATTGTAAACGTTTAATCTCTCATGGTCATGGAATTTCCTGAAATAGGAGCTTATGCGGATTCAAATTTTCTTGGATTTCACAGGCTATTTTGGAAAATATAGTATTGGTTATTCTATTATTGCCAAACTACTGAAAAGAATGTTAAAGAATCTAAAGTTAAATTTGAATGCTAACATCAAAATTCTTTTGATGAACCTCAGTCAGAAGCCTGCTCTTGGTATTTATAATCGAAATTATGAAACATAATTACACACAGATGCAAGTATTGACGGCTGCAGTGCTGTTCTTTTGCAAAAAATTAATAATAAATGCTTCTTTTGATGAAAAATTATCTTAACCGCTTTTTCTTTTTCCTTAAAAAAAAAAAAAAAACTGGAATGAGAATATTTCTTGCTTAGAAAATGAGCATACAAAACCTTCCCCCCCTTTTTCTTTTAATAAGTTTATACACCTTTTTCCAAGTTAGATAAAAGTTTATATACTTTTCCAAGTTGAACATAAACATAAGTTTTTGTTGAATATAAATATAACATAAAGGAACTTGGTAATTTCTTTCATCCAGTCTATTATATGAGTCAAAAAAGAGTCAGTGCTGAGAAAAAATTTTCTAATTTTAAATTAGAGATCTTTACAATCATTAAGGCTATTAAAACTTCAGAGTATAACTTTTAGTAATCAAATTTAAAATTGTCACTGATTGTGTTGCATTGCTAAGAATGGTAAATAAGCATAATATAACAACTAGTGTTGCAAGATTGGAACTTTTATAAGAATTTAATTATGTTGTCAAACATAGATTTTTTACAGAAGTGTTACTTATCAATGTTCTTACCATGAATTCAGTAAATGTTTGTAATATCACTGATGAAAGTATCACAGCATGGATAAAAGCCACCCAGGAGGAAGATAAGAAGATCAGGACCATTAAAAAAGTTTTAAGAGTTTTTAACTGTGATAATCAGTTTGAATGCAGAAAACTTATTACAAATTTATTGAAAACAGAGAAACATTAATAATGCTAGAACTCGTGCAAAAAGAACACATCCGAAACCTGCAAGAAAGAGGTCATGTTGGAAGTAAGCAAACACAAGAAATAATTACATATGATTATCATATTCCAAAATTCACATAAAAAAATTGAAAATCTAATTACCAGTTGTATTCACTGTATTCTTGTAAATTGCAAATGAAGCAAGCAAAACAGATTCTTACATTTACACAACAAAGATACTCTTTTACTCAGATACCATGCCTAACATTTGGTGCTGCAGGAAAGTGCAAACATAAACTACAAATACATTTAAGTTATAACTGATAATTTCACCAAGTTTCTCTGATTATACCCTACAAAAACAATTTCAACAGCTAAAGTAATAAATAAATTAGAATTTCAGAAAATTTTATTTCATTAATATGCATAAGTCCATTTCATATAATATACAACATAGGAACAGCTTTCTTACTGTACATGAAAATTAGTGTTTAAGCAAAAATGTCAAACACCACTTAATAGCAACTCCTTTGCCATGGTTTAATGATCAGGTCAAAACACTGAATCATTATTTCTGTGACTGCAAATCTGTCTATCAATGATCCAGCAGAATGATATTATGCTAGCAAGGTACAAAAATTCTTAAATTTCCGACACAAAAGAAGCATTGACACCACTCCATTTGAACTTGCATTTATTATTAGAATGCATATGAAAGAATATGTGGAAATGACTAAGTTTTTAGATTTTCAGATTCAGGCAACTTCCAAAAATATTGTGAGGAAATTCACAAAGAAGTAACATAAGAAACATTCAAGGTCTGGTAAGAAACCTGGAAATATCCAAAATTATAGTAGACATGAACCTCAAAAATACAAGAGTAATGATTTAGTACTAATTAAAAGAACTTATTTTATATTGGGCCTAAAATTAAAACCTAAACATTTAGGTGCATATAAAATTATCAGAACCAAAGGTTATGACATGTATTGATACAATCAAATATGAATAATTAAGGACTGCAACGGATTTTAACATGTTCTGAATTCATGAAGATCTGGAGTGCTACTTAGAAAAGTGATAGAGGTAAGGTTTATTGACATCTGCAGAAGGGACCAACGAAGTGCAGGAAAGATAATGTTGAGTTAAGATGAGTTTTCTTAATTTCAGATTAAAATTTGTGTTCTTTTATCTTTCTCGGATTCTCATTACGATAATGCTCCTGAACTTCCTGCTGGATGGTGTGACACTTGCAGCAGTGACAAGTAAAACAGACGAGTTTGTGGTAAGTTGCATATACAGCATCTGTTGCTTATCGCTGCAGAGTCCCAGATAATTTCAGAGTACCTGCTACCTTTTGAGGTCACCTACAAGTGAAAGGCACATTGTGGTGAAATGTGTGTTAATTTTTTAATACTTCTGCAATTGTTTCATGTAGTTATTTTAAATATATCAGTCCTTTGAAAGAGGTCTGCTTTTTAAAATATATCTGTTTGACACAGAGACAAGCATTACTATATATTGAAAAAGAGAGGTTGAAGGAAAAAGGAGAAGCGACTAAAAGTAACTGAGAGCAGAGATTTTAGTATAGTTTTTTTTAGAAAGGCTACCAAAGGGAAAAAAAATGCTACCATTAAATTAGGCACAGAATTTTTGTTTAATACGTGCTTTGTAAAATAATTCTATCTTGTTTATTTGCTTTAATTAACAGCTTTAAATTTTTTGTTTTGAATTATTTTAGTTAAATTAGTCTAACTTTGAAATTTCAAAAATTACACCCAAAACTAAAGTTTTAAATTTTGATAATATAGAGTTTACAGAGCAGGAGATACTGAGCATAAAGTAATGTGAAAAACAACATATGCCTCATTGCTCCTCCCCCAATGCATATTCTTAGGAAATAATAACAAAAACTATTACATTTTGAAGGGTGAGACTAAACCTCTTCATTACTATCTTATACATTTCTCGAGTTTTAGAATCTTTAGCAACATTATCAGGCTCATCAACTTCAATGAACAGGTACCTAGAAGAAAATGAATTTTAAAAAAGTAAATTTAAAAAGCAAGGTATAATTTTTCTCTTTTAAATTTTTTTTTTTTAAATATTCATTACTTCAAAAATTTAACATACACAGCTGGAAAATGTATATTATGTTCACTGCTCTTAGCAATGAATTTTATTCATAAAACTTAGGATTTCAATCAAAAATTAAAATCTAGTTAATAAAATAAACTTTTCAACAACAGTAGTTTTATGATTTACATTAAGTTACTAAAAAAATTAAATAGTTGAACAAACTTTTAATGAAGTTTAAAAATTATATGATTTTGCACAGAACAAAGGAAATATTTAAAGACTATTTCAATTTTGTTTCTAAAAAAAAAATCCCAAATATTCATTTGAAAAATTTAGAAAATTTCCTTCCAGAAAATTAGTGTGGTTATTGTCTAGCGAAACATAATGCTAGCAGAAACATTTTAACAAATTTCTTACAGCACTGGTTTAAAAGGAAGGATTCTTACACAAAACATTTCCATAGGATAGTCTGTCATGGGTAGCTTTCCGGGACATTTTTTGATCCTGGCAAAAATGTCACATTCAGTATCCTGTATGACTTTGCCAAAGAACTGGTTTTTTTATAAGTCAACCAATTAGATATCCTGAAAATGTTTCTTTCAATGTGATGCTGAAGATAGCTAGTAGATCTGATAGTAGTTTAACAAGGGTACAATTCATACAATCTTTTTTTCCTCTTATTTTCTAATATTTACCTTGTCATATGAACAGCAAAGTATTTTCAGTAAGTTTTTCATACTTCATATTCAGGTGAATTCAGCAAAACAAAATAAAAAGAACCTTTTCATGATAAAACTTCAATAATTTATATGTTAATATAGTACTAAGTCCAAGATCCAGAATCATCAGTTCAACTATTTCAGAAATTTTTGGATTTTAGTTCATCAATTTAAATATATCAGGTATCAAAAAATATTTTGTGCTGAAGTGAAAAGAGAAATTCAAATAAAAGGTGTCAGACACACTGTCGGGATGGCTTCAGATGTTGACATTCCCATCAACAGTTGGTCAGCACAGAATTAAGAGGCATGTTGGTCATGTCAAAAACAAGTCCGTAGAGACTGCAATTTTAAAGTGAACATGTTGGCATCGAAGGATGATCTAGACTGTGCTTACTTTAAAAGTTTGGCAGCAATGCTACAGAATCTGTCAGAAAATATGCTCTATGTCTGGAAAGCTATCAGTGAAAGAGCGCACGGCGCAGAAGTTCAGCAGATTTCCATCCAGAGATGAGAGCCTCAAAGACAAGCCTCAAATTAGGCACCCATCCATTATCGATGAAGCCCTTCTGAAGGAGGACATTGAACGTAATCCACATCCAACATGCAGGGAACTTGCACAAGGGTTTGGAGTGTCATGGAAAACCATTCGATTGCATTTGCGCAATCTTGGGAAGATATGGAAGCTCAGTAAGTACGTTCTTCACATTTCAACTGAGGAAATCAAACTCTAGCAGCTCACCATTTCCTCTTCATTGTTGTCATGCCAAAAACAGGCTCCCTTCTTGGACCATATATTGACATCTGATGAGAAATGGGTTTTACACAGTAACTGCAAAAGAAAGCATTATTGGTTGTCCCCTGGTTTTGTAGCATTAGCCTCCGACACAAAAAATTCATCAACAGAAGGTACTGCTCTCTGCTTGGTGGACCGTCACTGGAACTGCACACTTTGAATTGCTACAGAGTGACAAAATCATTGCAGCAGAGGTGTACTCCCCATAGTTGCTAATGGGTGCAGCTGAACTGCATCAGAAACAGCTAGCACTGGTCAATAGAAAAGAAGTGATCATTCTTCAAAAGAACATCAGATCTCAAATGGCAAAAGCAACAGGGTGATCAATACAGTTGGTTTGGAAGTTTCACCTCATCCTCCTTACCCTGTGAACATTGTTTAATCTGACTATCACCTGGTTTTGGCTATGGATAACCATCTGCGTGAGTCAGTTCCAAAACCGAGATGTCACGCAGGCCACAGGATAATTTTTTTGGCTCTAGGAAGGGATTAATAAGCTTGAGACTTGTTGGGAACACACAACTGAAGCTGAAGGGGATTATTTTGCTCAGTAATATGCATTTGTATAAAATTAGCAGATCGTTATTTCTCACTGAAAGATATCTGGTAATAGGATGACAAGTAGAAATATAAAATTATGAAATGGTTATTTTTTAATAAAAGCATTAATTGAATCCAAATTTGCAAAAAAAAAAAAAAAAAAAAAAAAAGGCCCAATATTTATTTATTTCTTACATTAAACAGTTCTTTCAATTACTATATTTATGCTGTTTTGTTTCTTACGCTAATACTTCCTCTTTTACAGATACACATGATTTATTGTTCAGTTCAGCTCCACTGCTTGATTACAAAGTTAAATTATTCAAGTTCTGAAATTGCCACGATGAGAATTCACACTAAATGAAATCTTTTCATTCTCAATAAGTCACTTTTTTCACTATCGATAGTGATATTTTCTAGATTTAAAATCATACTACAGATTTTGAAGATGGATGACTGAGAAATTGTCATCACAATGGAAAACTTCTGTTATACCATCTTCATTAATTATTATTTCTCCATGTTTCTTCACAAACTCAATACTGGTCATGACATTGGGAAATTTCACTTTTTGCATGTGGCATCCAAAACCCTTCAAATTTGATGCAGGAAATGATGAGTAAATGATAGACAGGTATTTAGGTCATTTGGGAGAAAAATTATTTGCTTTTATGGTACAGCTTCTCCTAGTTAAATATTATAACCTTCATTCCTAAATCTTGGGGCAAAAAATCCCCCCTCCCTTTTTGCTTTCTGAAAGCCTGAATCATTTCAGACACTGGACATCTCGATTTCAGAATTTGCACTGTATAAAATAAACAATTCCACAGATTACTTACAGTAATTATTTACATTATTTTTCAGTTACAAAAACTGAATTAAAAAAAATTAAAAAATTGCTCCTTTATAATTTCAAATACAATACATAACAGAGAAATTATCAAATATCTATGCTTTAATTAATCACAAAAATGGCATAATAAGTATGTATAAGTATTATTAAACGTACTTATTAGACATACAGTACTTGCATATAAATTATATTTAGTAAATTTTAATTGAAAATTACCAGTAGAAAGCAAATATAAATTTTAGCAAAATTATTTTACAAATATTTTTCTTACCAGTAAAAATAATTTGCCAGCATTTCATTAGCACAAGCTCTATTTATCAAAAATGTTGCAAGATCACACTGCAGGGGGAAAATGTATATGTTAAAAAAATATCATCTATTAAAAGAACTAGCAGGAAATTAGCAAGTGCTCTTGAAAATAATTTTACATATTTATGTATTAAAATTAAATAAAGCACATATTACAATAGAATACTGACAATCTGCATTCCTTGGGACTACATTTTATGTGGATTAAATAATTTTGTGAATTATAGGTGAAGTGCGAGTGAATTTTGTTCACATTTTTCTCTTCCTATTTTACGCATTAAATTTGGATTAGCTGCATGTAATTAACCAAAAAATACTAAATACTTTAAGAATTATTTAATAATGATTTATTGAATTATTTCCTTGAATTATTCTAATTTAATTAACCAACTCTTCAGGGCATGTTGAAAATGACATCCAAAATTGCAAATTTTGAAATTAAATATCCCAGCCAATTTTTGTCATTGGAAGTCAAACTTTTTGTATTTTTATTTTTTCATGACCAGTATTAATAATCTCTCAAATATAAGTATAGGAAAAGGGAGACCACATTAAAAGTTAAAGACTGGGTAAGGACTTTTGAAAAAGGAGGATGGGTATGTATATGTATACATAACAGATTGCAATAAAAAAAGTGGGGTGCATAACTAGACATTACAGTAGCATATACAAAATTTTAACATTTGGTTTTTGAGCTATGTGGAATACATATATACATACGTACATACAGATGGTCATGAAAAAATGAATTTTTAATCCTTTTTGGAATAAAGAGTCTTTTATTCTAGCCATACATACGGTCATGCAAAAAAATTATCAAAATAGACTATGGAACAGTCAAAATAGATGTTTCCATTGATATCTGACAAAAGTAATTTTTCCCGATTACAATATGAGCTTTACTTCATATAAGGAAGTCATCAAAATTACAGGATAATGAGAAAAAATACACTCACTAAGATAATGCTGCAACCAATGCCCAAAGTTTTATTTGTGCTAATTAAATAAAAATGAATATAAAACTGTACTTCCGAGCAAAAGTTAGTGTCGGAAATATTCCAATTCAGTGACTGACAATCTAGTGCACAATGAATGCATGTTGGAATTCTATTATGTAGTGTTGTTTAAAATGAATGTCGTTTCTGAGAGTGATCAGTATTCAGTAGTTAAGGCTCAAAGGCATCATTTAAGTAAAGATCCTTGGGGCTTGAGTGGATACCAGGTGCATCGGCAGGTGGTGGATAGCTGGATGCCCTGTATTATCAGACAGGATAGCTTCAAATAATAAATAAGAAGCCGCGAACCCCTTTCTGAAACCCTGGTGTTATGCGACCCATGCCCAAGGTGAATGATACTGCGGTTATAGTGTCTTGACCGAAGTCTCTAGAATGCCTGGCAACTTCTAAAGTATTTTGCCTCAGCCAGCAATATGCAGTACTTGGTGGACCTTTTTTATCTTGCACTTTCTCTTCTAGTTTACATATGGCTGAAAACGACAATTTAACTAGAAATTCTGCTTCCCAGAGGAAATCAATTGAAGGAGCAGAAATGAATCCTTCATCGAGCGAGATAGAAATGACCTCTACTAAAGTTACTCAATTAACATCTGGAGAAGGGCAGGAAGCTATTAAAAGCATGACAACCTCTCTAGACAAAATCAAAATCAAAAACAGAATGTCCAGAGCACAAATAAAAAGAAATGCGCCTGAGAATTTAAACTTGCCAAAGGTACCTGGGTTGAAAAACCCAAGGAGAAAGGTGAAAAACGGCAATCTCAAAGGATGGAGCAGAATACAGCCCTGAAGACTGCCAAAAGAAACAGACCTGAAGGTTATACCTTCTAAAAAGCTTTTATGGTGGTCATGATGGCTGTACTCATTGAGTGACATCCTGAAAAACGTTTATTGGAAGAACAAGCTACTGACCTTGAACTTCTGATAACATCAACTCCTTTAAGTATTTTCAATACTAAAGAGTTACATTTGAGTTCTATTAAGGGAGTGTTAGACTTTATAAACAAAGGGGGTGATCCATACAAATGCAGCTAGGAAGCATTGGGTTTGGTGTGTTTGGCACAAAATGCTATTTAAAAGTAGAAGTGCCTGATACCTGACAAACTCAACTATGAAGAAGAAGTGGAGATCAAAAGTGGCAAACTATTGGTAGAATTGAGGTAGGTCAAACACTACTGAGGATCATCCAAGATTTGAATATTTCCCAAAATGTCATATCAAGAGTTTGTAGCTGCTTTTTAAGCACCATATCTGTTGACAGAAATCCTGTTCAAGCATGATCAGAGCAACAATTGTATCAGAGGACTATTTTCTGATGTTTTCAGCTCAAAGAAAGCACAAAGCAACTACAAGAGATTTGATTTCAAGCTACCGCAGGAACTTGAAATAGCCATTCTGCTGCATGAAGCTTAACCCTTTCAGGACGGGCGTCCCATATACGCATTCCCTAAGAACGTCTCTTACAGCTGGGCGTCCCACCCACGCATCGCTAGAGATTGCATTCAGAGGACGGGTGATGCGTATATGCATTTTAAGCTGGAACATTTTTCTGAAGGCCACTAGATAGCATCCTATGTCCATTACTTTTGAAATGAACACAGTTTTAAGTTCCTGACTTTGAGTTTGATATATTCGGTTTGACTTTGGTATTTTACTCATCAGCTTTTGTGAGGGTGGAGGAGAGGGAAAACATAAACAGAGGTGAGCACTTTAAATCGCTGTGTGCTAATGAAAACATTCACGTGTCTGATTTGTATCCAATTCCTTTTTTTTTTTTATTCTATTTTTTCCTTTACTATACATGGTCTTTTAGGGTTAATATGTGGAGTACTGTTATGTTTTGCATTGCCCTTCAGATATATTTCCGTTTCTGCTCTTTTTTATTTCGGAAAGCCTCACCTCCAGTCTATTATAGCGGAAAGGCGCTATTTATCAGAGGAAGAATACCCTCATATGGTCAATGAACCATTTATTAACGCAGATGAGAGTGATGATTCACTTTCTAAAGAGTTAGAAAGTGATACTTCTCCGTACTTCGAGATTTACCACAGTCTTCATTTTAAATTTTGTTACTGCTTACTGTAAATAGTCTTTATTGTGTAGTTTAATTAATTTAAAACTTTATTGGTGGATTTTATCAATTAAAACTTTGGAATAATTTGAATAGTGCTTCCGAAAATTATTTTACAAGACAAGCCATTTTTTAAGTATATTTTCATGTAAAATACAGAAAAAAAGTTATTAAGTGCTAATTTTAACATATATAAGAGCTCAAGTAATAATCTAAAAGAATACAAAACATTATGATGCTAGAAGCGAAACTTTTTTTTTTTTCTGATCTTTTCTTATAAAATTAGGCTTAGCGATGCAAAACCTCTGTCCTGTACGGTGACTGTCTTCGAGTCCCTTCCATCCCGCACGAGTGTCTTAAACAAAGGTGTGCCATCGCAAAAAGGTTAACAAGGTTGGACTGTATGCAAGAAAACCAATGGTTTATGTGCCACTCACTAAAGCTTCCACAGGGGCCTGTTTAAACTGGTGAAGTTGTCATGTTCAATGGAGCCAAGACAAATGGGCTCGAATGTTGTTTATTGACAAGTTCAGATGTAGCCTGAGCAGTGATTTTGATTTGGAGAGAGGAAGGACCATGCAACTTGCCTTCTCTTGTCCGCGAAATTCCCCGTTTCCACGACCACGTTTTAATGGTTTAGGGAGGAATCATGACAAATGGCCAAAACGAGCTGCATGTCTTTCAAGGAGGTTCTGTAACTTCTCTGAGATATGTGGACCAGATATTGGAACCCCGAGTTTGACACAGAGTTTTTGCTGATGGATGACATTGCCGGCCTCAACAAGCACATCTGACATCAGAATACTTGCAGATAGAAGACATCACTCAAATGGACTGCCCATCTTCTTACTCACTCAACATAACCCAATTCAGCAAGCGTGGGATTCCTTTAGGGTGCTGAATTTCAATGCACCAAACTCCTCCCTGGTCCCTCCAGGAGTTAAAAAGTGCACTTTTAGAAGAGTGGCATGCATTTCCCCATGACTTGATCAACACTTTGGTAAAGACTATGAAATCAAGATGTATGGTATGTATATCTGTCCAAGGTGATCATACACCATATTAAGGAAAAAAATTTTCCACAAGAGGTGACAATTTTTCTATCATTTTCCAATTTCCATAAATTTGGTTTTAATTTCCAAATTTTGAGGTGACAATTTTTCTATCATTTTCCAATTTCCATAAATTTGGTTTTAATTTCCAAATTTTGCTAATAAACAACTGCCAAGCATTGTAATTTATGTTAAATAGTGCTTTTGCACATATCTCTATTAATGTTTTTTAAGTATCATTTGTGTTTTATTTGTCATTAGCCTTTAATTTTGATGAACAGTGTAAAAAAACACTTATATTTTCATATATTTATATACAGACAAATAACATCAGAACAGTACAATGGGAAAATATATTGGGGGGGGACATAACTAATAAAGACATTTTTTCAAAAAATAATTCTTTTGCAAAAACACACTGAAGTACAGGAGGTCATCAGAGAGTATATGGTTCCAACTGACTATTACCTTAATCTTAATAATAAATAATAATATAAATAAATAAACTTCTGCATAGGTACAGTTTATCTACATCACAAAATTGCCTTCTCAGATGCTTGCACAATTGCTCGTTAGAAGCCTAAATAATGCCAATTACAACTGTTGCTGTAGGTACACTTTTGATTTGTTTCTCTAGCTTTTTCACACACATTGTTAGTAATGTTTGACTTGTTCTTCATGATAAATTTCATAACAGGGATCTAAAACTTCATTTGCCCCCCCCCCCATTATTTAACCCAGAAGGGTTATAAGTCTCGAAATTGCATTTTGCGTCGAATCACTTTTCAGACTTTTGCACCAAATATTATCGCCTTGCATTATATTTAGAGAAACTAAATAATGAAAAATCTACATGAACATACGTATGTTTCGAGCGTTGTGACAAAACAATGGTACCTACAGTCATCACATTTTGAATAACATAGTCCTCTACCTGAACAAGGGCACCTGGAAACCGAAATTTGGGATTTTTTTTATTATGTATTTCATATTTTGTAAAACTTTAATGAATTTTTTACTAAAAAACTCAACAATTTCAAAGCGAGCAGTAGCAACATTGCAAGGAATAAAACATTTTATCTCCAGCGTGTGAAACTGTCTATCAGAAATTCTAAAGAAATGCTATATCTAAATATTTTTAGCCCAAACACTCTTGAAGCAGGTATGTGTCTGCAAATGAGAAAAACGCCCGTTCGGGCATAATATAAAATCCGAAATCTTTCTGTTTTTTTAAATAGCCCCTCCCCTCTTTTTTTTAAACTCTAGTAAATGTCTCAAAGTTTGGATCCATGGTTTCCAAACTAGCAAAAAAGTTGATTTAACAATGTAAAGCATTCAGATAAACCTTTTGTAGTGATTTTTTTTTTTTTTTTTTTTTTTTTTTTTTTCCCCTGGTTACATTTCCATTTCTTCATTCTCTCACCTCCCTTCCTGTTCAATTCTCTCTTGCCCTAATTCAAGCAGCTCCTTACTGGTTAGTTTACTAGATTCTTGGTCTAACAACACTTCAACATTTTCAACTTCGTATTCCAAGGAACAATCACTCTTGAATGTAGCAGTATTTTCAAGAATTGTTTGGAGATGAGAATAACATTTTTGGTAACTAACATTTTTCGAAGCAGTACCAAGACTCTTAATCCACTTTATAATATCTTGCTTTCAGAAATCACACACAAAAGCTGAGTGTTCTACATCAGTTGCTGCAATTGCCTGGGTAAATGTAATGCATAGGTAATTTATCATACTCAGTAATATAACCTTGATACACAGGCTGTATCAATAATGTTATATCTGGGGACAAGAAAACAGTATTCATATCAGGATTTAAAATCTGCTAAAAATCTGAAGGATAGCCAAGTAACAAAATTTTCCAGAATAATCCAGAATAATTCCAAAAATAATCCAGAAGTAACAAAATTTTGAAAGTTTCTTCTGACAATAGTCTTGTATTTATGGAATTTGAAGTTTTCAAATAGAGTTTTATGTCATCCATGCTTTCCCGTTGGAGCAAAAATAAAGTGATGGTGAACGCCAATTAACATTTAGTCTTTTTTTAACAAAATAGTCTTGGGTTTTCTGAATGATAAATTAAGAATGGCTTTAATTTAAAACTTGTGATATTACCACCAGAAGAAATAATCGATCCTTTTAAGCTTCAAATCCGGGCATACTTTTTTCTTCTTTACGAATGTAGAATTGCTTATCACATGGATGTTATGCAGCTAAAATCTTTGCTTGAAGCATTTGAACCAGTCTGTGCCAGCTATAAAATTTTGATTGTTATGATCTCTTTAAGTTTAGAAAATTAAGTGTGCATTTGTTTTATAGGTGTGAAGAATATGGCTCGGTAAATATTCTTAGAAGACATAACTCCGCGTGGCTAAAATACAACTTTATTAACACAACTATTCATAAAAACAGGAAAACTTCTACACAAATACTTAAACCTTCTTGTACTCGAGATAAGAGAAGTTATTACGAAAACAACATGACGTCATCTGGTGCTACGTGCAGTCAAACATACGACAGAACTATGATGGAGAGACATTGGGAGACTAGAGGCAGGATAAAGTCAAACAGAAGTGGCCAGATGGCTAAATGTGAGTCCTTCTGTGGTTCTTGACTTTGGAGGCGATTTCAAACCACAGATTCGACTTCTAGGAGGTTCAGCCAAGGACGGCCAACTGCTACGACGAGCGCCGATGACTGATATTTGACATTATGTGCCCACAGGAATAAAACCACTACTCCGACTCTTCTTAGATCCTCCCTTGCTGCAGCCACTGGAAGGTTGGTGTCAAAGTCACTGTGCGCAGGCTTCACGAAGGTGGTATGTATGTGTGAGACAATCAGCCATTTGCATGTCGCTCATGTCACACCATAGGAGGGACCATTTGCAGTAGGCACAACAACATGTCCACTGGATGCTTGACCAGTGGAGGGCTGTTCTCTTTACGGATGAGTCCAGGTTTAGTCTAGAAAACGATAGTAGGCGTTATTTGATATGGAGAGAACCTGGAACCCGTTATCATCCGTGAAAGAGATGCATACGGAAGAGGCAGTGTCTGTGTTTGGGGTGGCATCTCTTTGGGTGGACGCACAGACCTCCATGTCTTTCCCAGGGGAACCGTGAATGCTTAGGTTTATAGAGATCACATCCTAGATGCTGTGCGCCCATATGCAGAGGCAATAGGTGATGCCTTCCTGTTACAGAATTACAACACAAGACCACACAGGGCTCACACTGTAGATGATTATCTTCAACAGGAAACAATTATGCGCATGGAGTTACCAGCTCGATCCCTGGATTTGAATCCTATTGAGCACGTTTGGGATGATTTAGAGAGACATCTAGCTGCTCTCAGCCTGGCCCCCTCAGACCTCGCCGCACTTGTAACAACTTTGCCAGAGCAATGGCTCTCGCTTCCTATGGAACTGATAGACCGCATAATTGAAAGCATCACGCATTACTGTATGTGCTGTATTGCTTCTAGAGGCAACCATATTCCCTATTGAAGATTCTTTTCCTATAGCAAACTGACACCTTCGATTTGTTCATTTTATACATGTGCTAATTCCTATACTACCATAATTGTCTGGTAATTTATTTTTATGTTATTTGTACTATGTGTTGTATATTGTGGGTAAATTTCATAAAATTCTACATGTAACTTTTTCAGTAATCGTGATTTTTGTGATTTTTCCTTAATTTATGATAACCAGTGTAATTAATAATTTTCCCATTTCATGAACTGCTCCAGTTTGTTGTTTAATAACAATCATTACCTGCACTGAAGCAGATCCTTTTCCAGAACAGCAAATCCTTCCTTTGACCTTCAGAATCACCGATACTGTGAAAAGAGCTAGCTTCAAATCACATGTAAACACAGTGAAATTTTTCCCTCCTTCGGACTGTTTAAGCACTTGTATTTTCATATCCTATTTGATCATCTTTCTTTTTTAACTTCTTTATTGCTAGGCTACATAGAATTTTTTTTTTTCCCTTTAGAGCTATTTTACAGATTAATTAATAACAAAATTATATAAACCTAACAGAAAAGACCTGCTCTGAAAAACATTAGCTCACATGTACGCCTGAATGGTGAGGTAAGCAACAGCTGTGACTAATGCATAGTGTTGTCAAATTTAATAAAGGGATATAATAAAAGGTACCACATATAAATCTCTCACTTTGATACTTGATTTTTTTTTTATCAGAATTGTGGTAGAATATGCTCTCTCAAAAATGGTTGCAAAGTCAGTCGAAATCAATTAAATAGGTAGTAAGTCAATGACCATCTGCATTTCATGTTAAAAAAAAATCTACAAAAAATGTGCATCTACCACCAAAATTGTTTTCAAATAATTTGTTTATGGTACTTATATATTATCCTGTCGACCATGGTAGTTGGCTACCATCAAACTATGAAAAATGACGGACATTTAACTAAAGCTGTGCCAATCATTCATGCGAATTCAAGCAGCACTTCTAACTGCAACTCTGACAATAAAACATTCATTAATCTCACTGCACAATCCACCAAATCACCACTGCTGAGGAAGTAATCGAACTACTCAATTTTTGCACTTCCTAAAAAAAGGCTTTTGATTTATAGTGTAAAGGTCTGTAAATGAACAGGAATTTGGTCTCAAATGTGATTCTGCAGTTCTTGAACTCACTTTCCCCCCTTCAAAATGTAGAGGGGGAAATACAGCAATAACAGTTTATTTACATTCTCGTTATAAAAGCAAAAGGTTGTTTATCAAGAATCAATCGAGGTTATATCAAATGAAAGCACAAATGCTATGAATGCATTATGGCATTACAACTGGCACTAAATCAGCCCTGCTTAGCTGCAGTTTTACGTTCAGCTGGATAATAAGTAAGTACTTTTTTTATTTTTCAATTACAGAAAAATTAGATACATAGATCTGTTCATTGTTTACAAAACCTGTTGCAGCATGGCTTTCCCTAAATTAAATCCCTATGTTGATAAAAACTTGCTTCTTCAATTAAAATACGCTATAGACTTGGCATATTTTTTGTTAAAAAAATTATTTTTTTATCTGCATAAGCAAATTGGCAATGCTGAATTTTCTAAAACTGAAAATTTTGTTTGCTTACATACAGAAATGAGCATGGATCATGGGCATTTGCAGATTACTGAAATTCCATTGTGCATATACAGCTTGACAATTATGTTTAGAAGTTGGAAGAACAAAAATTTAAAAACCAGCACAAATGGTTTGGAATAATGAAATTAAAGAACAAATATCCAACCACATAATCATTCCTACATCAAGAGTTCCTAATGCAGCAAATGGTTCCTCCAGTGAACTTTGCTCTGACTGAGAAGTGAATGATGATCCTTTCACATGTTCATTTGTGGTCTCAAATTTTTCAGAATCACTCTGAGTTGAAAATGATCTATAAAATGAAATGAGAAAATTCAGAATGTGTTATAACCCGAATTTCAATATAATTTAAATTATAAAAACAATTCTTCTCCTGTTTTTAAGGAAAAAATTTTACGCAACAACACTTAACTGATTTTTTTAAAAAATGCCTGACGAGAAAAAAACTGTTTTTTTTTTTTAAATGCCTGAGGAGAAAATTAAAGCCACTAAATAAAAGACAGAAATTTCTGAACTTTTTAATTTAAAATTTCAGTGCAAACTGAAGTAATAATATTTAATTATAAATGCATATTTAAAGCATTATTTATCAATTAAAAAACTGTTTGTTGACACTAAAATAATTAACAGTATGTTATATTTTCAGCTTAATCAAGGATACTTTTTCCCAATAGTAAAAAGGGGCAGAAGCAACTACGAACTGAAAGCTCAGCTGCCCACTCTTGATTTAACACTGGCAAGATTGCAAAGTAAATATAATGAAACACTTATCTTTAGTCTTTTAATTCAGAGGTAATGCTTTAATCCATTACTCATTTATTACAGATCTGATATAATACCTTTGCTACATATAACCAAACAGATATATTTCATCTTCAGTATCTGCAAACATAGCTGCATTCACATGAAAACTAAGTGTTAATGATTATTTAGAGAAATTAACAGAATTTTAAAAAACTAGGTAAGGGAGTTAATACTAATTTCTTTCAAGAGTTCCATGTATGTAACTTATAGCATTTTACAAAAAGACTCAAATTTCGATGATCAGGTTATTAAACCTTCGGCAAATATTTCAAATAGATTGAATGCAAACACTTCACTTCATGCACTTTACGTAAACTTGTATGCACATGTATTCTCAGATAATAAAAATATCCAAAGAACTAGAATAATATTTATAAAAGTTTAAATAAGTTTATAAAAGTTTAAAAAACAACAGACACTCACTAACAATAATACATATGATTAGTTTATTAATTCATATAAAATTGGTACTTGTAATTAATTACCTTGAGTTATAAAAATTACATATATGAGATTGTTCAGAAATAATTTTCTAGAAGTATAATTTAACTCTTCACACTCTATACATATCGTCAAAGAGACATAAATATTTTAAATAACTATCAAATCCTAAGTGACACTGAAGAGATAACATGTAGAACCAAACTCATTTCATCATCAAAACGGAATTCAAAAGAAGCTATCTAATATTAAAATCTTCATACAACAATGAATGATGAATACTATACTGGAGATATTTCAGAAAGAATGTATGGTAATGAAATAATATGCAATCTTCTGTTTTTAATTTAGTTATTTTTTAGATAGTAGTACTAAAATTGTTTGTTTGTTTTAAATCTTTTCTTTTAAGACAATCTGCATCACTGATAAAGTTTTTATAAATCTTGCAGCTTATTTGGACTTTGAAGTTAAAGATTTATAAGATCACAGAAAATATTGCTCTCAAATATAGCACCTACACAGTCCTTCAAGAGCCTAACCTGTGCTCTTACATCTCCATTAACACTAAAATAAATCTCAATCTGGTGGAATATTGTACAAAAAAGGAAACTGAAGCTGTTATCAAGGCAAAAGGTACTCGACCAATTGAGTTCTTTTTTGGTAAAAATTTATACAAATGGTTCGTCAGATGAGACTATCCAACATGGTGGAGCCGGTATTCACACCACTCTACCAAATGGGGCAAACAGACTCCAAAGCCACAGAGCAGGCAACATTGCTTTCAATTCCATATGTAAATTAAGAGCAATCCAGGAAGGCATTAGAATATACATCGGAATTTACATCGACTTAAATAATAATGATAAAGCCAGAGGACTTGTAATTTACTGTGCCTCTAAAGCTGCCCTAGAGGCAATACTGCAAGGACAATCAAAACTCACCCAGGCCAGTATACCAACACCTAGAAATAACTGCCCAAATGGGAAACACATGCACTATACAATGAATACCTGCACGCACTGGAATAAATGGAAACGAGGCAGCTGATGAACTGGCTAAAAAAGCAAGAAATCTCAATAACTCAATACCCATCACTCTTGAAGATGCTAATGCCATTACCAGACATTGACAGATATGACATAAAGAGAAATATATTAAGAAAGACCATCAGATATGTGAGATTAATGCAAACAGAGGAATTACCAAGACCTTTACTAGACTGAGAATCTGCCATTTCAGATAAATGAAAATTAATGAAGAATAGTACCAGATCATGAAGAACTTGTAGAAACTGCCCCAAAACAGAGCCTTCTCCAGAATACATCTTCACCTGTCCGGCAGTACTTGCAGCTCTGCAAAACTTGGGGAATTTCCTTTTTAGAAAGATCTGTATAGTGAAAAGATTGTGGAACTGGCAAAAGTTGCGATTTCCACACATGGATTCATTTGACTTCTCAAAGGACACAACACCAACCAACCAAACATGTTAAAAGATTGTACATAACATGCACAGTACCAAACCACACATGCTTCTACATTATCTTACAAAAGCATAGTGGAGATGTGCTAATAAAAGTGATGACTATTTTTGGCCATACTGATTGACATTTATAATGTATATGGCTGAACCACTCAAAAAAATGACCCTCTTAAGGCCCACTTTTTTCATAAAATTGAAATGAATTTCAATTTAATGGAATTATAAATTTAATAGATTATCAAATTAATTTATGGAATCATTTTCATTTATGTATTCTGAATTATTTTCATATTTAAAAATAACTTTCAGTGGCACCATGTAAATGAAAGTAAATAACAATTAAAAGCAACAGATTGCATATGATATCATTACCTAATAAAACAATAAACTTACAATTATGGAATATAAAATGTTGCAGAGTTAATAGCAGGGCTGTGGAGTCGGTAGGGAAAATGACCCACTTGGGACACCCTGAATTTTAAACTTAGAGACTCCGACTCCCTCATATGTAAGTAAACATATACCCATGTGTTACAGCTTATTTTTTTTTTTTTTTTTTTTTCAATATAAAAGAAGCAGTAGATGCTACAGGAAAAAAAAAAATGAATGGTATAGCAAATTATTTATATTAATAAGTATTTGTTATGAAATGGAAAAACAGGCATTAGTAATTTCTAAGAAATAGTACAGCTTCCTCAAGATCTTCTTTGTTAAAGGACCATAGATCCAATTTGATAAACTTCAGAGCTGAGAAGAGTCTTTCCAAACTAACTTGAGTAGGAGGAAGAGTTGTTACTCTTAGGGCTACTTCTTTTAACTTTTCAGGATAGATTTTTGTAAGTTCTAAAAGAAGTGTCTTGCAAGGGCAATCGTATTTCTCTATTTCTTCAAAGGCTGTGTAGAAATCTTGTTTGTATTTTTCATTTTTATATCCAAATTCTGTGCATGCGCATAATACCTTTACGCATGCGCATAATAAAAATAACTTTCAGTGGCACCATGTAAATGAAGTAAATAACAATTAAAAGCAACAGATTGCATATGACATCATTACTCATTACCTAATAAAACAATAAACTTACAATTATGGAATATAAAATGTTGCAGAGTTAATAGCAGGGCTGTGGAGTCGGTAGGGAAAATGACCCACTTGGGACACCCCGAATTTTAAACTTAGAGACTCCGACTCCCTCATATGTAAGTAAACATATACCCATGTGTTACAGCTTATTTTTTTTTTCAATATAAAAGAAGCAGTAGATGCTACAGGAAAAAAAATGAATGGTATAGCAAATTATTTATATTAATAAGTATTTGTTATGAAATGGAAAAACAGGCATTAGTAATTTCTAAGAAACAGTACAGCTTCCTCAAGATCTTCTTTGTTAAAAGACCATAGATCCAATTTGATAAACTTCAGAGCTGAGAAGAGTCTTTCCAAACTAACTTGAGTAGGAGGAAGAGTTGTTACTCTTAGGGCTACTTCTTTTAACTTTTCAGGATAGATTTTTGTAAGTTCTAAAAGAAGTGTCTTGCAAGGGCAATCGTATTTCTCTATTTCTTCAAAGGCTGTGTAGAAATCTTGTTTGTATTTTTCATTTTTATATCCAAATTCTGTGGATGCGCATAATACCTTTACGCATGCGCATAATACGTTTACGCATGCGCGTTTAATGTATAACAGTTAGTATAAGCTAAGCTCAAATTATCTAATTATCTATTTCAGTTAATGTTGCAGATTGCATTGTTCCTTAATCTTCTAATTTGATCCAGCTTATGTTTTTTGCAGACAGTTAGAGCAATTTTATAAAAGTAAGCTTGAACTTTCGATTATGTCAAAAAGAATTTCCAATTCTGGAGCTGCCAAAGGATCTACAAAGCGGAGGGGGGATGTCATGGCACGCAATGAACTGGAAGTTGATCTGTAAGCACTAACCTTATCTTCAGGGCAGATGTTTTTATTTCATTCGGCTTATAACTCCTTACTAAATGTAGTATTTCATCTCGATGTACTCCGTCTTTGATATGATTTAAATCAAATTCCTCGTCATTATGAATATCACGAATACACATCAAATAGTTTTCTGGTTGCAATTTTCTAATTTCGACTATGCGTAATGTATGCTTTACGCATGTGCACGTTGAAAGAAATGTTTAATAAAATAAACAAATTAATATTAAGCTTTTTTTTTTTTTTTTTTTTTTTTTTTTGTAAATTTTGATACTTTTTAGATCATAATTGCTCTTTATTTCATAAATTACGGTTTCATATTTTTTATTTTATAATTTCTGCATGCCATCTTATTAAATTTAAACTGATGATCCATAATCCAGAAAAACCGATAATCCGGAATCGCTGAAGTCCCGACGAGTCCGGATTAAAAGACTTTTGACTGTATTATCCAAATATTTCTCAAAGTCTAATTCATCACTTGAAGAAGATGATAAAACTCAGTTGCAATGTCTGCAGTTGGACTGTCCTGATTTGAATACTCAAATTGTTCTGAGAATAATTTCATTCTCAATGAAAGTTCATAGATAGCTTCCTTTGCCTTTTTAATTGTTCGTCATCCAACAAAATTTGGTGTTTTGGATCTACATATATTGAACACAGCAAGATCTCATTGTCTAGCAAACTAGTTTCCCTTTTTTTCATTAAAGAAATGATTCCTTCCATCACATTCTTGCCTCCTGTTAATTCTTCAGATTGTAGCTTTTTTGTGGCTATTTAACGGTGTAGAAAGAAGAGTGTCCAATTCTGCAAGATCATTCCACAGTCATTCTGTTAGTGAAACATCAGGATTATCTACATCTTCTAAAAAAGATCTTAATTCTAACAGCCTCTATGCCACCAAATATGCACTTCGTCATCATGTTGTTGATCAATAATTTCTCTTTTTCTGCTCATTTCCTAAGAAAGGCATCAATTTTGGGGGTTCTTGCTGATATTGCTGCTTACCTACATTTACCAATGAACTAAATGAATCAGTTTAATCAGTAATGGCAAATATTACATCCATCCTCCTCCCCTTACATTTATTTATTACTATGTCATTAAAATAGAAAATAACTATTTATTAATGTATATAGTCTATAAATAAAAATAATAAATCAGTTTGTTATTAAGTTTTCTTTTTAAATTATTATTTCATTTCAAATTCAAACTGCCCAAGAAAAACTGGAGTCGGAGTTGATGTGTTTTTAGCGAGTCCAGCTCCAACTCCTTTTACCCAAAAATCTGCCTAACTCCGATTCCAACTCCACAGCCCTGGTTAATAGCTATATACAAAATAAGATTCTCAGAGGGCAAAGGCTTAAGTGAGATATACAATGTGTTTCATAAAGGATTCATACGGACTTTATAAACTTCAAGCATTCTCTGACCCCGAGTAGCAAAATTTAAATATTCAAATTATTAAAAAATTGGTGATACAATTGGAGGTAAGGCATCAATTGAATTTTAATTGGGTTAAAGCCCATATTGGTTGTTTGGGCAATGAGAGGGCGGATGTCTTAGCAAAGGAGGCAACAATGAGTAATGGTATTGAAACTGTCGATGTACACGCCTCCAGGAGAAGATGCATTAACATTAAGAAGTGTGTGTGACATTGTAGATAAATGACAGACTCAATGGGAAAACTCTGCTAAAAATAATACGTTCATGAAGATTTTTGTTTCTAAGGAAAATATGAATATTAACAATGACTTGAATCAGTTAATTACAGGTCATGGGAGATTTCCCTTTTATCTGAAAAGATTCCATGTTCAAGATAATGATTTATGTAAAGTATGTACAAAAGTAGGAGACAATGTCCACTTTATTACAGAATGTAAGTTAACCAGATGCATTGATGGAGCGAACATAGATTTTATGAAAAATGGTTTACTTAGGGCAAGAGGAATAGCGCATAAAATTATGAAGATTATTAACAACAATAAAGAAACCATTGGCATTGTGTGATTCGTGTATTTGTATAGTTGTGTGGTTATTTTGTACTGGCGTAGCCCACATATGGTCATAGGGCAAACTTTGTTTTGCAAGGTGGACCGGGCTACACCCTAACAAAACAAAACAGACTTTATAAATTGTTCTATCAGATGTCATTAAAACGCGGACATTTATTGCAATGGTATTTCTTACTTATATCGGACTACAAGATGGCACATGGCCCACAAGATTCAAACTGATTATAAGTTTTTAAGAACCATTAAAATGAAGTATGTAAGTCTTTTGAATAAATTTTCTTGTGTTTGAAAAATTGAGAAGTTCTTTGTGAAATACTCTGTAAATTGAATTCCACTTCGAAATGAACACTCGGTATTTACTTACTAACGAAAAAATTCCCAGAATTTCAATACAAAGAGATTTAGACCATAAATATTGCTAATAGCATCACTGCTATTAGTCACAATAAAAAGGATATGCATTTAAGTTTGTAGAAATGACTTATAATAGCTGTAAGTACGAGTAGTTAAATGAATAATTTTCAACGATGAAAGAGTACAAGGGTCTTGCAAAAACACAGAATTTTAAGTCTTGGCTGAGCATTGATTTCAGGTGAAAACAAATACATTTCAAGATATAATTTGCTAGATATAATTGCAAGATATAATTTTGATAAAATTTCAAGATATAATAAGATATAATTTTCAAGATATAATAGAAGATATAATATGCAATTCATGAGGATCTGTTGGACCTAATGGATTATAAGGATATGAAATTTGGATAAAATAATTATGTGCTAATGAATTAACTTTTGTGAAACTATAATAAGATCAAATGTAATAAACTGTAAATTGCTACTGTCTGATGCATAAATAAAAATACTGCAGTTAAAAAATTACATTTATTCGACAGAAAAATAAAATTTTTAAATTTAAAATAAAATAGCTTATTACCTCTCTTTTTCAGAAGAATCACTCGAATCAGTCATAGATTTTGACAAACTTCTCTTAATTTCTTCAAAATTTTCATACTTAAGAGCTTGAACTAATTGCAATAAATACATTAAGAGGTCCTAGAAAAGAAATAGTAATAAAACTCATCAATTAAAAATTTTCAAAAACATGAAGAATATACAAAAACTACTTTCTGAAAAAAAATTAAATATGCCATATCGCAGAATCAAATATACCTGATAAGTCATTTGAACAATGTTCATACAAACAAATTAGTAAATTTATGTAAAAGGAAAGACATGGCATTGCTTAATACAACTGTACTTCATTATACAGTGATGATTAAAATGGTATTGACATGAAAAAAAAAAGAGGGAAAAAAAGTTGCTATTCATATAATCAGCACAATATCTTGTTATGTACAGAACTCTGTATTTTAGTGACCCAAGTAGTATATTAAAGAACAATTAAGTTTTAGTTCTCACCGAATCAGATTACAAATATTCGAAAGAAAAAGTGTACAAGAAATAATAATGAAAACTTTAAAACTCAAAATTAAGAAGGGTAAAAAAAACCTTATTAAGAATAATGTGTTAATCTTTTTCATTTGTCAGAACTATTCTTTGTTAAGAGACGACTCACATTCTTAAAAATGAATATGGAAATAATCCTTTAATTCTGGAGTTCTGCAAACTAACTGAATGAAGACTGACATGACAAGGAAGATTTCACATTGCAGTTAAAAACAAATGACAAGTAAAACGTTATGAGCATTGGCTAAAACTTGATTAAATAACAAAATCCAAACACAAAAAAGAAAGAATAGACAATCTTTTGTAAATTCGTTACCAGAGGCAAAATCTTAAAGACATATCACTCAATTTTAGTCACATATAATTGAAAATTTTCATTTTTTAAGACACATGCACATACAAAAAAAGCAAGTTTATATCTCACTTAGAATATAATTAAATATCCAATGCTTATTAGCACTAAAAAGTAATGTATATAAGATTTGTTATGCTGTCCAGATGGTTAGTGACTCTGACTGCCATACCAAAGGGTCCGGGTTCGAATCCCGGATAAGGCATGGATGTAAATTGTCTGTCCCTTCCCAGGAGGCAATGGTGGCTCACCTATTAGATGCCTCCATTATAAAGGGACCACCATTTCCGGCCTTTATTAGTACTGGACAATGCCTATGATGGCTAGTACATGCTAATAGAAAAAAAAAAAAAGTTTATTATTAAATAAATTTATCTAAAATGTAATTTCAGTAGCATACAGAAACAGATTGAAAATAACCTCAACACTTTAAATACTGCAATCCTTTTCACATACTTTAACAATCAGAACGATATTAATCACTGTTAAAAAAAATTCTTCTATGAAGCCAACCAAAGGAAGTCAGAGTTTCTACCTCATAGACTAAGAGTAATACAAAAAAATGTAAATTAGAAAATTGTACTGCATCATCAAAGTATTAGGACATGCCAATTTTAAGAAATGAATAGCACAAACATAAAGCTTAAAATACTGATTTTTTAAATCTCTTTCTGTTGCTCATATATATCAATATTATGATTTTAATGTAACACTGCTCTTGGATATAAATTGATGCATACAGAATCATGCAATATAGTTATCAGGCATTTCAGCAACAAGTAATATCAATAAATAATGGCAAGCTATTTTATCGAAATTATTATAAAAGAATACTGCTTTATGCTAAAGTTGTCAGAAACTGACACAGCTGAATGGCAATATGCTTTGAAATTTTCAGAGGAAAGTTAATTACACAACTTTCAAATTAATGTTAAATTTCAATTTAAAGTAATTATTTTATTTATAATGATTAATTGAGTTAATTTTATTAAACAGAAAGTTTCAGTTTAACGTTTGTAAGTTTTAAAGTGCCCTTGATGTAATTAATTTGCAGATTAATTAACTTTAAACTGGAAGTCAGAGTAAAGTTTTAGTTTAATAAACCAGAAAGATTACATTCAATGTTTATAAGTTCAGGTTACAGTTAATGAAATTCCATTTTAACATTAAAGGACTTTCAGTTACATAAAGAACATGTTAATTTTTAAATTTAAAAAAAAAGTCCGAAACTAGCAATTGTGTATTTTTTATTTAACCCTTCATTTCTGTAAAATGCTATTTCTTGCTAATTTGATACAGTTATGTAACATTTTACTTCACAACATCTCTGCATCTCTCCTGATTTCTAAGTTACCAAGATTATATAAATTCCTCCATTAGAGATACTGTTATCAGTCTCATATGGCACTACGATGTTACTTTACCAAAAGACCCCATTTAAGATAACTGTAGCTATGTTAGCTATTTCAGGAATTTTAGACAGCCCCATAAGATGTTTAAGAAAACTAAAAACTAAAATAATGTTATATAACAACACAGCCTTTTAACACTAGAATTAGCAATTTTCAAAATAATACACATTTCCTCTATGCAGAAATACGTGAACATTAATCATTGGTAATTCTACAATCCAAATTAACAGATCTAACTAAATCAATAAAGACAGCCCCCATAGATTTTTAGCTGATTAGCTGATTTTTAGCTGATAGACAGCTGATTTTAGACAGCCCCCATAAGATGTTTAAGAAAACTAAAATAATGTTATATAACAACACAGCCTTTTAACACTAGAATTACCAATTTTCAAAATAATAGACATTTCCTCTATACAGAAATATGTGAACATTAATCATTGGTAATTCTACAATCCAAATTAACAGATCTAACTAAATCAATAAAATGAATATGCAACAGGAATTTAAAGGATTCCCAGCTGGTTAATTCTAAAAAGAATATCAAATAATTATAAATTTTAGAATCCAAAATGTCACATGAATTAATCAATGAATGAATATTATTAAAAAAAAACAGGATAAAAAAACTGATCAATAACTTAAAAAAGAATAATTTAAATATAGCTGCAAATGAACATTTGACAGAGCAAATGTTCTAAGAATGAACATGACATGAATAATTCTAAAAAGACCTTCAATACGATAAAAGTGAACAACAGAGAAATTTTAAAGAAACAATGACACACAGTATGCTAAAGTAAAATAATAAAAAAAAATGCTACTTAAACTTTTGCTATAAAACTGTGTTTTACTACTAGACATGTTTTTTAAAATCAGTTTTATTAACATTCTTTTGGATATTATGGAATATTCTGCACAAAGCTACATCATCAACTTCAAATTTTATAATTTATGGCTATTCTTGCTCTTTCACTTCCATGTTCATTTTTGCTTACTACTATATTACTGGCTCCTTTGAGTTACCATACGTAGAATGAATTAGTCAGTTAAAATCCAACACCCTTTGCCATTCTTGTGTTTTTCACAGGAAGTTTTCTACCCTGTTTCTTGTCTTAAATTTTGAAAACCCTGAACACCAGAAATGATTTTATTAAGAAACAACTGTTGTTATTCCTTCTTTTTCTTCTTAGACATTATCACAGATAAATGTTTTCAAAAATATAAATTAGCATGGAACTTCTTACTTCATTTTAAGGCTCAGCAAAGAAATTCACATCACCAAAGATGTCTTTGTATTATTATTATCATTTACTTATCTTTGAATGCAAACATCAGAAGACCTTATTGATACTGCGCTTGGAAAATTCACAACACAGATAATCAGACATTCAGTATATAACAGCCAGTTTAGTGGAACATAAATCATAATACTTATTAAAAAAGTATACTTAGAAATTACTGCAGATAGTTAGCATTTCAACGTTTTGAAAACATCAAAAAATGTTTCAGTTATTATAGTTTAGCTTAGATAAATAAAAAATGTAAATATTTTTATGAATAATGTAAGGACTTATGATTAAAAAATTACATAATACAGGAATCTATCTAGCAGATTACACTTTTAAGTTTGTTTTTTAAGTATAATGATTACCTCATCAGGTGCCTGTTTTAGACGTGTTACAGCATATTTTCGAATAATTGGATGAGTATACTGAGGTGAGAGTAATTCCAATGCATCTTCAACATCCATTGCTTGCCATCGACCAAGCAAATCTAAAGCTTGCTTCTCTTCACTTGGTATTTTCCAGTTAACACACTTTAAGAATTTTGTTAGAGCCTACAGGACATTTGTCAACCATTAACAACATATTATCAAAAAGACATGAAATTATCAAATTATTCATAAACACATATGATTAGCAACCATAAAAACAAAGCAGATATTACAATCTGTCAATCTCTCTCTAAATATATATATATATACATATATAATGTACATATGTGTGTAGGCATCAGCTTTTTTTCTACAAGCTCAATGGCAATCTCACCAATGACAGCACCTGACCACCTCTCGCGGAGACACCAGTCGGGAGATGGAAATAGACGAGAGATAGCATGATCCAGAAGCAGCAGAATGTGATGTGAAAGTGACAATGCATTTTGAGAGAACAATAGAACTATAGACTGTTCTGTGACGTTCCTTGATGTGACACCATCCATTTGCGTGATGCTCCAAACTAAATTTTAAATTTTATTTCTTTCAATTCTTTTTATATTACCTTCATGTTAATTACGTCTGTGTGTTTTGTAATTAAAATACTAAATGTTATTACTGGTGTTATCATTCAAACTGAGCAATGACACCCTCTAGAAACTTAAATGGGGCTTTGAACTCTATGAATTTCTTTACTAAATTCCCCCTGGACGCCTGTCATTTGGAATACAAAAGTTTCTTTTTATGTTTCTCATTGAATGCCGTGATGGAATTCTTATTCCTGTGCTTCGTCAACAACGTAAGTATAGATCATTTTATTTAATGCACCTCTTTGATGAAATAATACTAATGATAAAGCAATGAATAAACAAAGTACTATTCTTTAAATACTGTTCTTTGATGTAATATTCTTTGAAGATGCTATTATAAATATTTGATGAAGTTTAATTGCAAAAACGAAAGGCATTTAATTTTGATGAAAAGTAACTGAAGAGTATTGTTTTGAAATGAGTATTATTTTGAAGAATTGTTTGGTATATTATTTTCAAGAATTATCTTTAATTATTATTTTGATGAATTATTTTGAAGAATCGTTGATTATCTCGTAAATTATTTCAATCTTCAATACTTTCATTTTTGAATCCACAAATGATTTTGCTTATTTCTTTTGATGCATATATTTTGAAAGCAGCATAAAATGTTACTTGAGGTTATTTAAAATGTCATTTGAAGTTAAAATATATTTGAAGTTATTGATTTTGATATAATATTTTCAATTGAAATTTTTCTATTCTTAAGATATATTTTAGAATTTGTTTGAATTCGTACTTTCAAAATTTCATCTGTAATCTTTGAGTATTTTAACATTATAGTTATTAACATTCCATTATAGTTATTAGCATAACAGAATATTTGTGTAATATAATAAAAAGAATTAAGAATATTGTGAAGAATAAGAAAAATTAAGAATCTATTTTAGAATATTGTGTAACAGAATAATATGTGTATAATATATTTAAGAATATTGGTGTCATAATTGCTCAAAATAGATAAATAATATTTGGTGAAATCGAAAATGATAAATAATATTTAATCGAAACTGATGCATATTTTATGAATTTGATATTTGGTGAAATCAAAACTGATAAATAATGGCTATCCTTAACGATTAACACAGAATTGCATGATCATTAAAAATTGCTAGTAGACAACAGATCAAGCTCTTACATCATTAAATTTTTGGCACAGATGGTGATAGACAAAATTGCACTCGACTGCATAAATTTTCTGGATTTCCCAAACCATTTAATTTAGAAGATACGAAGCAAAAAATAATAAAAGAATTGTCAATCACAGATCTAATTGCTATATGTAATTTACTAAGAATTTTCTACTGATATTCAGAAGTGTGCCAACACAGTCCTTACAAATTTTGCTGACATCTCATTATTAAAATCAGATCAGTCTGACCTTAAAAAAGTTGATGACGAACTTTTGGTGCAAAGTTCACCCCCAAGTTATAACGTTGCCAAAGCGAGTATCAATCATACCCCAGATGAAACTTTATATAGAAACGAATGGAGGCGAAAACTTGTCTCATTAATTCATCTGGAAATTTATTGCTTGCAGCTAATAATCCATATGCTCCAAGTGTTTCTTTTCAATGTTTTGGTTTGAAAGACACTGTTGACTTGATAAAACCCTTTTCCTCTCATGATAATTACAGAGTTGAAACTTTTATTTCCGATATAACAGACATTTTTTATCACTATCAGATAACGAATCCAGTTCACCATCTAATTTTTGTTAAAAAATGCTTAACAGTATCAACTTTAACCCTAATAAGATTAATTCACGGAATTACCAATTGGTAACAATAAAACACCACTTCTTAGATGAATTTTCAGATAAAATTAATGGCCTTCAATTACATCAAATAATGGAATCGCGTTATATGAAACCATTTGAAATGTTAAAAGAATACTTTTTAGCTATGAGAGATCTTGCTCATAAAGCTTCTACAGATGATTTGTCTCTGATTGAGTATGTTATAAACAGTATTCCTGATTCATCAAACAGTAAAATAATTTTGTATTGCTGTAAATCCATTCCAGCATTTAAAGAAAAACTCAAGATTTATGAAAAACAGTTCAAAACATTTGAAGTAAAATACTCAAAAGAAATTTCCTAATTCCCTTTCCAATGTTAAACTTGATGATAAACATACATCAGACACTCAACCACTATGCTATTCCTGTGGTTTAAAAGGACATAAAAGCATGAATTGTGTGAACAAATCCAATGGCAAATTTTGTTATGGCTGCAAAAATTATGGTCATGTTCATGCCAACTGTTCCAAAAATTCTGGTAGTTCTACCATGAATCTGCTCCTAAACGTTCTACACCTGATAGCACCATAAATGCACTTTCTGCTCAAAATTTTTCTAAACTTCCTCTGCATGTTGGCATTCAACTTTCAAGAACCCCATTAACTACACTTTGTGACACTGGTTCACAAGCCACACTTATTAATGAGGAAACATACCGCAAGATTGGTTGTCCACCATTACATCTTTCCAGAATTATATTCTCAGGAATTGACTGAGACACAGTTCAAAGCATTGGATTCTCTCAGGACTACATTCTAATTCAAAACACTATTTTACTTACTAAAATCCATGTAGTAAAAGATGATATGATTGCTCTTGACGCAATTATTGGAATTGACTTTTTGCAATAAACTTAATTTACATTTGATAAAGATGGTATTCATTTATGCAACAGTGATGATGATCAAATTTTTGTTAACGTTGTTAATGTTGCCAACGATCAACAACTTCTATTTTATCTTACATACATCTCGAACTCTTGAAATTCATGAGATGTTCAACATAACGTTACCCCTCATGCCCATGATGACATGGATGAAGATGATGATGTTCATGATGTTGATGAAGATGACGTTCATAAAAATGATGATGACATTGATGCTGTTGATGAAGATGATGTTAATAAAGATGATGTTGATGACGATAACACTCATGAAGCTAATGATGCCGATGATGAGCAAAGTTTGCAGAGTAATGAAGAAGCTGTGAAAAGTAAACTGAATCAGATAAAACAAGGTTTTCAAAAAAGTGCTGAACTAGCAAAAGAAAAAACACCTGCCAAAAGTTCAGAAACTCCCAAATAGAAACCAGCAAAAACTCCGAAGACAGAAAAGTCTCTGAAAACTTCTTTTTTCACAGAAGACTCTTGATAACGAAGCAACAGACACTAGAACCCTCTATCTGGAAATTTTATCTAGTGATATCACTACAGAAGATATCATCACTACCGAAGAAATCAAAGCTTTGTCTTCTGATATTTTAGATGCTGCTATGCCAAAAAAAAAAAAAAAAAGACACAAAGGAACAGGAAGAAAAGAGATATAATCCAAGGAAACTATTTGTCTCTGGCATTCCAGCTGATACTACAATTTCTTAAATTGCTGAACTTTTTCCAAAAGCATCCCAGAAAACTTTGAATTTATCACCTATATAACGAAATGCTACTGTAAGTTACATCCAGGAAAAAAATGGAGTTGAAGCTTTTGAGGCAACAAAGAATGCTAAAATATCTAGAGAAAAAATTACTATTTCATATTTCGCTGCTTCAAGCCCAAAGAAAGCAAGAAAAGGGCCTGGAAGCATAAACGAAGAAAATTTGAAAGGACTTTAAAAAAATGAAATTGGAGACACATCGAGATGATGAAAAAGGCATGTTACATGTTGAAGCTCACAGAACATATCCCATCTACAGAAAGAAAATATACGACAGTATAAGAGATGTTGCAAACCTATCTGAAAATACAGGCTTGTAGACCAAGTGGCAATACAACCTGGATTGAAACTTCGTCTTAGACATGCCATGAAGGCCCCACCATAACGTCAGCCTTTGCTGATAAGATCAAACGGTGGTGCACAAATAAATCGCCAAAATAATTCACCAAAATCGCCAAAATAATTGCTTTTTTTTTCCCTCACCTTTTTCTGCTTGTTTTTTTTTTTTTCCCCTTTCAGATCCCTTGCCTCCTTCCACAGCCAAGGACGTCTGGTCCATCAGGATCACTGTATAATCATCAACTTCCTTTCTACAAGCTCAATAGCAACCTCACCAACAACGGCACGACCCCCTCTCGTGTAGATGCCAGCCAGATGATGGAAACAGACGAGCAATGGCGTGATTTGGAAGCAGCAGAATGTGAAGTGAAAGTGACAAGATGTTTTGAGGAAACAATAGAACTATAGCCTGTTCTGTGAAGCCGCTTAATGTGACACCATCCATTTGTGTTATGCTCCGAACTAATTTATAAATTTTATTTCTTTCGATTCTTTCTATGTTACCTTTATGTTAATTATGTTTGTGTGTTTTGTCATTAAAGTATTAAATGTTATTACCAGTATTATCAATAGAACTGAGTGACGACACCCCTGCAAACTCACAAAAAAAAAAAGTCTGAAAGGTTTCAGATTTTAAATTACATCCATAAAGGTGTTTTTTTAACATTTTGTGTGCTACCATTACATATTAAATATAATTTTCTTCGCACTTAAAACATACAATTCAGTTCAAGTGCAATATCGCAAAATAATTTTTAAATGAGAATATCTTTAGAATTTCCGATACACAGTCTTGCACGCTGGAGATAAAAATGTTTTTTTTTTGTACAACGTTGCCATTACTTGCTTTGAAATCCTTGAGTTTGTTAATCAAACTTGTTAATTGCATTGTCATAAAAAGTGACTGCCTGGGACTTCAACCATGCATGGATGCCTGCATGCAATTCCTCGTTATTGTCGAAGTGCTGTGTTGCAATCCAGGCACACACAAATGTCTCACAAGTGACGAACTTTACCCAAGTTTCATCTTCTGTTACAGCACAATCGAGAAGTGATTCACTTTTCATGGTACATGTCGAGAAATGTCAAAGTTGCTGGCATATGCTGTTTTTTGTGGTCTTCTGACAAGAATTTTGGTACCCATCTGCACAAAACTTGTGATAGCCTAGATCTTGCATCACGAAACCAAACAATAAAGTTCATGAAATGTGAGGAAACTCCAAAAGTGAGAGCCCCGAAATAGTGAAGTGGTGGATTTTGTGAATCTTTTCATCAATTTTCTCTACAAGTTCAGCATTAACAATGCTCACCTGGCCACTTCTCACTTCCTCATGAAAATTTGTGATGCACCATTGTCTCACTCCGGCTTCACTCATTACGTCATTTCCATACAATGTGCAAAGTTCCTGATAAATTTCAATTGGTCTCAATTTTTTTGCAAACAAAAATCTAATCACTCATTGCACTTCAAAACTGATGGGATTTTGTATTGCTGCACATATTTTAAACATTCATACTAAACAAAGCAGAGGCAATATGTGCCGTCAATGATCACAACTGGATACGTAAGGATTCAGTAGAAACCCAGATACCAAAATGGGAGTACTAGCACTAATCTCTCGTCATGCAGCATCGAAACATAAATTACCTTGTGAATAGCCCTTGTATATATGTGTGTATGTATAGTAATATATATATAATAAATAAAAATGCTGAGTGCTTATCTATAGAGTACACTGCATTTGGTAGTACTCTATAGGTAAAGTACCACATAATGTAATTTATACATATATTAAAAATGTCTCTTTTTCTCTTTAGTTTACATTAAATGCATTAATTAAGCACTAATTAAAGTTACATTAAACAAAATAAATAAAAATGTATAGCCAATGTTTTAAAATTTAAAAAATTTGCATCTAACATTCATTTCCCCCCCCCAAAGCAGGATCCCAAAGCAATAACATTCAGAAACAAATAATTCAAACTATATATTAATTTTTAAAACTAACATTTTTTAATCATATAAAAAGTTACATTTCATTCTTAAGCAGTGTTCTCACTCACACTGCTAAAAGCATTTTTATAAAAATGTCAACTCTATTTTGAAAATTTTATAAGTGCATAAGAATAATTAATACTTCAGGACACCTGCAGTTATTATTTATTTATTTATTTATTTTTTCCAAACAGCCTGATTGTGTAGGACAGGGATGGGCAAACTCCAGCCTGCCGGAAGGTTCTATCCGGCCTGCGGATAGAATTTTAATTTGCCAAATTAAAAGAAAATATATGTTTATGTATTATCTATCCATCTCCTTTTCTACTTTATTTAAATATTATTTTTTCTTCCTTTATTTTAAAGAACTGCAGATTGTTTTACTTCCTCTATTTTTGTTACACAAAATATAAATTGATGGAAATAGCAAGCACAGATAACTTTCGATCCTTAAAGTGTTAAAAGCGGTACTCATAGCCAATTTCAAGATTTTCTTCAGTACGTGCAATCTGAATACTCTGATGTACTGTATTACATGAAAGTAAGGTGGCTTAGTGCAGAATGTGTTTTCGAGCGAGTGTGGCAGCTGAAAGACGACATTGTGTCGTTCTTCTACGAGAAACAGTGTTCTGCAGAGTGCAAAATGTTAGAAGATACAGAATGGCGTTTGACTTCTCGCAGATCTTCTTTGTCATATGAGCAACTTGAATGTCAAGATGCAAGGGAAAAATCAATTTATCGACAACATCTGGGCCCATCTCAAAACTTTTAAACTAAAACTTAATCTGTTTGCTGTGGAGCTAGCTAAGAACGACTTGTCTTATTTCCCGAGGTTAAATTCAATACTCTGAGTAAATGCCGAGAAGAGCATTTTGAGTTCGAATGAAGATTTCTATGCCATTCAAATAGAATTGGATATTTTTACCATGCCTTTCAACATAAAATATGAAGCAGTGAGGTCAGATTTGCAGCTTGAATTAATTGAATTGCAATCTAAAAATTATCTCAAACAGTTGTTTCTAAATATGCCAAAGTTAGAGTTTTACAAATCATTATCGAAAGTTAAGTTTCCAGAATTTAATATCTCACCTCCAGAAAATCAGTGGCATGTTTGCTTCATCTTATGTATGTCAACAAGTGTTTTCAACTATGAAACTGACAAAGAATTTTTTCAGAAGTAGACTGGCAGATGAGCATTTAGCCTCATTCCTCAGAATCAGTACATCTCAGTTCAAATCTTAATATAAGGAACATTTAAAAATGAAATCTCAGTTTCATTCATCTCATTATTTGAATTGTAATACTTGTATATTGTTTTTAAAATTTTTGAAAAATATATCTTGGCCCGCCAAACTTTATTTTTCGATTTTTGGCCTGCGACCGAAAATGTTTGCCCATCCCTGGTGTATGATATTCTATCAATTTATACTAAAAAATTCAGTGTTAGTTATCACTAGTTTTAAACTTCATTTCCATACAAATAAAATTTAAAAAAAATAACACTGCAATTAAAAAATAAGCATGTGGATGAATGTATTAATCTAGTGTATAATTTAAAAATACCATACAAAAAAATTAGTACAGCATTTCATATAAATAAAATTATGAGCAAAAAATGTGGATTAATTTCTTTTTTAAAGAACTGATATATATTGATGTACGGTAAAATTTACAAAAGAAATAAAAGCCTTCAGATTTTTATATAAAATAATTTGGTACATTTTCATAAAGGGTGAAGTGCAAAATCATTCACTTATTTGTTTGCTGCTTTTTTACAAGAGTAAGAAGAATTGGATTTTTGTCAATTTTCTTTGACTTTTTAAGTGAAAATAGGTCGATATGTACATGGATACCGGGTTTGTGCAATTCTTAAAAACATGCCAAGCAGTGGGTGATTCTGCACTTTCCCCAATAATTCAAGGACAGTTACAGACAAAATTCATGAAATAGTTAAAGGAAACTTAGAAATAATGCCCCATGATTTAATCAAATAATATATAATAAATACTTTATTAAATCCTTTTCCTTTTGATTTATATTTCTTATCCAAAAATCAGCTAATATTCCAAAATGAGTTATTTTTATAAGGTTTTGCAAAAGTTCTGCCAAAGAAATTTTAGAAGCATGACATACATTTAACAATGCTTGTAACTTCAAATAAGAAAGAAAGAAAAAAGGAAAGAAAAATACCTTATATAAACTCTTCAAAGAAAAAAAAATCTCTTATATAAACAAACAATATAATATAAATATTAAAATGTACCTTCTTTTGATTTGTTAGATAAAAGCGAAACTTCCAGACTAGATCTTGCTCTTCTGATGAGAGCGATTTCGTGGGTGGATAATTTAAAATAGCCTTAAGGGGAAAAAATTAAAAACTATGTTTATTACAAGGAAATACATTACACAGCTTGGAAATACATTTTACCACATTTAATAGAACACATTTTGCATTACATATCATTATATAAATAATAAAGTAATATTTAAAGTAACTCAGTTCCAAAACACTAAAAACTAATCAATTATATTTATTGTATATGTAAGTACTGTTATACATGAAAATACTTTTCTTGTAACCGGTTCAGGACAGGACGTTTCATATGTGCATCAGCAGCAAACATTATCTCACGGGCGGGTGTTTCATATTTGAATCGCCATTTAATTCAGCCTATTGCCAGGCTTACCACATTTAACTTCTCAGATAGAACATTTAATTAGTACTTTTTGTTGCTGCTAGATGTAACTGTATGTCTGTTATGGTGAAATATTTCTAAAGTTACATACGTTTACCTTCATTCCTATGCAATGTTTTTTTTATTTTTGGTATTTTGTTTCCGAATAAGAGTGAGATTCCTGGGGTGTTGAGCAATGTAATGTCTCTTTAACTGCCTCATTTGACATAAACATATAGTAGGGTAGATGTTCTATCACTAGAGATTTTATTTATTACTCTTAGATTTTTCCAGCATTTGAGATGAATATTTTGTATGGTCAGCAAAATGTATTTTTTTAATGGCAAATGAAAGCAGTATTTAAGTATGTTTTAATGGCAAACGAAAGCAGTATCTGAGTATTTTTTTATGGCAAACGAAAGCAGTATTTAATCGTAGAAGAATATACACAAATGCTAATCCGTTGGTGTTGAGTAATGTAATGGCTCTTTAACTGGTCATTTGATATAAACAAATGAACATGTTCTCGATGCTCTGCAATATTTTTCATATTTATTTATTTTTTCAGCTGATATAGTGGGGTAGATTTTCTATCATTAGAGATTTTTTTATTACTCTTATATTTTTCGAGCATTGAAATGAATATTTTGTAAGCGAAACTTTTTTTTTTTTTAAATAGCACAGCCAAAGCACTATTTGACCGTAGAAGAATATACACAAATGCTTATTGAGTCAAATATGCTGAGCAAAACAGCAGCAGATATTCTATTCCTGTATATGCAACACACCCATGTTTCAAAGAATATCATACACTGTCTCTCTTTTGAAATATTGCTTCCTTTTTGTTGTTTGCACCTTGAATTTTTATGAAAGACAAATTTAATATTTTTTAAAATTTTAATTATGTGTTAAATACAATCTGCGATTGTTTGGATAATTTTCCATATATATTTATTTGTGGGATAAGGGAAAAATTATATTATTCCAGAATGAGTAATTTATAAAAATTTTATGGAAAATATAATAAAAACAGGTTTAAAATTCTGACTGCTACCTGAATGTTCTTCTCATAATGTACCAAAAATTGAAACAATTCAATGACAAATTTAATTTATATGAATTTTTTTCCAAAATTAGGCTTAGCAACGCAAATTGCCCGTCCACACAAGATGACGCATTCGATTAATGAGAGAACGCATCGGTAACAAAGGTGCCCAATGTGAACATGTTAAATATTTAGGTAAATGATATTTAAAAGAAAACTCTAACAGAAAATTAAATTGAAATATCTAAATATACATATATATATAAATAAGAAAATCTCTAAAAGTAATTTGCTAACCTTCTTGATTTTAAATATATTGTTATGAAATGTCAAGGCACGGTGAGATGGCTTCCCCGCAAAGCAGTTTTAGGGTTGCCACATTTGGCAAGAAATCGTCCATTTGGCGACAAAATTGGCAATATGCCATGGACGGATGGAGAACCTTCTGGAACAAATTCTTAACAGTTTAGACCAGAATGCTCTCGAACACATGCCGAAAGCTATATAAACCCTGCTGGTTCGTAGTCAGTTAGTGTATGTGTCTCGTCTAGTGAGTCAGTAACTGCGGAGTGGATCGAGTTGACAGCCGGGCAGCGAGTGCCGAGTGGGTCTTTGAGTGCATCGCAAGAGTCTTTTGTGTATCACGGTTAGTGCATCTTCAAGAGAGCATGCCGAGCTCCGGGAATGACTGAACCGAAGAGTCGGGAGCTGTGCTCGTGTGTCATCGAGTGCATCGCGAGTTGTAGCATGGAGAGTCTCAAGAGTACTTGAAGTTCCGAGAACGACCCAGCAGAGTCGGGAGCTTTGCAGTGAAGCTGTCTCCACCATTATTGCCTGACAGTGTGAAGGCTGTGTCCCTGATTGTTCCAGCGTGTTTAGAGTAGTTCATTGACGACTGTAAAAACGTGTTCTGGAGCTGTCCTGACAATACTGTCCAATAAAGTGTGTTTCGATACTTCATCAAGTGTTCGTCATTACTCACTCCAAATCTACGAAACCTGTACAAACGTGCAGAAAGGAAAAATCGTAACAATATATTTAATATACAGTCAAAGTAAAAAGAATGTGCCCCCCCCCAAAAAAAATAAATCATCATTAAAGCTCTTGTAGTACTCCTGAGGGCCAATGATGCTCACAGAAGATAACTGTTCAAATATTCAAGGCAACACATAAGTGCACTTTTATGATGGCAATAAAATGCTTAACTACTACAAAGCAGACCTATGTACAACCCCTACAATCATTTACTACATTCAAGGAAAATGGGGCATCATAATGTCACAATTTCCTTCTGTGCTAACAGATAGCATCATGAGCGAATTGCAAAACAAGCAAGCTAATATTTGGGGGCTGCCATATTGTAAACCTCTACAGTGATAAGAGCCTCAGATCACCTGGGATCAAATGATGAGTGACATCACACATGCCAAACCTCACAGTACAACAAAAGGGTCAACTAAACATGCCCATGCTCTGGGACCACATCCTACCAATGCAACAATAATCACATTAATGCACAAAGCTTGCAACTGCACCCATACTACAGCTTCATCTGTGATGATCCTCTGTTTTCAAGCACTGCACTAAAAATGCTTGGGATGCTGAACGTTGCAGCACCATCGACAATCCGATGCTTGCATCAAGAAACAATTAAAGTAAGCTAATCAACCACATAGGTGCTTTTCTGTAATGATAGCAAGATGCTTGACTGCTATGAAACAGACTCATTTTTTTTACCTCCAGGCTCTAATTAGCCTGAAGATAACCACCTTTATGGACTGCGGCCTCACAGAACTGCATTTTCCATCTGTGCTAATACACAGCAACACAAGTCAACAGCACAACATCAAGGAACACCAAGATAATGCCCGGGATCACCACACTCTTATAACTTCAAACTCATCAACAATTCTGGCATTTTTACATGGGGCACTTATACGTGCACTTTTGGCACAAATCTTATATCTCAATTATATCATTTCCATATAGCTACAAAAATAATCTGTGCATTTGCGGTATAATCACTAAATATCACTAAATCTAAATATAATGGTTTATTTTATTTGAAGTTGAAATATTAAGAAAGTAATATGAACTAAACAAATCTTAAAAACACATTAATTTCAATATTTTGCAAAGATTAAATCATTTTACAAACTCCAAACGAAAAGCATTTCAATCTCAGTATCTATACTTTTCTAATAAAAGTGTCAAACACCACACCTAAATAGCACCATAATAACAAATTTATCAGCATACAAATACAAAAGAACTGTCACTTTGTTATTAAAGCAATCACTGCACAGTATTTTGAATATACCTAAAATTAACAGAAGCAAAAATAGAAAATGCTACAGAGACTTTAAAAAAAAAAAGGAGTGAAAACAAGAGAAAAATAAATAGAGGACGTAAATAAATTTAAGAAGGCATTGGTTACAATGAGAAAATTAAATCTTTTTATCTCATCTAACGTACTTCCACCACATAAATTATGTTAAATAGCAGCCCATGAACTGTTCTTACTATGTTATTAGGCAGAATTCCAAATTCATTTGATTTTTTGCACAAGTGCATCAGCTGTTTGATTTACAAAGCTGTATTTGTGGCTCACTGTAAAATATTTTAAAAAAACCTGCCTTTCCTTATTCCTATTCTAATAGTGTAATAGATTCAGATTGTTGATGATAAGTTCAACAATCTGAATCTCTGATACTTCCTTCATGCACATGTTTGAAAAATTCCAGTATGTAGAGTTATGGCACATCTGCCAGACATTTGTGAAGGGGGGTCATTCGATTCTCTGAAAAGTTCTCCAAAAATTCAATATTATAGCAAGACATGTTAATCTGTTCCCTGATGCATAGACTGTTGTTAGTATTGCTGTTCCCTCCCCTATAAGTCCAAATCGTTCTACTTCTAACCATAAACAATGCCAGTCAGTGATCCAACTGTACTGTTCATATGTCATGCCAGTAGCTTCTAGAAAACCAAATCTTTTGGAATCCAGGGAAAGTATGGCTACAAAGCTAAAACTTAAAAGATATGATAAAAGGACATCACCAGAAATGGAGTCTGTATTAATTTGATTATTCTTAATTTGACTCAACACAAGAAAACTGGCTCATAAGGCACAGAACTTATATCCAGTCACAAAAATGATTGATAGATTAAGAGCTCTTCCTTATTCTACGGGTAATGGTGCATGGCGCTTTTTAGTTGCTGAAGCAGTTTATTTGATAATGAACATGACTTTAGCTTACTAAATGGATGCTTCAATCTTTCAAATCAGACATTCTTCTTAGAGGGGAAAGCAGCATTTTGCTGCATGAGATACAGCAATAATAAATCTACAATGGCCTTAGATGTCTGTGGCCATACGTGCACTACATTCAAGGAATTATCCATGTTATTCTTTTGCTTGATGAGCAGGCGGCTGTGTCACTAACCTTTCCCCCCCCCTTATGTCCACAAATTCACTTTTCAAGTGATGGAATTTAAAAAAAAAAAAAAAAATGTCTCATATAACGGTTTCTGTGAAAGGATATGTTTTCACATATATTCAACATGTTTATCACACTTTCTGACAGAAATAAACTGCTCAACCCAACAAAATATGAAGTACAGTGTGGTAAGAAAAGAAATCTTGAAACAACAAAATCAAGCACCAACATGGAAACCTTTACCTCCTGACAGTCTTCATATTGCATCTATATGCATTATTTACAACACATAATTGCATTTTTTTTTTCAGTTGATGATAAGTTAAAAATAAATATTATTTTAGAAAAGTTTTTTTTTTTTTTTTGAAGGGGGATAACAATAAATGATATCCTGAGTTCAACTTTGCAGTCTAAATAAAGTTTAAGAATCAAATAAGTTGAATGTTACTAATTTGACTGCTGACTTTTATAACATCTTCCTATTTAACAATTGCATTATATGGTCTTCTAATAATATGGAACATTTTCAAGTACTCTATGTTTTATGAATAAATTTTTATTCCATCAATATTTGAAATATGATCAAATTCTTACAGATATATCAATTTAGGATCAAGTTTGGTATTAAAGTCTTCAAATCAAAAATGTAAAAAATGTCATACTTAATGACTAAGGATTCATTTAAATGCACAAATATAATTGTACTGCTCTAACATTTCCAAAAAATTGGAAAATAACTTTATGCTCTAGAATGATTAAATATAATACATAAAAATTAGAGATATGGAAAACATACTTACAGTTAACTGATCACGTGTGTCAGCATTAGGTTTTAAATCTTTGTCACTGGGACCACTACGGATACTTCTGGCTAATTTATGATGCTTTGCTTCTACTAAATTTTGCTAAAGATTAAAAACACATATTCATTAACTAACAGACTTTTAAGACAGCATAATTTGTAAAAGGATTTTGTAAGTATAAAATTGGCCATAAAAAATATAGTTACGGGAATAAATATATTATTTTATTATTTTCATTACTGCACCAAAAAGAAAAAATTTTTGCATTGCTTAAAGTTTTTTAAAAAGGTTTAAAAAAATGCATTAGCCAGATAAATATCATTAAAGAAATTAAATGCATAGCAAAAGTTCATTATTAGAACTTTATAAACAATATTTTACACTGTTAGGTACATATTTCATACACGTAAACAGGTAAATGAAAGGGGGAAATTATGAGATTTCCACAAATATTTTATTTTACTGAAACATATTCTTAATTGTAATAACTTCTTGAAACAATTAAAAAACAGATTTTTCATAAACCATTAAAACAGATGAACTTAACACTACTTGTCCTTTACCTTAATTGGCTGCAGATGGCCACTGCACATGTGCGATGAACCATTCATACATAGTTAGCGTCAAAAATGTTCATACAGTAATAAATATTTTTATATTTTTATATTTTTCAAGAAATGCATTTAAATGTTAATTTTATTTATTATGAATATATTTTGATTTAAGGAACTGAAATTAAAGTCTCCACAGTTTATTTTTTTGCATAAAATATGAAAAATTATGTTAATTTGTCCTACAGATTAGTGCCAAAGGTATTTATACACTCTCTGTTGAGGCAGAAAACAATCTGAAATGACATGTGATTGCAATTTATTACTGCAATTAACTATTTTGAAAACATTTATATTTCATTTTCCCTATATTTTGATTTATCTCATCATTTATGGAAAAGACAATAAATAAGGGAAAAGACATTAGAAGAGAGAAAAGTAGCCATTAAGCTGGTGAAAGAAGAGAAAAACTACTTTGAAAACTTTTAGATAAGCCAAAAGACTTATTTTGAAAAAAAAAAAAAAAAAATCCACATATTTCAGCACCAAAACCAAGAGACGGATTAGAATAAGAATCGAGCATTGTACATGGTCATCAAATTTAAAGGATAAGAAGAAAAAATACGCTCACTAAGATAACGTTTCAACCAATGCCCAATACTGTAATTATTTATGTTAATTAAATACAAAATTGCATTTCCTCACATACACTAGAATAGAAATATGCAAATCCGGTGACTGACAATATGGAGCGCAAAGGACACATGTTGGAACTCTGGTCTCTAGTATTGTTTAACGTTTATGTGGTTTCTGCAAGTGATCAGCATTCAGTACTTTTGGCTCAAAGGCATAATTTATGTGAAGGTCAAGTGGCGTGTAATTGGTAGAATCGAGGAGATCAAACACAAATGGAGGTCATCCAAGATTTGAATATCCCTCAAAGTATCATAGAAAAGTTTGGACTGCTTTCTAAGCAATGAATAGTTGACGAACAGCCTGGTTAAGAGTGACAAAGAGCAACAACTGCATCAGAAGACTGTTTTCTGTTGTTGTCGGCTCGAAGAAATCACAAAGAGGCCACAACAGATTTGGTTTTGGACCTTCATGCTGACACAGGAACTTGAATTAGCCATTCTACTGCTGCATAAAAGCTTAACAAGGTTGGTTTGTATGCAAGAAAACCAATGGTTTGTTTCCCACTCACTCCAACTTCAAGAGGGGTCCATTTAAATTGGTACCGTTCAATGGAGCCAAGATGACTAAGCCCGAGCATTGTTTACTGATGAGTCCAGATATAGTCTGACAGTGAGTCTAGACATGTTTTGATGTGGAGAGAGGAAGGAACATGCAACTTGCCTTCCATTGTCTGCGAAATTCCCTGTTTCCACGACCACATTTTAATAGTTTAGGGAGGAATCATGACAAATGGCCACAATGAGCTGCATGTCTTTCAAGGAGGTTCTGTAACTGCTCAGAGGTATGTGAACCAGGTATTGGTAACCCAAGTTTGAAGCAGAGTATCTGCTGATAGATGACAATGCTCGGCCTCATCGAGCACATCTGACATCAGAATACTTGCACACAGAAGATATCACTCAAATGGACTGCCCATCTTCTTACTCACTCAACCCAATTGAGCAAGTGTTGGATTCCTTAGGGTGTTGAATTTCAACACACCAAATTCTGCCCCAGACCATTCAAAAGCTAAAAAGTGCACTTTTCGAAGAGTGGCATTCATTTCCACAAGACTTGATCAACACTTTGGTAAAGTCTATGAAATCAAAATGTGAGATATACATATCTGTTCCAGAAGACTATACACCATATAAAGTTTATGTGGTTTCTGCAAGTGATCAGCATTCAGTACTTTTGGCTCAAAGGCATAATTTACGTGAAGGTCAAGTGGCGAATAATTGGTAGAATCGAGGGAGATCAAACACAAATGGAGGTCATCCAAGATTTGAATATCCCTCAAAGTATCATATGAAAAGTTTGGACCTGCTTTTTAAGCAATGAATTAGTTGATGAACAGCCTGGTTAAGAGTGAGAAAGAGCAACAACTGCATCAGAAGACTGTTTTCTGCTGTTTTCGGCTCGAAGAAATCACAAAGTCTGCTCACCCCGCGGGCATGTGTTTTTCTTCCTTTATTAAGGAACACAACCTGTTTTTTTCCCCGTTTAACCACTGAAATAAATTATATACACTATAAGACGTTTAGCTTATGCTTTGGCCAACAGAAATCATTAGTTGTCCACTAAATTGCGACGATTGAAGGCATGTGGTATTACCGCTCACACTCCCCCTTTTGCCGCTTTTTTCTTATAGAAATTGCTGCTAGAAAACATTCAGTGATCATCTTGATTATTTAATTAAATTATTGAATTATTAATTAGATTAATAATTAGATTGATTATTAATTAGATTTATTGAATCTGGTGCAAAGACTGTGAAGTTGGACTTTGCCTTGAATCCTGTTTTGAAATCTATCATACTAAACTGCATTTCTAAGATATTTTTTTCTCAGTGCTTTTATATTTTCTTAATTTTATATATTTTACTTTTTTTTTATATTATGCAATAAATAAAAATTAACTCTAATCCGACTGAAATTTATTTTAAAAAACATTTTTTTGGTGATAACATCTGAAATTGGTTTTACTGGCAACTTAGTTTCTCATAATAAAAATCTATATAAAAAAATATTTTCTAGAAAGGAAAAATGCATTTTTCAATTCTCCAATAGATATAGATTAAAAAGATGCAAAAAAAATTATACAATTTTTGAAGCGATTTCGGTCTACAAATTGAGCAGTCAGAGGGTTAAAGAAAAAAAAAATTTTTCACAACAGGTTAATTTAGATTTTCTATCATTTTCCAATTTCCATAAATTTGATTTTAATTTCAATATTTTGCAAATAATCACTGCCAAACATTGTAATTTATGTTCACTAATGTACAATTTTCTATTAATTAATTCTATGAATTTTATAATTTTTCATTAAGTATCAGCTACGTTTTATTTCTGTTATTCCCTTTAATTTTGATGACTACCATTAATTTCTAGCCCAACAATCAATTAACTCAACAAAATTTTCATAGCAATCTGCTCAGAAAAAGCTCCATGTGTCTATTTGCAGTGCAAAGAAAAGACTACCTTCTGCAAATAAATATCAAAATCAGCCTCTAGAATTTTGAAATAAGATTATATTCAGCCTTGAATTTAAACTTATATTTCTGAACCTGATAAAAATTTTAAAGTATGATGCAAACCAGGAAGAGAACTTTAAAGGAAAAAAACTTAGGAGTAACACAGTAAATATGGTGGTGGCAGTATACTTGTTTGAGATATATTTCTGTTTATGAAGTCAGTAAACAAGCTTTTATCAAAAGAAAAATGCATACACTTTAGTACATAGACATACTTAAAGAAATCTAAAGCAAAGAGCTCAAAAAATGGGATTGTGCAGTGATTTTATAGTTCAGCATAATAACAATCATAAAGCCACACAGCTTTGAATACCAAGTTCTGGCTTTTATGTATGTGCAGCCAATTAAATGCACTTCCTCAGTCACAAGATATAAATGTTATAGAATATGTATGGGCATATTTTCAAGAAAAAAATTTAAATTTATTGAAATTCTAATAAGATGCAATTGGAAAAAGCTTTACAAGAGAAAACAGGACAAAATTACACCTGAATTTGTAAGGTTTTTAAGTTAAAATAACCAAATTTCTTTTTATTTTAAGTTACCCTTTCCTGTAAACTCTTATTTCAACTTCCCTTCAGAATGAGAGCAGAGTTCAGCTTTTTGCTAATTTATGTTGGAGCCAAATTTTGTATTTAAAGGTTAGTGAGAAACTTCTCAAGTGTGAGAGAGCTTTTAGTCTCAGACCACGTCGGCTCGGTGGACGTTCACCAGAGTAGTTAGTATTTAAATTCTTACGCCTTAATGCTATTTCTCAAATACTGATTGAAGAGATTTAAGTGTGTTAGTACTGAGCTATGGCTTGCTACCGCACCATAAATAGGCCAATCTCGCACTTAAGCTCTGTCACAGCGACTATTTATATGTCTACTGAAGTGTTACTTTAAATTGCTTGATTGTTCAGTTTTAGACCCAAGCGCGGACATTATTTTTCCGTTATCACTCCTGAGCTAAGAGTTGCTGTAAATAGTGGTTTAAATAAAAGGGTCTTATGACACCCTTATGACGTTGTAGTTCTTCTAGCACTCACAAGAACATAGCTGCATTCAGCTCACTGTTCGAGTTCAGGACATTGATACTGTCACCATTATGTTTGCCAAAAGTATGCATAGAACACTAAATCCTGACAAATTTTCCAAAAACTGAATTAATTCAATGATGAGAAGATTAACAGTCAAGAAAGCTAAAGATAATATGACCAAATATTAATTAAATTAAGAATCAAGAAATTATATATTCTAATTGTTTTGAATCTAGTGTGTGAATACTTTTGATGTGTTCCAATTAGAACTGAGATACTTTTTTATCTATTTCAAATGGAAATAAAAATATCTAATTGTAACAAAAGTTTTTTGCCAAAAAACATTTTTAATAAAGTTAGGGGAAAAAAGTTGTATTTTTCACCACCCAAATCTATGATTTTCTTCCAGAGTTTTGGTAGTTTTTCAAAGCCTTCAGCCCAAGAAACTTGGTGACTGCGAGACCAAAAAGAGATCAACCTCATTTCAGATGTCCTGTGCAGAATGGAAAATAGCACAAGCAAGCTGTATCTGCAGATGTAAAAAAGGAAGAAATCTGAAGGAGTGATGCCAGGCATCCCATTCGAGTCTGTACAGAATCCAGCTGGCGAATACAGACACATATGGTCTTGCATTATCTTGATAGAGAACATTAACTTTTCGCACCGGAACTCAGTTCAATGGTTTTCCTTGATAACAGAGTCAACACGGATTAGCATTTTACCAGATACGCTTTGTGGATAATACCACGGCAAACCCACCAGACACAAAGCATGATCTTTTTAGTCAAATTGGCACTTTGTGTCGCTGCCAATGAACTCACTAAGCGCAGACCAACCCTCTTTTTGGCCTGTGTTGTTGAAGTAAATCAACTTTTCATCACAAGTGACAATCTGGTGCAGAATTTTGTCCTTGCATTGATATTTGAGCAGATTAGTGCAGGTCCTTATCTGCTTAAGTCAGCTCATATAGCACCCAGCAATTGAACTTGTACATCAAGTTTAAGCAATGCATAGCGTAGTTAATGGACATGGTACTAACGTCTAACTTCTTAGCAAGCTCTTGAGCAGTTGCATACTGATTTCTTCCACAAATTCTCGCAGGAGGGCCTCATCAACATCAGTAGGCTGGCCAGAGCGCTCTTCTTGTTGAATGTCATAGTCCTCGTTTTTGAGCTTTCGGTACCGAACCTTCACAGTGTCATATGATATAGCATTAGTGCCTAAAGCTGTATACATGATTTGGCAACATTCTGGAGCTGACGTTTTGCAACAGAGCTGGAAGTAATTGGAACTGATGGTTTTAATCCGGTAGAATGATAGTTCCATTTCAGATAACTTTAACTTAATGATATCGATATATTTTTATAAATTTCACAAAACAGTGCTTTAAAGCAAGCCTCTTTCTTTCAAATGCCAAAAATCGTTTGACAAAATATAATTAAACACAGCAAAGCAAACTGTTTGCACAGACAATATTTGCGGTGGCTAGAAACTTTCATTAAAACCAACAACTACTTTTTTTATATTTTCCTTCACTGTGTAATAATTTTAGTACATGAAAATAATATTAAATAATTATTACATCATTTTTCTTGCAAAATAATGAGGTTTTTAAACTTTTTTATTAATGTATGAATACCTTTGATGCTGACCTCAATTACATTAAACAGAAATCCTTCCTCATCTGAAAAGTTTAAAGCAATTTCCAGCAATATAATTTTGCCTTTCTGATATTGCTCATAATTTTCTCTAAATTTTTTTAAATGCTTAGCTGGATTATATATAAGCTTAATTTAATAACACTCAAAAGTACATTTTAAAGTGAATTTTTAATTAACTCATTCATTTCATTTAAGATGATCACTTTATAAAATTATTTTGAGTGTTTTTTCTTATTAAAAACTGTGTACTTTTGACACTGTGTATTAAAAACCGTGTACTGAAACTGTGTACTTCTTTTGTTCTGAACATTTTCTGTAAAAGCACAGTCTGTTTTATGAATACTCTACCAAAAACCACATCTTACAAAATTTAAACTTTTTAGGATAAGGAAAAATATCAAATTAGAAAATGGATATAAAATGTTATTAAAAATTAAAGTAAAAGTTTTATCTTGCATACATGAATATTTCCATATATATGGCTACATATGGATTATGTGCAAACTACAAAACATATACACTACTTAAAAGTAAACTTTTTAACTCTTTGAATGTTTGCAGAACAAATATGTCCCTCATACAACATAACTAAAATGATTCGACAAAGTACATAGCGAATACAACAGTCGTCAAGAACAGCAAAAAGCTCATTTATTACTATTTGCAATAAATGTATGTAATTTATGTAATGCATGTACTAGTTGTCTGTATGTATGTGCGTACTATTTGCTTTATGTAATGCATCTACTATTTGCAATAAATGTATTGTAGTAATAAATAAACAAAAAGCTCATTTATTACTATTATTACATTTATTTATTTACGGCTTATTTATAAATCTTATCATTTGCCCTCATCTAACTCTTATTTCCCTTATGTGAAACATTAATGCATTATTTTACAAGCAAGTATTATCATCATCTTCATTTGTTAGCTTTTGTTGATTTAATTTCTAATATTTTCAAGTAAAATTTTATAAAATATGTGATGCACTTACAGCAGTTATTTCTGGATCGGGTACCATAACTAGTTCATTGCTGTTGTTGCTACTACAAAGTGCTTCCCCATCCTATGAAGAAAAAAGAATTCGGTTCAAGAAAAGAAATAAAATTATAGGAAATTAATAAATAAGGTCATGGTTAAACATTTTTCCTTCATTATCATAAATCTTATTTTATGCAAGTGAAAAGAAAACTCAAGCATGTGAAATTATTATTTAATAAATTATTAATATTAAAACACATTCCATATTTATGTACAGAAACAAAAATATAGGATTTTAATCTATCATTTAAATAAATATGCAAATTCACTAAGCCGTAGATACTGCTTCAGTTCTTTGTAAAATTACTAAATTTATGGCCTCAGATTAACTCTGAAATTTTCTATTACAAAACACTTTACCTCAGCAACTAATTTTTTACACTAAAGCCTTTAGAAAATATTTTTTTTAAATTACAACAAGTAGGTTTGTATGCTACACTTAAATATTGCACTATAAAATACTTTTGAAAAAAATTAACATTTTTGTAAATAAAAATAAAGTAATATATTTCACTAAATTTTTCATCAGACTAAAAGCTTGCTTAACCAGCTGCATAAAATAGCTGTTATAAAAAAAGAAAAATATATAATGTTTTTAATGGGTCCAGCTAGTAGTTAATAAAAAATTTCATTGTATTTACGTCAAACAACTGTAGAATTAAACATGCAGAAATTTAAAACATTTCATTTCTGTCAGTAGCAACATATTTCTTTTATATCACTGAGTTTTCAGATTTTATTAAATATATATATATCTAATGTTTAGCCAAATGGCATATTACACTGCTTTTTAAAATGCTGAGTTTGTTAATCAAAATTTCATTAAGTTTGCACACAATATGTAACAAATTAAAAAAATTATAAATTTAGGCTTTGAGGTACATGTGTTCGAGTAAAGAACTATGCATGTTCAAGTTCTGGTGGCTCTAGGTGTTCCCATTTTTCCATACTGGAAGGAACATACCTACATACAGACTGTTCATTATTCAATAACAGTGATTAATAGCTTTCCTTTCTTCTCTTCTTCAGAAACATTTATTATTGATTATCAAGTTAGTACTCTTAATTACTTATCAGGTACTGAACAAAAGTAGCACTTGGTATACACTTATCAATTCTGAATACAAGAGATTACAAAATTTATGATAAATCCTATTTTCAACCTGTCTACTTACTTTATATTTTACTTCCCCCAACCTTTCTGCTCAACATATAAAATATCAATAACAAAAGAATTTAGATGTTTTTTTATCAATTCTATTTTATCCAGAAATTTAAATGCTTACCTCTTCAAAATATACAACAGTATATTCCACTCCATATGCAATTATTCTTGGAAACTCTATCATGAGAAACATAAAATTTGAAGAACGCTTTTCTTTTTCGTTTATTAATTCAATCTCCCTGAAAGTTAATCTATCTAGCCAATCAACTTTTATCATATGGCCATTGCGATGCTTCTTAGTTAGCTATGGTAAAAGGTAAAAGGTAAATTTTTAATAACATAACAGAAAATTCACAGCATGTAGTATGCATTGCCATTTTTACACATTATAAAATTTTTAAATAAAAAATTTTAATAATGGGTAAGCATTTTTATATAAAAAATTTATTAAAAATTGTCATTTAAATGTAGAAAAGAACATGCATAACACACCAATTATTCAAAATTTCTGTTATAAATCTTTGTCAATTGAAAACTTAAAATACAATATGAATTATATATGATGGCTTTAGTAAATTACTGATTAGGTTTTGATTCATTTTAAAAAAATTCTGTAGAAAAGGTGGCATTAAAATAGTTATAAAAAGAGGTGCTTATGTATTATCTTATCAACCATGAAACTGTTGCCAAACAGCACGATTTAGTGGCAAATATGGATTAAGTACGATGTAACAATGCATTCATATACAGTACAAAGTCCGTAATCCGGACTCGTTGGGACTTCGGCAATTCTGGATTAGGGGTTTTTCTGGATTATAGATCATCAATTAAATCTGGTAAGATGGCATGCAGAAATTATACAATTAAAAATATGAAACCATAATTTATGAAATAAAGAGCAATTATGATCTAAAGGGTGTCAAAATTTACACAAAAAAAAGCTTAATATTTATTTGTTTACTTTAGTAACATTTCTTCAATGTAAGTTGTTTTAAAGGTTTTTTTTGTGCTAATTTTCTTTTAATTCTATAACAACATAATTTTTCTTGTTCAGCTACCAAGTTCCACTGTTCAAATCCTGTAATTTGTGGTTGAAATACCGACTAACTTGTCAATCGAAATTTTTTTCGTTTTTCAATAACATTCTCCTCCCGACTTTCTTCACAAGGGAAACGCGCATAGGTAAACGCACACGCACATGCCGGAAGACGCGGCATCAATGGCAGCGTAAGTTTGTGGCTTTGAGGTCCAGATTATAGATCATTCCGGATAATGGACGTCTGGTTTACAGACTTTGTACTGTATATCTTTCATAACACTTCACACATAATACTTGTGTTTCATGTAACTCTGACTGATTCTCAATAAGCCATGCTTTGTTTTTATGAATAAGGATACAAACCAACTGCTATTGCTATATTGTTTCCCCTGCATTAAAAAAATTATTAAGATTTGGAACCTACTACTACAGAACAGCAGACAGTTGAATATTTTGAAAGTTATGATATTTTATCATGAAAAAGTACACATTAATGGACATGATATGGTTGGCAAAACAGCAATAGGTTGGAACAATTACCTGCAGGTAGTATTAATAGAGCTCTAAGCAAAGCTTCTGGTACAATCAGAAGGCCTAACAAAATAGCAGAGATCAATGAAAGCCTTTTTAAGAAATGCAAAAACAAAGAATGTTAAATTTTGATTTTTATTACACAAAAAGTCATCTGTTCTTTCAGAATTTTGATAAAACATTTGGTGCAACTTTGGCAAATTCTCCACCAACTTCCATGGTTATGAGATAACATATAAGAACCACAAAAAAAAAAAAAAAAAAAAAGAAAAGAAAAGAAAAAGGAAAAAAAAGAAAAGAAAAAAAAGAAAGAAATATTAAATAAAGAATTTATTAAATAAAGAAATTAATTTTCAAAGTTTTACATTAACTACAAAAGCTAATGAACATGCTTACCTTTGACAATTTTGTCATCTGCTCTTTAGAGCAATCTGTCTTGCCAGGAGTTCTAGTATTTAAACTTCCATCAGCTTGTAGGTTATTCCATAGTCGAAGGTCATGCATTCCTTGTCGTAATGCTCTATAACCAGAATTTCTCATTACAAAAAAAAAAAAAAAAAAAAAAAAAAAAACATAAAACTGCTTAAAGTTTTAGATATAATTTAATTATAATCTAAGAAACTGTATTTTGTTCTGGCTAATACAAAAATTACTCCATGAAGAATAACAATCAGTAAACATTAAATCAATTATCCTTTACTTTTTCAAATGAAGTTTTCTTAACTTTTGCAATTTCAAATTAAATGTATATTTCATAATCTAAATCAGCATATTGTCATTTATGTAGCTGTAATTGTAACATAAAACCCATAACTGGAATCATAATATAAAACAGTGGCTAATATCGTAAAATAAACGATGTTTATCTAATCTCACTTAATTTTATTTCCACTTATTAATAACCTATAAGTATTTTAGAAAGTGCAGCTAGTGAAAAAATTTTCAAGATCAACCACTTAGTGGCTTGTAAATAATCTTGAAGATATCATCAATACTGATATATGAATGGAAATTATTCACATTATGTAGATTGAAAATTTTCTTCCTACTCCCTTTAAGTATATATAGTACAAAGTCCGTAATCCAGATGTCCATTATCCGGAATGATCTATAATCCGGACCTCAAAGCCACAAACTTAGGCATGCACGTAAAACCAGTAAAGCGTTTACACATGTGTGCTTCCGATAGTGAAGAAAGTGACAGAGAGGTTATTGAAGATGAAAAAATTTCGATTGACAAGTTAGTCGGTATTCTCGACACAGCAATTACAGGATTTGAACATGACTTTGTACTGACAACAATTATTTCTGTTTTAGAATTAAAGAGAAAGTATTAGCACAAAAATAGCAACTTAAAAACTTACTCTTTGAAAGAAATGTTTAATAAATAAACACTAAATATTAAACTTTTTTTTTTTGTAATTTTTGAAAACCCTTTAGATCATAAGCTCTTTATTTCATAAATTATGGTTTCATATTTTTAATTGTATAATTTCTGCATGCCATCTTACCAAATTTAAATTGATGATCTATAATCCAGAAAAACCCGTAATCCGGAAACGCCGAAGTCCGACGAGTCCGGATTACGGACTTTGTATTGTATATTATTTTTCTTGTTAATTTCATTTAACTGAATAAGATAGTTTACATTAAAAAAATGAATCTACATATAGCAAAACTATTCATCTGAATTAACTGGTATGCATGAATTCCGGATAACATTTCCCCTTCCCAGGTACCCCATAGTCAGATTTTCAAAAAATAAAAATAAATAAATAAAAGGCTTAGTTTCACGTATGTTATTTTTGACAATATAGTACAGCTTCCATACCCAGAGGTAAAGTATATTCTAAAACTTACTGATGAGCATGAAACTATGGATAACACAATTTCTATATTAAACATGATAGTCATGTGAGATAGTTTGCCCAATAAATTGAAAAGTATGGATTAAACTCGTAAAGCGAAAGTTAAGCTCAGGATCATGCACCTTGTGTATGATCCGTATAATTGATCACTCCTATTTTTTTATTTTATTACGAAAATTCAAAAAATTATGCTCGCAAAACTTGATTTTTTTTTTTCCCGTGTAAATTATTATTATTATTTCTTTCTGTTTATTATTTTTGTATAAATATTACTATCATTTTCTTCTGTTAATAATTTTTGTATTTTAGAATAAATTATTGAAAAGCGGAAATATTTGTATTTCATTTGCTTCAAATGCTGATTTTCTTACAAATGAACTTCATGAATTAATTTTACAAAAAACATCAAATCAATATCAAGAATCTTTTTTTTTTGGGGGGACAGGAAAAATATTACTTTAAAAAAAATTATTTTCACTTATTTAAGAATAGTCACAATAGTCAATTAAACGGTGTAAGCTTTGTCTAATAATACAAAAATTAATCTTTTGAGAAAATGCTCTTCCATTTTCTCAAAAAGTCCAAGAAGGAAAAAATGTAGTGAAATATCCTTAAAACAACAGTCAACAGTCTAGACAGTTTTGTTTCCAGTTGATCTCTGTTTTTTAATTACGCTCTCCATAAAAGGAATTTACTTTTAATGAAATTTGAAGAATAAAATGACATCTTCTATATACATGACAAAAATTTATTTAAACTATGAAGACATGGAATAGCATAGTAGAAACATGATATTACACAGCGCTTTGCACTTCTCTCTTACAAGCAATACTCACCATTGACTTTAGCTAACTACGCATTAACTAAGTATAAGTATTACGCAGCAGAGAACTTGCTTATCATGCGCATGCGCTAGGGGAATCAACAACGGTTGCCAACAAAACTGAATAGCACACATAATTCATAACAAGGATTATAATTTAATGAATAATATTTATTACCATTATCCACTCTTTATTAATATCATTTGAATGGAAATTTGATCATAAAATTCATGCTATTTCTCTGGTAGAAATTCCTGGATAAGGTATGAATGTTTAATTTTGTTGTATTTGAAGACTTGGGTCCTCAATTTGACAATGTGAAATTACTTTTGAGATATTGGTCGCAAATAGAAATGATAGCATATTTTGAAATTAAACTCTTTTTTGGTGCTTTAATATGCATGTCTGCCAGTGAGTGAAGAATTGTCATAATCTGTTAGCAAATGAAAAATCATTAAAAGTAATTACTTCTGACAATAGACGTGGATGAAACTTACATGTATGACATCTCAGAGCAGAGCAGAGTTTAATTTGAATTGCTTATGTGATATAAATGCACCAGTTTGCAGGATTATCCACAAAAAATTCCTGAAAGTTAGTGCTTACTTTGTTCTGTATTCTCTCGAGTGTAAACCCCCTTTTTCTTTCAGAAAAAGCATATGAAATTCAGGGGTGTGGCTTATACATGCAAATGATTAGAAATAGATGCATACAAACAGCTCGCAACACAGCAAAATGTATTTAATGATTAAACATAAAATATACTGTTGTGTGAACATTTCAGAGTATTATACAGGTTTAGTTGTGGTTGCTGGTCATGGTGACCAGTTGTGGGATACTAGTACTAGTAATAATTGATACAGGTAGTGCAGCCAACTACTGTAGTGATCGACAGTGACAGTGAATAAGGAGTGCTAAGCACAGAAACATGTTTCTTTTGATGGAAAATTTTAAAAAAATTATTTAAAAAAAGAATGTATGGTAAGAACTGTTTTTTGCTTAACTGCTTTCACACCTGCAAAAATGGGAAAATATTATATACAGGCTATCTGTTGCTTATCCTCAAGATTTTTTTTTAATTAGGCATATTTAGAATTGAGAAATAATTAGGCATATTTAGAATATCATTTTTTCTCCTAAGAGAAATTATATATAAAAATTAAAGAAGGTTTTATATATATAAATATGCATGTGCATGTTTATATTACAGAGAATACTACAGCGCAATGCAGAAATAGTCCATACTGCTTTGTACAGAAATATGTGCCAATCAAGTATTGGTCTTTTCAAAAAAATATCTTTACACCATATTGTTCTTTTTCTCTTTTTACCTTCTTCCGTTGCCTCTTGGCTAATAAGAAGGACAGATAAAAGAGCATTCTGCTGAGCCAGTAAAACTTCGTGTTGAGCTGAAAAAGCCATGACACAAAATAACGAAAACAAGCAGAGCGAACTTGAAAATCAATGGAGCAGGAAAACAGTGCACGAAAGGTATAGACACATCCATGCATGCGTAAATTCAGCTTCTCTTAGATCCACATCTTAGACCTCGTCTCGCAGGTGTGAATAGAAATCCCGTATTTTATTACCTTATGACTATGCCACTATGCCCTTTATGCCACCGTCTGAACGTAGCCTTAGAGAAAGTAAAACAATACCAACATTAAATAAGGAAACAATAAAGTAAATTGGTACTCCATTGCATAAATTCACATATTAATAAAGCCTAATTCTCAAAAGACAACAAAACACTGAAGAAATGAAACAACTGCTCATTTAAACTGTTGAGAATATTCATGCAAGTTGTGAATAATTTAATAATTTGTCCAACAGATGGCAGAATCTGTCAAGCTAATTCTGTTTTGTAATTGTTACAGCTTATAACTGAGCCTGCACTGTCAGTTAGAAGAAAGGCATGCTTAAGAACAAACACTGATGTAGTGCCAGGCTATATAAAGAAGTGTAAATAAACTATATATCTTGCAAAATGGAGGCTTAATTAATGTCATATGTACTGGGTATGTGAAGATCTGATTAGTTCTTTTATTTTTACGGCAGAGACACATCAGTAATGTATTGCTTCAAGGAATGATATATATCTTCCTTTTTACAATACATATAACGCATATAGCTGCAGAGCGAAAAAAAAGGAAGATGTATTGAGCATTGTTAGTCATGATACTTTGTCCTCACTTTTACATTCTTGAGGAAAAATATGAGCTAAAGAAAATATTTGAAGGGGAACTTGTAATATAAGAAAACACAGAAGGTTCCGTTTGCATAGTTCAGATTGCTGTATTTCTCTCTATTATAGCCTATTTTTATTTAACATTTAACTTATATTCCAAAGTTCAAACAAGCTTTCTTTTGTTTTTGTACTCTTTAAATTACAGGTAACTGAAACTGCAAGTATGGAGGCACAATATGCCCAAAAGCAGTTTTCGGAAAAAAAAAAAGCCTGTCACACATATCTTATCTAAATTATTTACCAATCTATTAGCTAATCTTTAGTTTACTATAAAAACAAAAGAAAAAAATTTACTGCATTCAAATAAAAAAATTGCAGATATTATTAATACAAGAAAATTTTTATATTGTTGCGTGCATACGAGTTCGTAATAAATTTAATACGCAAGTCCGATGAAAAGTGAATAAAATTTATTATTATCACAACAAATAAATCAATATGCTTAAATTTCCTCAGATATTCATACAATATTGCAATATCTCACAGTAGTTATCTTTTAAACTACCAAAACGTTCAACAGAACTAATTCAAAATAGAGAAAGCTAATCCGATTTCAATGCAAATTCGCTACAGTAAACAA